TCGTGGATTCTGGGGTTTCTTTGAGCGCCCTCAAACGGGGAATCCTGCTCCCAAGTTATTGGTATTCTTCGATTTCTTATCTTATGTTGAATCGTGAAGCATATCTTAGACTTAATATTTTTGGCGCTTAGTCAGTCAGTTACTTGGTATTTCTAGTTTGGTTTTCACCCAGTGAGAAGATGTTGTGTTAACAGGTTTCAGGATATTTTTATCCATGTGCAGGCAAAAGAATATATTGAGGGATCCAGTGAAAACGTAGATAGCATAGATTCCCAACCCAATGAGATCTATCGGTTCGAAATTCTAAGGAATGAACTGATAGAGCTAGAGAAGCGGGTCCAAGGAAGTAGAGATGAGTCGGTAAATGAAGAGGTTAGTAAGTTGTATCCAGACTTCGATGCAAGATGTTTGATTTGTTTCTGCACATTTAGTAAATATTTAAAACCTTAGTTTCAGTAATGCATGTATTTGCTTGAATTTAAGCAAGTACATATATCCAAAAGGAAAAAGAGAACGATGCATTTACGGTACATGTGGATTACAGTTAGGTGAAGTACCTATGGGAACCCTTCCCGTGCAAACGTATAGCTGATTTGTCTAATATCGTTTTCAAGCCAAAATATGTATGGTGGGTCTATACCACATACTACCTTACTTATAAATGGAGGTTGTTAATTGTTTTTTCTACTTCCTTTTCCGTATCTCAGTCATAGTGGCAACACGTTCACGGAAAAAGTTGTGCAAGCATTATTATGCTCTGTTTTTTCTTTCATTGTTGAAGTTTTTAACATGGTAGCAGATGATCAACTCCCTCTAAGTTAATTTAAAATGTTGTTATTTGTGTCTCTCACGAGTACAAGCTCTCATCTCACTGTTTCTTGACAATAAATTTGACATGTTCTGCAGGGAGGAACCTCTGAAGATCTTCCCAAAACAAGCAGTAGTATGAAAGGTGTGCAGTTGGTTCAGAGCTCAAAGAAAGAAAACGTCATTGAGAAAACTCTTGACCAACTTAAAGGAACAACCACGGTATAAATGTCATTCCAAGCCTCATGGCACATGCAGCTTCGTTTTCATTGAAATCAGCTTTGTTCCTTCGCTATTTGTCTACTCCATGACTTACTTACTAACATTTCGCTTTACTGTGGGATCTTGATAGGATGTGTGGCAAGGTACTCAGCTTCTTGCGTTTGATTCAGCTGCTGCTATGGAACTGCTTCGGAGGTCTCTAATAGGAGATGACTTAACGGAGAAAGAAAAGAAAGCTCTGCGCAGAACCATGACTGACTTAGCATCAGTTGTTCCGATTGGTGTTCTTATGCTTCTTCCTGTGAGTAAATACTAATCCTATCAAATTATCAAATAACATATTTCTATCTGCATTGGTTGTTCATCCTCACAAAGAGAACTCTGTTTCACCAACTTCTATACATTATCAATGGTTGCTTTGTACAATATGCTGTTAACACCATTCACTGCATCGTTACATTTATACCATTATCAAAACATTGGCAGTATGTCTGAGTTAATGTACTAATCATGTGTACGCTTATGTCAAACAGGTCACAGCAGTTGGTCATGCGGCTATGCTTGCTGCAATTCAAAGATATGTGCCAGGCTTGGTAATGCTTTCTTTTGTACCTCGCGTTGCTCTCCTATATTTTTTTGTTTCAATCTCTTCAATTAATTTGACAAGCATCCGTCTTTGTTCAGATACCTTCGACCTACGGACCCGAGAGGTTGAACCTGTTAAGACAGCTCGAGAAGGTCAAGCAGATGAAAAATGAAACAGAGCCTGAGGAAGGCATCGATGAAACAGAATCATGACTAGATCAAGATGCGAAATCAGTTTATACCTCAAAAGTTCACTTTGTTGTATAATTCATTGACAAGAGTTGCGCATAGAGAATCTCATTCCATGTGTCAGGGACACCGGGTAGGCACCAGTGGCTGCAGTCTTGAGGAGCATCAACAGGAGTACCCGGCTCTCGATAACGAGAAGGATGACCATCTTTCCTAAACTCTGTCAGATATGTAATGTTCAGAAACTTAACCTTACTATGTTGATAGCTCATTTCTTCAATTACTTCATAGATATATCTATTGTGACTCGCATCAGGTTCCATCTTCCTTTTATCAGTCTCAGGCTCCATCTCTGCATCACATAGACCACCCAGATTCCATGTCCCATTTCTGCAATAACCAAGGATCCTTTACTTTTAAAACCCTGGTCTCTCCAAAATCATTATATAAACTTATTGTCTGATTATCTACCGACCTGTAGTGCACTGGGGAATAGCTTCTGAAGAAAACATAACTCTTGTCTGGATCAAGTCTCTCTAAAACCCATGACTTCCATGTCTTCAAAGACTTCCCAAATGCCTCCATTACTCCCATTGTCTTGTTTACTTTCCTTCCCTCCTCAAAGTATGATCCTCTGCGAAAACACAAACCCAGTTAACAAAAAGAAGAGGAGATTAATGTCAGAACTCTGCTGATAGAAGGTGAGTGATTTGGCATACGTTGAAACGGTTTTTTCTTCGTTCCACCAGTGCCCTGAGTTGAAGACAAGAACATCTGACCCGACCCATCTTTTGGATTGCCAGTTGAATTCGTCGACTCTCACTGTGGTTTTGATCTCCGCTGGTGAGTTTGCCGGTGGCCGGCCAATGACGACAAGAAACGGTGTTCTGTGATACTCAACAGTGAGGTTTTGCAGAGGGAATCGCATCGAGAGAAAGCCCTTGTGTTTAGTTATGGGGTTCCCATTTACTTCATAGATTTCAGATTGGTTAGTTATTGCTTGCGAGAGCATGCACATGAGAGATTCCCACTGGTTTCTTCCGATTGAATCTCCCACGAACACTATCCTCCCGTTCCGACTCCTCTCCAGAAAATCACTCGCATTAAATCTATTCATTCATTTGCCACAGAAAAACAAGAAAAGAAAAACTGTTATAACACATATCATATATGGACTCTTATACCGGCCCACTGGGCCCATCAGAGCATTGTACTTAACCTAGATTCCCTATGTACTCTATATATACATTCCAGTGATTAATAAAGTTTCTAAGTTTTCACAACAAAAACAAAATTTTCATTTTGTTGGTTATTGATGATTGATACTTGAGAATCTTTGACTCTATCTATTGCAAGAAGAAGAAGAAGAATAAATATACAATTGCGAATCGTACTATATAATATATACGAGATCAAAGCTTTCTTTTGTCATGTAAATCAAACCCTGGTATCTAGAGTCGAACTTTTAACCCTAAACCCTAGTGAGTGTAGCCCTTTTGCGCAATGGAATCGATATAACGTAAGGTCGAAGCAAGATATACATATTCTCTCGATCAGTTCAAAAAGAAAAAAAACTTAGACCGACGACGACGTGGCACAATGTTTACCTCGGAAGATCGCAGCCGTGTGGTTGCCATCGCCAATGGAGATAACCGGAATCTTCTCTTCCGTTCTTATGACAACGAAAACCGGAATCAAGAAATCGACACTCTTCTCCGTATAATAATCCAAGAGACGATGATGATGTTCGACGAACCCATCTTCCTTTGGAGTAATCGCAATCTGTTCTTAGGGCAAGCGAAGATGGCGACAACAATCCGAAACGGTAAAGGGGCTCGAAGGAGGAAGAGTCGATGAGATTGACGATGACGACGGTCGAGAATATGAGGAGGCTGAGTAAAGAGAGGCTAACGAAGAAATGTTTCTTGATCTTGAAGACGTACGGATATGACCAGAGAGAGTAGAGTTGTTGATGATGATGATCCATGTTGTACGTGATGATCTCTTCTCTTCTTTCTCTCTTTGAACAAGTCTTCTTCTTTATTTCCGTAAACGAGAGACGTCAAACTATATACAAATGCTAATATATATATATATATATATATATATATATATATGAATATTATTATTTCCTCTATCATGATGGAAGCTTCCTTGGCCCCACCTTTGTCATTACATCTTCCAGATTGTAATTAGCGACGACGTCGGCTCTGATTTTATGTAATAAAAATTATAATAATTAGATGATAATGTTTTTTATGAAGGGTTTTTAAAGTTGACCAGTGTACAAGGATTTTTCCACAACTACAAGAAAATAAAAAAATCTTTAAATTTATTAATTTGGTAGTCATTTTTACATTTTTTCCGACTTTTACATATTTAATTGGGAACGGTAATTTTGAGTGACTTTTGACAACAATAAAACGGGAATAGTTAGCAGTCAGAAAATGCCAAGTGTAATATTACGGATGAGAACATCATATAAAAACTTTTTGTTATACCAAAATAACGTCCTTATCATAACGACATGACAACATTTTATTATGATTTTATTAAAATTTCAAATTACATATAAAACTTATAACAACATGACAACTTTAAATGTTTGCTAGATCCATTTTTAATTAAAAAGATTTTAAATACGATTATTTTGTGAAAACTTAGGCTTTGAATGGTTACCAAAATAAATAATGAGGAGCAGTAAATTCATTTTCAATGTAAAAAAAAACATATACAAATAATAGACACCAAAGCTGTTGCTTGAATAATCCTCAAGTTTTGTGTGTTTATCGGTACGAAATCGCTTTATTTGTCGAACGTACTGAAAACGTGTCATCAAGCTGCGACACCCTTTTGTTGGAAGCGTGTGTATATACATATGTATTATTTTACACATTTCATAATCATAATGGCCTACAAATATACTATTAGTTTGGTAAGAGACTAATGATTTGCAGAAATTAATTCATATTAAAAAATAATGGTCACTGAAGTCTATTACCTATAGCTTTTTAGCAAAAAAAAGGTATGTTTAATAAAAGATTGTTTGATGTAATTTGGGATAATTGTCATTTTGTGGAAAGTAAATAAAAGATTTGCTTAAGTACACTGAATAAACCGAAGAATAGAGGATCTCTTATTTACATCGGCTAAGCCGTAAAATAATTAATTATCTGACTGAACCGGAACCGAAAGCTAAACCGAACATTTAAGCCCAAATCTCAAATAGAGAGACTGGCGACGGTGAACTCAAGTGGCTGAGAACTGAGCTGCGAGAACGGCTTCTCATCTCAGGGAAGAAAGTGAAGATGAAGCTAAAGGTTGTGTGTCGTAAGGTCTCCGATTACATCCGTTACGATCTCAAAGAAATCGTGTTACCGTCATCACTCCCCGATCCTCCTCACGTCGTAAAACGCCGCAAATTGACTTGGCACGAGCGATTTCTCGTGAGATTCCTTCACCTCTTCTTCCTCTTTTCCTTTTGAAAGTTTGGAAATTTACGCTAGTTTTTCTATTTCTAGGGTCTGGGTATTCGAATTTTTCTTCCAAGGATAAACAGCTTCGCATTTGCTTAATGTTCTGGAACTCTGTTTGGTTTTTTGTCCGGTTTATAGTGAGTAAATCCCTCAGTTACGTATTTGCTCATCAGATTTTTTAGATGATATACAATCTGGAAGCATGTTATTTTATTAAGGTGCCAACCAAATGGGAGATTTCTCTTGTTTGAGCAAAAAGATTCATCCCTTTCTGATACAAGATTCTTTGATTATTGTGCGTATCATGGGTAGAAGAGGCCCGTAATTCACTTGTCACTGGATGAAATCTTAATTGTGTTTGTAATTTAGGTGTTGAAGGAAGCTTCAAGGCTTTATGCTGCAAGCTGGGTGCGAGATATAGGTCCTGAGCTTCGTCCAAACGATTACAAGAAGCATGGTGATGCAGAGCCTAAAAAACAAGCCCAAGAAACAGAGAAAGAGCCTTCTGTTTTGGAAGATCTTGGTAAGAACTGGTGTTATGCTATAGCCTACTTTAATTGTAACTGGCTTATATATATAAAGATTATGATCGAAGTTGGTAAGCACATCTAATTATTACGTAAGAAGTAATGCATATTACAAGTATTGAGAAGTGTGATTCTTCTCATAGTATTGCTATAGATATTAAGAAGAGCTTTTCCCAACTGAAATTTACTGCCCCGTTCTTTAGTTTATTGACTTCATGTATGATATATTGTCTATCCTTTTATTCTTAATCGCTTGTTTTTTCATTGCTTTTTGCGTTACTATTTCTATACAGCGGTAGCTGCAAGAGGTGGCATGGAGACTTTAAGGCCTGCTTTACATCGTGTGTACATGACACGAGCTTCTCAATATAAAGATGCTCTTGCAAGCTTTATAAAAGGTTACCATGAGGGTGTCCAGCAAGTTATGCAGAGCAAAGAAGAGTCTGAAGTCCCTGCCGATGATTCTGACAAATCTAAAAAGACTACCTGACCTTTAGTTAGCTCCAAATGTAGGATTTACGAAGAATATTGGTTTAAGCCACTCACCATCTAACTGTTACCTCATGGATTCAAGTTCTGCAAATCTTTTTCTATCAAGTTCTAAAAAATCTGTGGTGATGGTAATATAAAAATACTCTTCTTTTTTTCCTTCTCGGATGTATTCTGTATATTTGTTTTGATTTTTAACGTTGGGTATACTATATCTGTTTATTGGGTCTATTTTAAGCTAATAAAAAATGAGAAACAATTGGGAGGTCTATTAAGCACGTATGAGTATATATAGGCCAATATATTTAAGTAAATAAACCAATTTCCATTCGATTTCATATTTGAAAAACTAGCTAGACGATATATTTGTAATGGTTTTGATTCCCTTTACAGCTTATTGAGATTTCATTCTCGGAGACTTTTTCTGAGCACATTGCAGGGTTACCTGAAACAATAGTAAGCTATTCTTAGTTACGGTAAGATTTTTTTTTTTTTAATTTTCTTTGTGATTCCCTACTCACATTTTTTCTTCCCATGTTAAAAGCACTGTTGACCTTAACCAAATGCATTGTTAGTGGATTTAAATCCACGCTATCTGTAATAGTCTCTCATAATGCTGTTGCAGAAAAAGTTGGCTGGCCCCTAAAAGTTGATAAAAAGCATAGATATCAGATAGATTTCAGGGGAAAAGTTGAGCAGTCGATTCAGAACTGTACTTGAAGTCTTGTTATGATCAAAACTTTATTTGCAGGACGAGCCCTTAATGCAGGAGGAAGCCAATGAGCATCTTAACTATAGCCAAAAGCTTCAAAGACTAGTGATAATGGCACATGGCTGAGGGTCCCTCTCCCACTTGCAGAGCCACTAAACCATTGGGCGGAAATCAATTAGCCTTCAAGTCAACAAGTAAGTATCTTTGCTGAATCTGCATGGGCCCGTTGGAGAATCACCTGTGGCTAAGTAAGGTCGAAACGAAAGTAGCTTGAAACATATTTTGCATTACCTGTTGAAATATCAACCCATGCTGTCAAGTCAACAAATGCGTCTGCCTTAAAGATTAGCACTTGTTACTGGCACTCAGAGTTGGGACATGTGCGTATACAAACCGAGCATTTGTAGTTTGTGAGTGGTCATGATAAGGTTGTATTGTTTCCATCTCTGTTATGAGAACTTTCTGTCCAATCAAGACTTAGCTTTACTCTTTTGGTGCCATACGCAGATAGTTTTGAGAGCTACTACTGTTTGATAAAGCATCCATTTGAATGATTGTAGAGATAGCAAATTTCGTTTCTCTTACTTATAATTTCTGAGCAACGGGTTCTCTTACCTAAAGCAGCCTTGGGGTTAACTTAAGAGTCCCTTGTCTGACTAGAATCTCTTTTCGGAAAGGAAATAAATAAGTCTGAGATATATGAGAGTTAAGCCTATGCATATAACAACGTCTGAATAACTAACATCTGATTAGGTAGTTAGCTAGAGTCGACGATTAGAGTAAGCAGAGGATTCAACAGACTTGTTAAGCAGTGAAGTTTTTTGTATTCGAGAGTTGGGGATTCTCTCAAACAATTACTTGGTTTTGGGTTGGTTAAGGTCTCTAAATGGATTTTAGTAATAAATGAGAGTTGTATCAGAAATCTGGTTAATAAAACCATTTATAGAGATACGAAATGGTGAAGAAACAATGTACGTGCTAGAAAAAGATATCACTGAATCAGGATACCACAATCTCTTTTTGGAAGCACATGGAGGTGGATAACTGATCCAATGATTGATTTTGTTTCTAATATAAATACATGAGAAATAAATGTTGAAGAGCACTAAAAGAAGCAGTACATGAATAGACAATCGCTTTCAACAGATGATTCACTGTTCATCTGACCTTAGTACATGAAAAAGAACAGGTTCTTGTAGGACTCTCCCAAAAAAAAAATTTCTCTCTTTTTGTCAAAATATTGTATAGACTCTCGGAGATAAAATACACTATGGTACATGTCTATTCATGAACTGCTTCCCATTAAAGGATAAATATTATATATATGACTTGATTGATCTGATCGTTGGTTAACATATTTGAATTAAGGGAAAAAATCCAAAAAATACACAAACTATATAAACTTTGGAAGAAAAATACACAAACTATTTTAACTCTCCAAAAAATACACAGATTATTATCCATTTCTATTTTAATACTCAAATTATTAAAAGTTTTTATTTAAATACTCAAATTATTAGATCTAGAGTATTTTACACATTTTCTTTTTTAAAAACCCAATTTTACCCTTTTTATATTTCAAATTATATTTATTTCTTTAGAAACATCTTTAATTTAAAAAATAGATGAGCTAAATAAAATAAAATCAAAGACAGAAAAAATTATATAATAATAAAAAATATTTCTCGTGTAATTGAATTTCATCTTTACCAAAAAAAAAAACTCCTGCGTCGTCCAATTTATTTTTACCGGCTTGGTTTGGTCGATAATTGATGTCTTACTGCAATTAATTGTGATGTTTTAAATGTGGATGAAGATGATTTCAAAGCTCTGGGATGAATAATTTCGGCGATTCAGGTTAAATCTGCAAAAAGTAAAGTCCATTGGAGAGGGAGACGAAGGATCGGAGATGGGAGAGCGAATATGGGGAGAGAGCAGGGAGAGAAAGCATCACATCGTCGTTTAGAACGAAGAAGAGCCGGAATCATCGTTTTTTACTGGGCAGTGGGCAGTGAAGCAACCTTTGTCTGTGAATTATGTATAAGAGTGTCGATTTGATTCTTTAGCCTAATTGGGAGAAGAGATAGTGAGAGATTTAAATTTGTGTTTCATATTTTATATAATTTGATATAGGAACATCTGAACATCAATGATCCAAACTCTCTACAATATCGATCAAAAATCTTACACAGAGGAGAAGAGAGGGAGCAAGCTTTTTTGTTTTTATTATTTATTTATTTTCTCATTTTTATCTTCATTTTCGTTTTTATTTATTTATATTATAAATATTAAAAAGAAAAATTATAATTTGAAATATATAAAGGGTAAAATTGGGTTTTTAAAAAAGAAAATGTGTAAAATACTCTAGATCTAATAATTTGAGTATTTAAATAAAAACTTTTAACAATTTGAGTATTAAAATGGAAATGGATAATAATCTGTGTATTTTTTGGAGAGTTAAAATAGTTTGTGTATTTTTCTTCCAAAGTTTATATAATTTGTGTATTTTTTGGGTTTTTTCCCTTGAATTAAACCATATATGCCTTGCATTTTTGGTTTATCTCCCAAAATTGCAATTGTTTTGCAATGCCATTGTTCACACACACAAAAAAAAAAAAAAAGTGAGGAAACTATCAAAGAAGCAAAAACTATAGTACCTCCAATACGATATACCATCATTTTTGTTGGCCCCACTTTTGTTTCTATAATAATCTCATCAGTTTCCCATTTCATCTTTCACCAGAAGAAAAGAAAAGATAAAAGAGATCATCATCATCATCAGACAAGTACAACTATACATCATGATGCATGTGTGAGAATACATCATCATCAACATCATTCATCATTCATCATTCATCATTCATCATCATGAGATGTATTTTTGATGTTACATTTTTCTCTAAGTCTTTGACTTTGGAAGTAAAGAAAAAGACTTTCCTAAAATTCAGCGATTTATTTTTTTTCTCTTTTCCAAATTGTTTTTTCCAAATTAGTTACATACAAGTACGGAAACTAATGAGATAATAATAATTATTAAAATTACATACAATTTCCAGGAAATTGGCCTCTGTGGCCTTAAAGAGAATGCGCAAAGTCTGGGCCCATATAAAAGCTTTAAGTCAATTCCGAAATTCTTGTCACCTCTCTTGGATCTCATCCTCGTCTATCTCCAAGCTGCTTCATCGTATCCCCCGTGAAAGCTATATTCTGTTCTATTTTTTTCCCCAAAATTATTATCATTATTTCATAAGAGACACTCACATGTGACATACATGATAATAATAATAATAACAATTCTCCATCTTGATACAAAACATCAATTATGTCCTTATTCATGCTCATAATTTTAACAATATATTATGATTTTCTTAGCATCATAAAAATAGCATTGCGGCGCCAGTAAAAAAAAGCAACAGTGATTACGGAGACCAACATATATTAATACACACATTCTAATTTAATTATCGAATAATAAAGTAAATGAAAGTGGGCTCAGACAAAAGAACAAAGTAAAGCAGGGTAAAAGTCACTAACAAAATGGCCATGTGCGACTGCTCAAAAGTCTCTCTAAACTCTCTTAACAGATTCCTGATTCTCTTCATTATATTAATAATTAACAACAAAAAAACAACTCTCCTAATCAATCTCGATTATTTAATTCTAATTTCAACTGTCTCATCTCGAGAAACAGCGTTGCCCATCTGTATTTATAATTTAAATGTATCTTTAAACCATAGTCTGTGATGATGTAATGTACCCAGATTAAATCAGATATAAAAATATAACTCTGAAAGGGTAAAATAGTCAAATTACCATGCTATGAGGATGAGGAGTGTAATAATAGTGCATGTACTGGCCATAGTAACCGTCGGCGGGACACTCCGCGGCGGTGACGGAATCATCTCCGTCGTCGTCTTCATCCATTTGACACTCCAAATTCACACCGAAAAGCCTCACCGTCCTCGAGCTCCCGACCACGGCGGAAGACGATGGTATGGAGTGAGTCTCCGCAGCTGTAACTACGGCGGCGCCTGTAATCACGACACGTGCGCTTCTTTAAATTTTTATTGAAGGGCAAAAAAAAAACAAAACAACAGACACAAGTACGCAACTGAACAAAAATCACGTTTGTCCCAGGGGATTGGACGGTCTTACTCACGCGCTCTTATGTGCGCGTGTACAGCTAATAGCCTAATATTAATAACAACTTGGAGTAGTCGAAATTGTCGGGGTCATTTTTAATTTGTTTAGAAAGACAAAAATAACTATATCTTCTCAGGTTTTTAATACGCACGTAATAGGCAGTATATCGTGTACAAGCAAAAATAATTATCATACACTATTAGAACTTATAAGAAAACATATATAATTGGTCTTTAATTAATGTTTTAATCGTCCCGACAACATAATATTAGTTGATACCTATTGATCAACGCGATTATAAAACTTAACGTTAATTAGTAGATAGATTAAAGATGAGGAATAAGATATATAAAACGGTTTTGAAATTGGTTGTATTTTTACATATATTTAAAAAAAATAAGGAAGTAATACAACATACCGTAGTGGGAATACTCTGAGTGAGGAGGAGGATTAGGGTAATTATTACTAGAGGCGTGGATTTGGAGATACGGAGGAGCTGCCATGGAACTAGCATACGACGTCGTATTGACGGCGGAGTTAGTGGAGGAGCCTTGGCCGCGTCTGCGCCAGCCAATGAAGAGTCTCCGGGAATCGGAACGTTGTCGTTGGAAGAAAACGACGTCGCCAGGGTCGAGCTGTTTGTCTTTGACGAATCTGCTCCAACCTTTGGTCAAAACGTAGCTTTGGCTGCTGTTCCAGTAAGAGTATCTGAATCTCCAACACTTTCCTGACTCGTCTTCGAAGCTTAGAAGCATCCCTTTCTCCGTCGATGTCGATGATGACGTGTCAGCACCACCGGAGGAGGAGACGATCACCGCATTGAGAGGGAAGTATTTCTCAGCGTGCTGTTTTGGTATGACGAGGCGGTTGAGTTTGCCGACGTCGCTTGGTGTGAGAGACTTCTCGAAGAGTGATTCTTTTTGTTGGTCGTCGTTGAGCCACGTGGCTGTGGTTGCCTCCGATGTGTCGGTGGCGTGGCGATCCTGCCACAAGAGAGTGTTGTGGTGGTGGTGGTCTGTGGAGTAATGGTTGACTGACATTTTTCTTGGGAGATAGAAAGCGAAAGAGTGAGAGAGAGTGAGAGAGAGAGGAGTAGAGAGAGCTAGAGAGTAGAGAGAAGGTTAGGTGAAAGAGAGAGGTGGGTACTCGTAGTACTAATATAGTATAATACGAAGGAGAGTAGAGAGAGATAGCAAATTTTGAAGGTTAAAAATTGACGTGAAAACTTCGGCAAAAACTATTTGAGGAGAGAGCAACACACGACAACCAGACGACTTTCTTTTAAGGTTTTGCGTGATGTTTTATCTTTTTCTATCATTATTACTTTTTTTCTACTTCTTGCAGTCCGTATATTTATGGATTTTCTATGTCCCTCTTTTTTTTTATTCTATTTGTCTATACTTCTATATACACACATATATATATATATATATATTCATCATAATATATCTAAGTATAATAAACGGTTTTCAAGTTCGGTAATTTTTTCTAAACACAATGGATTCCACGACTTAGAGTACTATACATAGTACCGTTTATTTTGAGAAGAAATTTTGAGTTCTTTTTGTTAATAGGGTATGTTGATTATGTATACTTTTTCAGGGGTACGAAAAGTAAGCTTCAGGTGAGGTTGGTGATTAGGAGTATGAGTATCTAGACAAGAAAGAAGAGCTAAAAGGTTTTATTTTTTATTTATTTATTTTTTAAAGAAAAAGTTAGGCTACACGAAAAACCAAAGAATCAACCCACTTAGAGTTAGAAGGATCTGACCATTTGAAAAGAAAATGCAATTATTGGAAAAAAGGTTAAATAATCAAAATTCTATGACTTATTTCTAACATCCTGGAAAAAAAAGTTATGTTCGTTGCGTGCTTCTCGAAATGTTACCAAAAGAAGAAAACGAAGATATGGTCCTTGTTATTTCGACGCAGTTAATAGGCAACATATATAAATATGTATTTTATTAGTAAATATTTGACGTAATTCACAGGCACTTGTGATTAGGCCTACTTGTGATAAATGCCATGAGACATATATATAATATTGATTATATATATATATATATTTATATATATTTGGGCCGTGTTGTTCAATGCACTAACGTTAGCATTCGTCACTGTATTAGTTTCAGGTTTTTAAAAGGCCTTTCCTGTCTAATTTCGGAGTTGACGAACACAATCTAGATCAAGATACCACACTTTACTGAATTGGCATTGGCAATACTACACTAGTATACATCAAAATAAATATAAATTATTCTGAATGGTAAATCAAACCCACGAAGAATATTGGTTTAAACAATTCACATCTACCATCTATGGTAAAGAAAATTGTTACCTCATGGATTCAAGCTCTACAAATCTTTTTCTATTAAGTTCTACAAATTTTGTTAGTGATGGTAATATTCTCTTTTTTTTTCTCGAATGTATTCTATATTTGTTTCGTTTTTCTTAACATTGCGTCTATTATATTTGTGTATTGGGTTTCTTTTAGGCCAATAAAAAATGAGAAACAATTGGGAGGTCTAATAGGCACGTAGGAGTAAAAAGACTATCACTATAGCTGCAGAAAATATTATAGATATTACTGAATTAGGACGAGCATGTTTGCTCCTTTGAGAAAAAAACGATATTTAAATAAGTATATATTCACATCTTTTTTTTTTCTTACAACATATGGTTCATAACTATATATATTCAATGTTTCGAAAAATATTATACCATCCATCTAACCTAACTCTTCTGCACATATAAGGCCTATATATTACATTAAACCAAACTCCAACATTTATCAGTACTGATTAAAAATATATTCTGCCTGACATAGTACTTTTGGAAGAAAACAAAACCAATATCTCCATTATTGAAAAAGATTGAAAAATTCAATCATCAAACATTGTTTTCATAGTGTTTTTGGTTTGTCATAATTGACACACAAATATACAGTATACACTATATCCAATCTAGATTTACATACATATAGGCAGATACGTACTTAAGAGAATTAAAACTCGGGATATAATTTAAATTAAAAATTATTTCTGGAAGACGATTGAAAGTTTTAGTTGATATTAAAAGTTCAACGGACAAATAAATAGGTAAGAAAATCAGTAAAATAGTAATAAAATATAAGATGACGTGGGACAAGAGGATGACGGAAGCATGATGAATGAAGAAAGATCCAACGGCTGAGAGAGCGTATGGTATTCACCCAAAAGGCCAAAAGTAAAAGGAGTAAAGAGGGCACAAGAAGAGAGAGAGAGAGAGATACTTACCCCTCACGCAACTTTGTGGAGCATGTGCCTTTGCCTTTCCCACACACCATTCCATGCATCATCTTCAATTCTACTCTCAGTCTTCTTCTTTTTTAATCTTTTTACAATTTATTTTTACTCCCCGGATATTGGACTAATTTTTTACATGTTTTTATTTATTTTAGTTGGTCCAAAATAGATAAAAATGTTATACATCATTTTTCAAACTTTCTCTAGTTCAAACCACTTATTAATTAGTTTTCATATATGAAAATTTGAACCAATGCAGCATTGGGTGGCATTCAAAATTAGGCTAATTGGGGCTATCAACTCCGACTAGGTTAAATTGTTATATAAATTAAAAAAAAAAACAAATGGCCGTGTATATTAGCTGGATCTCCAGCATGATTCAAAGTCCAAAAATTTCTGAAGTTATTTATGCATGCATATCATTACTTTGAATCAGGTCCGATAACGTTAACTATGAACTTATTTAGCAAATATTTTAATAGTGTAGTATTTAACTAATCGTAAGTTTTTGTAAAAGCGATAACTAATCAATCATGAAATACCATATTTAGGGACCTCATCTATGGTAGTCCACCGGTTAAATTCGTATGCAAATTAAGATCTACACAGTTTAAATCAAACCTATATTCTTGGGGTTTTATGTTTTTTTCTCATATATATAACTTTGGATGATCTGTAATTAAGAAAACCATAAGCGAATAGTTGAGAAAATAAATTACTTTTTCAGCTAAAAATTTGTATACATATATATAGGACTGTTGAGTTGCGGAATGTATTATAGCTAAGATCTATTGTTTGATTTGACCAAGCAAATTGTTGATCGAATTGGGCGGCCACGTCGCCGTGAAGTTGGAATTGGTGGTAAATTGAAACTCACCTCGCTAAAAAAATTGGGATAAACATTTTACTAAAAAATCGTTCATTAAAAATAAATTATGGTCGTTTTTATTCATTTTCATTTATTTAATGTGTGTTACTCTTTTTCGAGCGAAACACAAAATATATATTCCGAATTATTTGATCAAAGTACATATTAAACTATAAAAATGTGATATATTAAAATGAATTACTAAAAAAACTGTGTCTTTATTTAAAATTCTGGACTTGGACCCAAATCTTAACCATGAGGGCTACCTGAAAAATCCAAAAGACGTGCAAATGGCATGGGCACCTTCGTGGTCCTCTTCTGTTTTATTCTAGTCTTATTTGAGGACTTTTTTCCCAATGTTTTTCTTTTATAGTAAAAGCTTATTATTGTCATTGTAAAACATGAAATATCTGTCACGTGCTTGGTGGAAACCATTATTGGTGTTTAGACGACGTTCATATTTTTCTTAATTTCAAGTGAAGACTATTAAGATATAATCATGATTCCAAAAAACATTACACCTTTGATGACTCACATTTTACCCGTTTGCCTTGGAGGTTTAGCATAAACCGAACTATGAATTTTTTTTTGGTAGAGAAAAATTAGAATATATGTATTACAAATAAAAATCTCTATTTATTCATGTTCTACTATTTGTATGTGAATTAATCTTATCATTAAGCTTCCGTGATATAAATAAAAAAATGAAAATTTTATTTCTTCTTGAACAATGAAAAACGAAATTTTGTTGCAGAAAAGTAAAGCGGGCCATCTGAATATATCTGAATATATATATATATAGTCATATTTTTTCTTAATTTCAAGATATGAATTAAACTTATCTGAATTTATATATATATATTTATATAGTCATAAAAATAGCACATTATAAAATATAAATAGAAAGTTTGGGATTTTTCTCAATAAAGTATATATAAGAAGAAAACAACAAATATGCGATAAGATTTGTCCCACTGGATCTTTCGTGCTTCAATCCTCTCCTCTCCTCTCCTCTCCTCACACTCATATCTTCATGATTATTATAATTTTTTGAACTACTTTAATATACATTGTTTTTTTTTTTTATTAACACCTATATGTATATTTTTCCTTTTATATTTTTCCTTTAGAAATTCACTCATATATGTATATATATTTGATGTATTTAACAAATGCTAACAGACTATTAACCTTTTTCCTTTTAATTATAGTTCCAAAGTATTTAATACCTGTATATCATGTTTATATACAACATGAGTTAAAGTTTATGGCATACAACTATATAGCTTAATACTATTTTGTTCAAAATTGCATCAGAAGAAAATAATGACTCTAGTAGTCTAGTGTACCATGTCGGCAAAGTTCTGGCCTGACAAATATGTAATATAATAGTAAGTGATTCAATTTATTATTAGTTAAAAAAATGTTTTGGTGATGTGTTTTGAAACATTTTATGAAAAATCTGAGTAAAGGAAACAAAGAAAAGAACCTTGAATTTGAAAGAATGACAAAAAAACATAGAATTTGTAGTTAAAATACAAACCAATTTTCTTACAAAAACATTTTGATGTTCCGCTCTAATCGAATTCCCAACAAAGGAAGTACGGACGCTCGTTATAGTATTTTATTGCCAGGGTCGTAGTTATGCTTGTAACATCGTCTAGGAATCTGTTTCATGCCTAAGACATGTCTTCTTCAGCAAATTAAAACAAATTTCGAGTAGTGGACAAAGGCGGCATCATTTCCAGGTCGATTTTGAGGCACCTTGCTGCATGTACGTCTGCATCAACTAAATTATGTCATTTTCTGTAAATAATTTTAAAATTTCATGTGAGAAGTTCTTCTGAATTTTCGTTATAGTAATATTGCGCATGTTAGTGTCATTTCCTCTCCAATAGTAGAGGTTGTTGGGGATTTTGTATGAATTTGTCTCTATTCTTTTGCTATAAGGTTATAGAGCATGATTTAACATCTTCTCATTAATTACAGTGCTTGCAATAGGCATAATATGAAATATAAATTGAATCTGAAAGGTCTCTTTTTTTGTTTGGTGGTGCAACTCTGAAAGGTCTTTCAATATCAACATTTAAATTGAGAAGGCATGAGAAGCAATATTTCTATGATAGAACATATATATATGCTCAGTAATTGAAGAATCGATCTAGTTAAGATATTATTTTAAGAATTGTGACTCGAGCAAGAAGAACAGTGATAAATTGATAATGGTCATTCCTTCTAAAATTATGTTTTAGCGACAATTCACTATAAAAATTGCTGGACTAATACAGTAAAAAAGGAAGTAAATTAGTAGTAGTACACAACTAAACACTAGTTATTTTCTTCCGCTACTTTGTTTTGTTTCTATATGGCAAATATCCAAATATAGTTCCATAGAAATGACAAAACAAAAAACTCAAATACAAGATTCCCAACAATTACTCTACAAAATATTTGAAATTCTTGCAAAAAATTCACAAGTTTCAACTGGGACAATCTTAGTGCTCTTGCAATAAATAAATATGCAAAATATACAAAATTACGGCTATACATAATGGGCGAAGTAGTTTACACCTCCCATTCAGTTTTCCTAAATTTTCTTGCTGGTACGTAAACTGTAGTCGCATATATTATTATATGAACAAATATATATGAGCAAATTGTTACACACATACACATAATGTAATACGATATATATCTTTCGACGAGAGAGAAAAAAAAAGCAGGAGGGGAATCTGCGATGTAAATCGTGGAGGGTGTCTATAATATGCAAGTTTCTTTATTTAAATGCCTCTAAACGACAACCTTTCTTTGTTATTTTTGGAAAGTGGTGCGAGAAGCTTCACTGAGCTTCGGGTAAGTTGCTATTTTCTATTCTTATTATTCCTGCTTATGACAGTTTTCTCAATTCCCTAGTAAAATAGCACACTGTCTTTTGTATCTTTGTCCACAAAACTGTTCCCCTTGAATTGTTCGTGTTTTCGTAATGAGTGATTAATTAGTTTGTAGGTAGTATACTATAATACGTACCAGATATGGACCCTATTCAAGTTGAAACCAATAGTGTTTAACGTACATTATACAAATAGGTTATAGGTACGTCGACAGGAATCGAGGTAATTAATTAGCAACATGTGTAGTATAATACGTTAAGATTCTATTTTCTTATGTCGGAGGCCCTGAGCATAAATATATTTGGAATATATATAGTAAAACTTTTATAAATTAATAATATTGGGACCTATTAAATTAAAATTATTAATTTATTAATATAAAAATTAGTCTAAAAACATAATTTAAAACTTAAAAAATATATTAATTTATCGAGTATTAATTTATAGAATTTATAATGTAGGCATTGAACCATATGGGAATATGCTCTTTAACAAAAAAAAAATTATGGGAACATGCATTGCAAAATTATCTGATGTAGCAATTATTTTCTTAGGTGAAAACAAACAAGATTTGAGTATATATTCACAGTTGAAAACATGTATTAAATAATATATTCTTATAAATATATATCTTTATATAATTATATACTTATATAAGGTATTGATATCTCCTAAGCAGGGGACCAAAGCTCTTGCTGTATTTTCTGAATTCTAAGCAAAACTGTATGGAGGAGGGAGGGGACCACACACTATCTAGCCTTTCCTGTAATCGATATATATAAATTAAACATTCATCTGCACTGTTTCACACACTAAAACTATCTCCCAACCCTACTGCAAATTTCACTGCAAAATAGAGTTTGGAGCAAGATAATCTCCAACCCTATTTCAAATCTCACTCTAAAATGGAGTAAAAAATGAAGTTACTCTATATATGAAGCAAAAAATAGAATTTCTCCATTTTGTTAGTCATAACTCCATTTTGGAGTAAAAATGAAACTTACATTGGAGTAAAATACAACTTCATTTTAGAGTTACTCTAAAATAGAGAAAAATATGAAGTCATACATTGGAGATGCTCTAAAGCTTTATGCAGCCGATTTCTTAGACTTGGACAGTTAGACGACCCAAGAAGCCAACAATATTAGTCTTCAAATTCATCTTTTATATTTTTGTGAACTTCAGATGGCAACAAATTCCAATACTTGGAGGCAGATCCAGATCATATTATTACACACACTAATAAAAATAGTGTAAAATAAAATCTAACGTAAACAGATTAAATAAATACTACTAACATCTAATATTTAGAAGGAATGGCCCATTCGCAGAATCCTCAAAACACTTAATGGGCCCATTCGCAGAATCCTCAAAAACACTTCTTTAATGGGTTCTTCGCAGATCCTTGAAACAATTGGTGGGCCACTTCCCATAAATATTCAAATACTAAATTTAAAATCCGATCTACGAAATAAAACCCTAACACACTAATTTCTGCCGAGTTCAGTAGCTGAAGTAGAGAGACCCGGGAAGTTTTGGGAACCCTAAAACACAAGCAAAGATGGGTCGCGTTCGCACGAAGACGGTGAAGAAATCGTCTCGTCAGGTGATAGAGAAGTACTACTCGCGCATGACGCTTGATTTCCACACCAACAAGAAGATTCTGGAAGAGGTCGCAATCATCCCTTCCAAGAGGCTGCGCAACAAGATCGCCGGATTCTCCACCCATCTCATGAAGAGGATCCAGAAGGGACCTGTCCGTGGAATCTCCCTGAAGCTCCAGGAGGAAGAGCGTGAGCGCCGCATGGACTTCGTCCCCGACGAATCCGCCATTAGAACCGACCACATCGCCGTCGACAAGGAGACGCTCGACATGCTTGCCTCCTTGGGAATGTCGGATATGCCAGGTGTCGTCAAGGTCGATCCCGTCTCCGCCGCTCCTGTTGCTGCCTTTGGATTTGGCCGTGGAAGGAAGTTCTAGATTATCGATCCTCGTCACTCAGATATGTGGGTTTTTTGCTAAATCGTTGTAAGCTAAACTTCAATGCTCTATAAGCTTTAATGTCACTTATTTTCTGGATAAATTTTGTTTCTGTATTTGTAATTGCCGAATTTCTTAAATTTTTATTGTTCTTGATGCTTCTTTGGAGAACTCAAATGGAATTTTTGGAATACATCCCAAAATTCGTAATTAAAAACGAATTGGCTCATGCTACTTCACGGTGGTCATCAAAATTATTTCGATGTCGTTTAACTTGAACTGGTGTAAATTATACAACTCTAATTATAATACATAAAAGTATTTGCACACACACACACACATTGTATAAGATAGAATCTCATCTCAAATCCAAAATCCTTTTTGTTTTTTGTATTTCATTCATTCGAATTGCCTGCCATGCCGACGAGTTGGAGCATGTTGCGATCTTCTTTAAACCTGTCAAGAACAGTGCCTTTCATGGCGTTTTGTTGAGTGTCTAGTTCGTTTGAGGCCTGAACGACTCCCCAGCATTCAATTACTTCTGGCTGTACTCTGCTCGTCTTAGAGAGACTCGGGCTACCAAATGTCGTGCAGGAAAACGTGTGGCCTTGATCGAAGCCTGCGGATATAAACAGACCAAAGTGATGGACTTTTCCTCCAAATCCTATGCCGTTTGGAATGTTCTCCGATGTGAAATTAGTAGCACACTGCCCATGTTTTTACATATGTTAGAATATGTATGCATCTAATCACATTCTCACATATAGCAGTAACAGAGTGTCTGTAGAGGCATACCCATTGAATGTTGGTGTTTGCTCCAGTTGGTCGGAAAATGGATGCGTTAGGGTTTAACTGGAAAAGAAAAGACTTCATGTCTCCGTAGAAATCACTGTACCTCTCCCAAGGTTGAGAGGCGTATCCTCCATAGACACAGCCTTCTTTGTCTTTGATGATTAACACCGACGCAGACATACCAGTGTGTCTGCAAGATAATTACATTAGGAATCCCAAAAAAAAAGTCCTGTCTTTGATTCTGTTTAGTCAAGTTGCAAAAGCAAGAAGGTGTAAAGGTATGTTATGGTTACAGTTGCAAAACACTCACGATGTGTGTCCGAGGAATGTGTTAAAGCTTTGACCGTGTAAGGAACTGTGATACAGCAGTCTCCACTCTGCAAGCTCGTGGTGAGGAAGAGCTCCTCCGATATGCCAAGCGTATTCCTTCTTCAACAATAGTATATTTGAATCCAAACTATCCTCATAAAGCAGATGCGGGACTTGATATCCTGGTCTCGCTATACGAGGAATAAAGAAAATGTTACCATCTTGTCAACAAGAAATGTGTTAAGACGGGAGAAAGCTAAAGAATAATAAACCTGGACCCGGGAGCATAAGCAGGCTTCCGAGAAACTTTCTGATAGTTGGAACGTGTGAGCACCAGCTTCTGAAATCCTCAAAAGACATTCCTTTATTAGAACCATCATCATCGGATTTCGAGAAAGAAGCGGCATTAAGGAGTGAATCCACCATCTCACTGTAATCACTTGATTCCACATCAGCGCTCTCAGTGGAGAACACACTCTTGAAGATCACCACAAGGACCAACTCTAAATCGGACCTGAAGACATACTAGGATGTCAAATATAGCCGAATAAGCATCTAACCTGAGACTTCCGGTTCAAATGTCTATGCGATGAGTTCTTAACTGGACAAGAGATCCAAGACAGGTAATGAAGCTTGATCACATAAAAAAAGTCAATTGAATCCACAAGATAATATGTCAAGAGCCTCGATTACCTTGTCAAGACCCCATTGCCATTCACATCCAAGGTCTCGTAAATGAACTCAGCAATCTCGTCATCTGTTCCTTTTTCGTAAGTTGCCTGAAAAGCAACAAGAGTTATGCTCAACACAGTAATCTCTGAATCGAAACCTAGAAAGAAAAAAACAAAATCCAATTGGACTCTGGATTACAGGAATTGCGATTGTAGATTCCTGATGGTGTTGAACCTCACAATCGGAGGAAAATCACAAGAAGAAACCAACACTAAACACGATAAAAGAAAAGTACCTTAGCAATTACAAGATCTTCATAAGTCATTTTACCATCTTTCCTGTGTTGAGTGACCATATCAAACATGCTTTCTCCTAAAGAACCACTCAGACCAAAATACGCCTGTGAATCGAATCCACCACACATTCGTGAAGCTAATTCAAATTATTGACCATAGAAAGAAACCCGATGAGAAATACACAGAGGAAATCGTCAAAACCTGGAAAACGGGGTAAGATACGTATAAGTCATTGCTCTGAGATTGGGAAGCGAGGGAGTCGAAGAGAGACTTGAGATCTTCGAGCTTCCTCTGAGTAAAAGCCCTGCAACAAACGAACAGAAAATTGATAAGGTTCGATTTCCAATTGAGAAAGAGATATTTGAGAGTGAAGTGAGATTGGTTCCGATGAAGACCTGGAAGCAGATGTGAAGCGATGATTTACGGAAGACGAATTCGAATTTCCCATTTCGCCGGTTTCTTTCTCTCCTTCCACCGGCAAGTTTCGCCTCTGTTCTTCAATTATTTGTTTGTTTTATTCGCTTCTTCAAATTTACAGCATCAGAACCCTACAAAATTTAATTATTCTAACTAACCCCATTATTTTTAGTCCGTTCCAAATTGATCCATCGCGAAGCAGCAAAGTAAAATATTAAAAAGTTGTGACAGTTTATAACATAAAATTTGAGCTCTGGATTCATACGAAAGTTTTTTAGGTGTTTGTTTCCTATTACAGGGGATTCAAATTCATTATTAGTTAGGGCCTAACTATATAAAGTTGCGATCCAATCATTTTTTTATTTAAGGAAATATATGAATGTAAACTCCAAAATTCTAGAAATCTATGTTAAAATAGTGCTAGAAATCTAGAACCATATATGGAAATGGACCAAATTCAATCTAGTTTTGGTTATGGATTCAGTTCTGTTTTTTTTTTTTTTTTTTTCTTAAAGAACAGACTTATAAAACCAAATCAGTCATGTATTTGTTTTGGTGAGATCATGTGAGTGCGCCTATGTCATTTACACGAATGCTATTGACTTTACAAGTCAACTATGATTTTAATGAACAAGATCTCATTATGTGATAAGATGGGCGATGAGAGACGATTAAGTAAATATTTTAAAAGTCGATTGTGAATATGCTAAAATTTCAATGGTTCAATCACTTGAACAACTAATTTGTTGAAAAGTGTATATATATACATATATATATCGAGCTAATTATATAAGTATACCTTATAAAAATATCAGAGAGAATATATACCTAAAAATTATATAAAATAGATAACAAACAAAAAAAAAACCATTCCTGATATAATTTGATACGACCACGTTTTCTTAGTTTTTATTTCATTCTTACTTACACCTACAATTGATACACGCAACAATTCAATCCTAAAATAGTTTTTAAAAGCTAATTATGGGGTTTAGCGTCACTTAATGTCAAAATTGATGTGCACATTACTTTTCTATATCATATACATTGTGTTATTTCTTTATGATAAATGATAGTTTCCGTAGATTGAATCTTGAAATATTAATGGATCTAAGTTTCACACATAACTTCAACGCAGATATTTCATTTTGATTTTTTTGGGCCGACATATCTGCGCATATTTTCGTCAATCTTTCACCAAAGCGGATGTAAAACTTATTAATTTTGCTTTGACATCTATGAATTTTCATCATTGAGGTCTGGAACAAACTAATCCACTTCTTCTGTAATAACATCCTTTTGTTATAACACATATCATATATGGACTCTTATACCGACCCATTAAGCCCATTAGGGCATTGTACTTAACCTAGATTCCCTATGTACTCTATATATACATTCCAGTGATTAATAAAGTTTCTAAGTTTTCACAACACGTTATCAGCATGATAAGACTCTCTGAGCGAAAAACCCTAATAAATCCGGTCACCACCAAAATCCTAAAAGCAAGTCGAAACTTAAAAGACGCATATCTTCCAAACCGTGAGGAACCAGAAGACGATCTACATATCAAATCGAAGCCCTCGACGAGACGAATCTACTGGTGAAAACCGTTTGTCGATCCAACGTCGGACGCGCCCTCACGCACACTTACAGTACACGACGATCAACCGAAAAAAAAAAAAAAAACCAGATCCGAGTTTTTCCTTCTTCAACCAGCAGCTTCTCCAGTTTTGGTGATCAATCCTTGGAATTTGTAGCGGCTAACTGAGGTCTATTAGCTCCCAGTTTTATTAGCCTGTCAGAAATCCAAAGGTGGAAAAGGTATCTTCTAAAACTGAAAGCCATAGAACCTGTTGTTTAAACACTTCAAAACCCTATAAAAAAAAAAAAAAATCGATCTCTAATTGATTGAAAGTGTTTGATACTCTGATGATTGATTGATAACTTGTTGATTGATTGTTTAAATTACAAGTTTATGCATGTTCAAAGGTTTTAAACTCGTTTTATAAAACCCTAATCTACAAAAACCTAACAACCGTTTTTGGCCATGTTTATGGCATAAACCTATTCGATTTTCTTCATGTTTACTAAGCTTGTTGCAGCTTATTTGATTGTTGATTCTCTTGCTTGAAACACTTGATTGAATAAACTAAGAAAATCAACCCTAAATCCTAAGCTTGATTCACGATTTTGTAATCTTCAAAATCGTAAGTCATAATGCTTAAACCCTAGTCCTTCACGTGATTTCTTTGTTGTCCTTGTGAAATTATTAAAACCATCGACCACAGATCCTATAGATCTCGAAATCACATCCAAAATATGTTTTCCAAACCGTTAAAACCCTAGATAAAACCCTAATCATATTCGGCTCCCCTAGGGTTCCTCCTAAACCGCCTAAAACCGGCTAAACCTGGTTCTCATTAACCGAAATTATATTCGGCTTTAACCGATTAAATCACAGCTATTAAACCGACATCATGTTCGGGGTAACTAAAACCATACCCTTTAAAATTTACTATTTCCGAGAAAGTTCCCTCTAATAGAAAGTTTCCTCATATAAAAACTTTCCTCATATAGAAATTTTCCCGACATAGAAACTTTTCCTCATTTAGAAAATTACCCAAATTAGAAACTTTCCAAATTTAGAAACTTTCCTAAAATAGAAATATTCTCAAAATAGAAAGTTTCATCATCAGCATTCAAAATTTTCTCAAAACAATCCCTAACAAAATCAATCTCATGTTTTAGATGTCAAACATTCAGAAATGTGAATTCGAGGCCCTTCACGTCTCCGGGGATAACTACCTCGAGTGGGCCCTAGACATGCGCTTGTTCCTTGCATCGAAAGAACTCGATGCATGTATTACCGACGGTAACACCGCATCCCGTAAGGGACAGTCTCAGGCGATATGTCACATACGCCATCATCTGGCCCCGAGCCTTAAGCAGCAATATCTCACTCTTGAGAATCCACTTGAATTGTGGCAAGCGCTGAAAAAGCGATATGACCATCAGAAAATGGTCCAGTTGCCTCAGGCAGATTTCGACTGGAAGAACCTTCGGTTCCAGGATTACAAATCCGTAGATGATTACAACAACGAACTCTTTCGTATTGTTGCCATCCGGAAACTCTGTGGCGAGAATGTGACAGATAATGATCTCCTCGAGAAAACATTATCCACATTCAGCACAGAGAATGTTGTGCTCCAACAACAATACCGTGCAATGAAACACACATTGTACGAAGACTTGTTGTCCTGTCTTCTCCTCGCTGAGAAGAATAACCAGCTGCTTATGAGGAACAGCGCTATGAGGCCCCCGGGATCGGCTCCTGTCCCAGCTTCTCGTCAAGAGTCCTACCATGTTCAACCCGATAGATCCTCAGATCACCGCCGTGGACGTGGTAATGGACGTGGTAATGGCCGAGGACATGGACGTGGAAGACGTGGACGCGGACATGGTCGTGGCAACCGACCTAACCTCAGTTATGGTCCCCGTCGTGGTCGAGGCATCACCAAGCCGACCCGCCACACCAACCCCGATCACTCTGCTTGTACCAGATGTGGGATGTTCAACCACCCAACAAAGCAATGTCGCACCCCCAAGATCCACTGCGATCTATACCAGAAGTACGGAAAAGCTCCTGCTGAAGCCAACATGACTCAGCCAGTCGATGCTGCTAACCTGGAAGGTGACGACCTCCTTGTTGATGAGAACACCACAAACGAGCAGACCGACCCCATGGACTATGAAACAGCTGATCTCCTCGATTAATTCAATCATCTGAAACTCTGATACAATTTGATTTTGTTCTTTATTTTTCATTTTGGGATTTGTTTCATTTTTTTTTTCCATTTGCCTTTATTCTCAGACACTGCTTTACTTTATGATTTATCACATTTTCTGAATTCCTCAATACTGAATTCTATCTTCTATTCATAATGAAGCACACCAGCAAATGGAAACCATAGTCGTAGATAGTGGATCCAGCCACACTATCTTAAGAAACAAAAGTTACTTCATAAACCTAACCTATCAAACCGCAAATATTAGCACCATCGCGGGTCCCTCAAACCTTATCGAAGGATATGGCCATGCCTATGTGTTGCTATCAAATGGCACACAACTTGAAATACCAGATGCTCTATATTCTCCTAGTTCGAAGAGAAATCTTCTGAGCTTCAAGGATATAAGACAGAATGGTTTCCACATAGAAACCCAAGGTCAAGGGAACAAAGAATCCCTCCTAGTCACTAAAACCGTAGACGGCCATAAACAAATCCTCGAAACCATACCCGCGCTCTCTACTAGACTTTACCATGCTAAAGTCAGTATGATTGAAGCTAATACCACTCTCAAAGCCCGGTTTACTGATTATACTATTTGGCACGACCGGCTCGGTCATCCCGGTGCAAATATGATGCGTAAACTAATTCAAAACTCTCAAGGGCATACCCTCAAAGAAAACCGAGCTTATCCTCAACACCTCATGTGCACAGCTTGTTCTCAAGGCAAATTGATCACTCGGCCTTCACCAGTTAAAATCTCTAAACAAACACTTCATTTCCTAGAAAGAATCCAGGGCGATATCTGTGGACCTATACATCCATCTTCCGGACCATTCCGGTACTTCATGGTCCTTATAGACGCATCGACCCGTTGGTCATATGTTTGTCTCTTGTCCTCTCGGAACCAAGCCTTCGCTAGGTTCTTGGCCCAAATCATCAAATTGCGGGCCCATTTCCCTGACTTCCCACTAAAGACTATCCGCCTTGACAATGCTGTTGAATTTACCTCACAAGCGTTTAATGACTACTGTATGGCCATGGGGGTAACCGTGGAATATCCTGTAGCACATGTCCATACTCAAAATGGATTGGCTGAATCATTCATTAAACGCATTCAATGGATAGCCCGACCATTACTCATGAGATCAAAGCTCCCGGCCTCAGCATGGGGATATGCAGTATTACATGCTGCTGAACTCATACGCATCCGGCCATCTAGTGAACACAAATATTCCCCATCCCAACTACTCTCGGGTCATGAGTCAGACATCTCCCATCTCAAAACATTTGGGTGTTCAGTATATGTACCCATTGCTCCACCACATCGAACCAAAATGGGACCTCAAAGAAGGATGGGAATATATGTTGGTTTTGACTCTCCCACCATCATAAGATATCTCGAGCCAACCACTGGAGATCTCTTCAAGGCCAGATATGCGGATTGCCATTTCGATGAATCGGTATATCCTTCTTTAGGTGGTGAGACAAACAAGCTGGTCAAAGATCTTTCATGGAATCAAACATCATTAAATTGGCAATATCCTCGGACTCTAGAATGTGATTCAGAGATCCAAAAGATTATTCATTATCAAAAGCTAGCTAATCAATTGCCAGATTCCTTTGCTGACCCGACCAAAGTAACCAAATCGTACATCCCAGCTTGTAATGCACCAGTACGAATAGCCGTCCCAACGGGACAGACCCAAGTTGCTACAGAGTCTGCACCACGTCTCAAACGGGGCAGACCTCTCGGTTCCAAAGATAAGAATCCCCGGAAATCAAAGAAAGGTGCAATAACCGAAACCGGGATTCCTGCAATATCAGACATAGCCGCGGCTGAGACTCAATCTAATGAACCCTCAATGGAAGTTCGGGACGCCGAATCTCCAGCTTCAGAAGATAACAATGAGATCTCCATCAATTACAATATGTCCGGAATACAATGGAATCGAAAAGAAGTCGACTTAAATGCACTCTTTGCATACAAAGTAGCACTTGATGTTGCGCTCACGCAAGAGGATCTAGAACCCACGTCAATAACACAGTGTACACATCGAACAGATTGGCTAAAATGGAAAGAAGCCATAAACGTGGAGTTAAAGAGTCTCAAACTCAGAAACGTGTTCGGTCCGATCATCCGGACCCCATCACACATCAAGCCAGTGGGCCACAAATGGGTCTTTGTGCGCAAAAGGAACGAACTCGGTGAAGTCGTTCGATACAAAGCACGGCTTGTAGCACAAGGATTCTCACAGAGACCCGGAATCGATTATGAGGAGACTTATTCTCCAGTGGTGGATGCAACAACATTCCGATTCCTCATAAGTCTGGCCATAAGAGAAAATCTTGATCTGTGGTTAATGGATGTTGTAACCGCATATCTCTATGGGCCCCTGGACAACGAAATATATATGAGACTCCCAGATGGCATTGAACTAAAAGACAAAAATGCATCTCGAGATCAATACTGCATCAGGCTGAACAAATCCTTGTATGGACTGAAACAAAGTGGGCGTATGTGGTACAACCGCCTCAACGATTACCTCATCAAAGAAGGCTACAAAAATGACCCCATCAGTCCATGCATCTTCATCAAAAAGTACTCAAACAAAGGATTTGTAATCATAGCAGTATACGTGGATGATCTAAACATCCTCGGAACATCTGGAGAGATCTCCCAAACAGTCGACTGCTTAAAAGCAGAATTCGAAATGAAAGACCTAAGCAAAACAAAGTACTGTTTGGGATTACAACTTGAGTACATCAAAGGAGGAATCCTTGTGCATCAATCGGCTTATATCGAAAAGGTACTCAAGCGATTTAATATGGACCAAGCTCACCCATTGACCAGCCCAATGGTAGTTAGAAGCTTAAGTGATGACCCTCTTGGTCCCAAAAAGGATGATGAAGAAATTCTTGGTCCTGAAAAGCCATACCTCAGTGCTGTAGGAGCGTTAATGTACCTGGCTAGTCACACTAGACCAGACATATGTTTCGCCGTGAACCTCCTCGCTCGATATAGTTCATCCCCAACTCAGAGGCACTGGAACGGTATAAAACATCTCCTAAGATACCTTCAAGGTACTCAAGAATTACAGTATAAAACATCTCCTAAAACCCGCGTTCCCGACAAAAATTACAGTATTACAACCCCAAATAACTGAACGATTACTTTATTTTACTTTCTCATTTTTTCTTTCTTTCAATAAATTATATATTTAGACGTAGTGATAGTATATTTAAGTATTCAACTACTCAGCGCTGTGATATCTATGATGCTATAGAGAAGCAATTTGTTAAGAAGATTGTTTTTTTCTTTTCTTTTTGTCACTGTGTTGAAAGATACGATCTTCATAATAGTATGATCTTTGATGCATGTGATATCAAGATGCACATTAATGGGTGCAATCAAGGATACCAGAGGAGACAAATTGATAATACTCTATTTGCTTATTTCTTTGAATTATATTTTGCAAGCTCATTTCTATTTAACCAATAAAGCAAAGTGATTGTAGTTAAATAGTTTGTACTACTACTACAGTAAGAAACGTTTCAGACTTATATATTAGGTCTTTAACAAAAAAAAAGCTTATATTAGGCTCTCTGCTCGTATTCAAAATGGGGCCCTTTATTAGTTAAATAAAATAGGTATGCCAAAAAGTTACTTACTTGAATAAAAAAATGCGCAAAGAAATGAAATTAAAGTCCAGTGAAAACGAATTAACAATAAATCAATTGATTTTTTTAAATGAAAACAAATATAGGATACATAATTGATAGGCCTCTCAGAAATCGAATTTACTAATTTTGTTTCCAACTTCTTCTAAGGTCGCCGTGGATAATTGTTAAGTCCGAACTTTTTTTTCAAAAAGTTTTGACCTCAATCTTCAGGAAAAATAAAACAAAAGTTTTTGGCCTTAAGCTTTTGCAACGTTCGCATTCCCACAACGCTGCCATTGACACGTACCAGTGTTGTGGTTGTGCTAAAACCCGCGTTCAAAATATTGAAATGATTCTGTGATGCAAATAAAGAAGACAAAAAAATCTGAAAAACTGCTTAAAATAAAATCCCGAGTAAGCAAAATAGGTCCATAATATTCACTTCAGAGTTTACATATGTAAATTAAATGGTTATATTTGTAATCTATTACATTTTTGTTATGATGTCGTATAAGGTTTAAGACTGCATGCTGCTTCACTCATCTAGGATATACAATAGTATGCATACTTAGTAACTTAGCAACTTGCTTTCTAAGGAAGAAACGAATTCGAAGCTTCTTGTCATTTACTTAAAGTCGGATCACTTCGGGTTCGGGTCAAAATAGAAGATAAGAAAATGGGACCAAAGAAAGAAAAGAGAAGTAGATTTATGAGGAACGAAGTATGCTAAGACTAAAGAAAATGGATTGGTCCCACCCAAATCCTAAACACAGATACTACTTCCCTCACACGTTCGAGAAGTGGATCCAAAAGTACATATTGATCCCTTCTAGTTTACAATGTCATGCATTTCAGTTAGAAATGTCAATATTAGGCTAATTAATGTATGATTAATTCAAATAATTAACAAGAACAAGAAATATTAGGACACCTCGTTATTGTAACACCTATATTGTTTTACATATACATAGTATGTGTTATGTAAAATTATGCAACATCTATATAAATCATAATTCAATAGTTTACTTATTTTTAAAAGTATATTCATATATCAGTATATTCATTAGTATAATTAATATACATACGTAGAGAAAAGAATAAAAATTAGATATATCTGGAAATATATAGTGTTTGCCGTTATGGCGCTTTTGCATTTGGCTGAAGCAGGCAACCAAGTTGGCACGAAGTTATTATGACGATAAGCCTAGGTTATTCTTCACCCTTGATTCTCATCAGGTTGTTTTTTTACAACCAAACAATCTTTTCATGCGATAACACGTCAACCAATTTGTTATTGGTTATTTCTGAATTTTTTTTCCAAGTTTTTTCTCTAATTATTTAATAATTTATAGGTGTAATGTTCATTGACGTGATTCATGCATGATATTTTATGATCATTGACTTAATTATTACAGTAATATACGTTATATATGGTTATCAAATCTTATTTCCCTTTAATAAACAGCCCAAGACAATAACCATCTATCATCTAGAGACTGAGAACAGTAGCACAACACATTTTAAAAGTTCATTAAAAACTTTAGAACTTCTTCAAACTATATATATATATATATATATATATAGGTTTGAGTTGTTCATAAATAGTTAAGGTTAAAACTTCAAATGACTTCCTGGATATCTAACAAGTAGACATAATTGAGAGCTTTAGATCCACCCACATAACTGGTTTTTCATAAACAACTACGAAATTTGACCACCAAACATTGGTCCCATTTGAACTGCTTCATGGGGTTTATTACTTACTCTCAACTCTCATATCATCCTCAATTTTTCATTGTCCCCAAAATTTCAACATGCAGATTTGAAATTTTATAAAATACTTATGGGTAGTTTTGGAATTGAAAAATTTATTCTTTTGTCTCCCTCTCATAAAACTTTTAATAAAACTAAGGCCAGGAGGTGGTTCATTTTATATATTTGCCTGTATTTGGGTTCTCTGTACCAATTCTGGTGTGTTGCCATTTAATTTTGTTTGCGTTTCTTTAATTTCAATTAAATTTATTTGACTGTACATTTTTTACTTGCGAAATTATGATTTTTTTTTCTTTTCAATTTTTATTGTAAACATCTAATTCAAGTTGGTTGCCATTTAATTGCTTGGTTCCATATATTAACTCCTATGAAGAAAAATAAAATAAATAATGGTAGTCTGTTGAGTATTTAATTTGATTTCTGTGTATTAGCCATTAAACACTTCTCTTGTTCTTTTCCTCCTCTATTTAATAAGCAATGAATTGGATTCCTGCAAATATCTACAGAATTTTATTGTGTATTTATGAAAAACATATTTTAAAAAACAATTACTGGTTTGAAGTTGAAAAGTAATTAAAATTCGATACTCTTGAGGCAAAATTAAAGCAATTAACCATCTGATATCATCTAGTATACTTCAATTCAATCTTTATGATTCTCTCTCTCTCTCTTACTCATAATTAAACCAAGCCTTAATGAAAAATCTATCTCTCTCCCTTTAGTTTTCTCTCTGTGTTCTTTCTTGTATATAAAGACCTAAGCTTGAAGCAATCCAACCACCAGTTAGTCTTTGTGATTGAAGTACGAAAAGTCTTTGAGATCACAAGAAACCCTCCTCCTCGTCCGCACGTTTCGAGGTATTTTTTTTTCTCTGACCAAACTCACTTTCACTTAATCTCTTCTTGTCTGAACCAGTTCTAATCCAATTCAACGTACAGAAGATGAGTCGAAGAAGTCCAAAGCTTGAGCTGAAGCTGAATCTTTCGCCGCCTACGTCAAGCCAGAGGAGGATGGTTCGATCTCCAAGCCGCTCTGCAACGACGTCGCCGATCTCACCGCCAAGCTCGTGCGTCTCTTCGGAGATGAACCAGGACGAGCCATCTGTGAGATACTCGACAAGTCCAGAGACAACCTCGATGGTTCTTGTCGGATGTCCTCGTTGTCTCATGTACGTTATGCTCTCAGAAGACGACCCTAAATGCCCTAAATGCAAAAGCACCGTTCTTCTTGATTTCCTCCATGAAAACGCCTCAAACGCCAACGCAAACGCCCCAGCCGCTGCTTCCACTGGTCGCAAGACTCGTAGGAACTGAAGGACCAGTAAAACAAAAAAAAAATCCGAAAATCCTCTCTCTCTCTCTTTTTTATGTCAAGTTTTCTATTTATTTATTTTTCCCTTTTTCTGCGAATGTAGCTGTTGGTTATGAGAGTAGTGCTAATCACGCTCCACTTTTAAAAACCCGGAGAAGAAATGTAGGAGATGAAATTAGGGTTTCCCTACTCATAAATTTTCAACTTTATAAAGGGTGGAGCGCGAATAGCACTAACTTTTCTTTTTCTTTTTATTTTCTTTTCTTCCTAATTAGCATTTTTCTACCATTTGGGTCCTCTAATGGAAGAAGAATTTATAAATATATGTATGTGAAAACATGTGTCATTGTCTTCGTGTTTTTACTCCCGCGTTCTTATAAATCATCTTATCCATCGAATTTCTGGTAACCCTTACTAACGGTAATACGGTATCGATGATCTAAACGTAGGCTCCGAAACTTTTGAGATACTCTGTTTTCGATACTCTGTTTCTCGGGCATGTGTAAAAGTAAGCATCTCTGATTTATTCTGATACTCTGTTTCGTGGATGTGTAAGAGTTTTAGACGTTTTGTGTGTAAGACTATGACAAAAGTAGACATTCTTAGCGTAGCGGACAGATTGCTTACACATCACGAAAAGTAAGATCAAAATTGACTTGTGAAAGATGTAGCTTGATCCTGATCCCCAGAAAAGCTCAAGAGAAAACTATTTTAGATTCCTTGTACTTGTTGAAAAAGCAGTTCGGAAGAGAGAATGAAAGAATGGTAAAATCAAATGGTTAGAGATCAGACAAGAACTTGGTATTGGTCCCACATGGGTTACTTTGACCCCACAAACTCATACACACAAACCCGAAATTCCTCTGTTTTTTTAATTACTTTTATATATATATATATATATATATATTTTTTTTTTTATATAATTTTCATGTTAACTCGAGATAGATCTCTGCTCATTCAAAAAGTCTCCAGACTTTGTAGCCTAATCATAGGCCTAAAAACTGATTTTTTTCCTTTCCTGCAAAAGAATCCATAACAAGATTTCGTCCTGAGCATTGGGTTGATTAAAGGCAAGAGCAGACAAATCTGGAACACGAGTTTGCAAATGGCAAAAAAAAAAGAAAGAAAAACAAAAAAAAATATATCAGAGAAACAAGTGATAATTATATAATCTTTTTGTTTGTGTAATAGCTACACGTAGTTGAATAAACTGCTTCTAAGCGAAATAGACAAATGGTACTATGATTCTAAAATCTATATTAAAAAAAAAAAAAAGATAATTCTGCCGACGAAGAAGTACAAAAAAAGTGAAAAGATGAAAACTGGTTAAAATCGAAGAGGAAAGTAGTTCAGAGCATTTAAATTAAAATAAATAAAAAACAGAGGAGGGTGCTACGATTTATATATATATTTTTGATAACAGCTGTTCAAAATGTTAAGATTTAGAGATCATTAAAACCAAAATATAAATGCAATAGTAATTGAGACAGTTGAGAATTGTAATGAGCGTTACGTCAGATTATAAATACGAATTTAATTCCACCTTCATTGCTCTCTTCTCGCTCACCTCTTCAAAGAAAGAAAGAAAGAAATAATTATTATTATCATGATCATGATGATGCTACGAATTTTATTTTTGTTTCTCTCTTGTTATTTTCTTTATTTTTTCTTCGTCATTACACTACTTGCCATGTCTTTTAAAGAACTCCATTTCTCTTCTTATCATTCACTAAATGCCACCTTTCTGTTGCCGCTTTCCAATTTTAGCAATCTCATCTTTCAAAGCTCCATGTTCCCTTATTCAATTCCTGCTTCCTACCTCTCCTTTTCTCTCAATTATGCGGATCCTTTGATTAACATTCTACTTCCATAGAGTTTATAATTTATAACCCCACATAGAACCAAACTAGTTAGATGCTATTAACTTCATTTAGGTTATTAGAATTGACATAAACCAAAGTGTGGAGATTTCTTTGTTCCTTTACGTGTAACATTTCTAAAGAGAGTTGTTAGGAGAGCTCTGCCGTTGAGGAAGAAATTATTCGTAAAATCAACCTGTTAATTATAACAATATTAAAAAAAAAATCTATGGGTCTGCCAGAAAAAAAGTTGTTAGACAGCGGTTACGTTTAAATTACCCCTTAAATGTATGATTCCTGTAAAAAAGTGAGGAAACAAAAAATTCCTTTGCCCCACCACAAAAAGTAAAATTTCTCTATTTTTTTCGCCATCAAAATTTATTTACGGTTCACTTGAAAACTTTCCTCGATTAATAAGAAGAGGGAATTAGAGAATTGATATGTGAACGGTTCTCGTTAAAACTACTAGTTCCATGTAGTCTACGTTAATAGGTCATCTAATCATATTATCATGTCGTATATTACAGAAGTGTATGTGAATTTCATGATGACGAGGAGACATGTGAGTGATGAAATAGAGACAGAGTGAAACAGTAGATTTGGTGTGGGCCCATTCGCAAACAAGAGGCCCACCAAAGATATTTGAGGACCAAGAGGTATTTTGGTCAACAAATTTCACGACGCAAAGCTATTAGAAACGTACTTATTCTCGCATGCAATTGCACGTTCACAAACACAAAGAAAACATGCAAAATCCATCCCTACTTTTGAAATTGACAAATATGTCTTGTGAATATATTTAGCTTAACCAGTTATAGGCTCTCCGACTCTCGAGAGATATATAATAAAGATACATATATAATCTACTTATTAACTAGTGTATTATTTGGATATGTATCTTTCCATTGTCAGTCCACTTAAGTCCACGAACGATATAGCCTTATAGTCCACACCACTCGATGTCCACGAATGTTATATATATAGAGAAGTATCATAAAATAAAATAGCATATTTCCAAAATTAGCACACTAAATTAAAAACTCCCAAAAGTAACATAAATTATTGTGTAACAACATGTTTCTTTTAGATAATTTTTTAAAATAATACATTATGTTTAGATCTCTGTTTTTTTTTTATTAATATTATGATTAGATTTTCCTTTTTCAATTTAGGGTTTAGATTTTTCATTCAGAAAAAAGAGTTTTAATCATTTTGATGTTAAACTTGTGCCAGTATAATTGGAAATTTGAACTAATGGCCGGATATTTAAAATGTGTCCTTTCAGAAAATTGCATATTTATATATTATAGGCTATAGCCTATTAGGACTAGTCACAGACGTATATGTATATCTAACAAATAATGAGGTATTAGGATCCACTTTTCTTTTTTGGCCAAAGTATTAGGATCCACTTAGCGCCGATATTAAACGTATTATTCATGGAGTTTATATTCACTTTTAGTGGTAAAACATGCAGAACGTTAACGTACGTTTTATACTATATTCATGAGAGCTCCGGATGTTGCCCAATGACTAAGCCTTTAGCTATCAGGTATTGTTCTAAAAGATGATCCTTAACATCTTCGCCACTAGCATCACACAAAAAATAAAAATAAATCCCCCCTTAAAAAATTTGACCAAGCTTTAAAGAGGGATGTATGTCATACTTTTAATTTCGATATTTTTTTGTAATTAGTTATTTAGTTATTGCTATAAATGCATTTAAACTTGAGTAGTTGAAATCTTATGTGGCTGTTCTTTATTGTGAGTCCAGTACACATTTAAGCTTCAATACTTTTCTTTGTATCTTCTCTATATACTTTCTTAAGTTTCACTGCCATCTTTCATATCAATTTACATGGGGAGAAATGCTGTCAGAAATTAAACTTGAATTGTTGATATTAATTTCTTGTATTATAATTAAATCATGAAAATGGATGAACTGAATTAATGATGAATATAATTATATATATTCTGTAAGTTAGTTAACCTCACATGTTGCAGATAAAATACTAAATGTAGATGTCCTCGTTTTCGGCTCGCATAGATTATGAACTGCAAATGAAAAAAATAAATAAACAAACAACCTTATGATTAACAATTCTAACTTATGCTAAGAGTTTGCACCAAAAAATAAAATAAACGAATACGCTAAGTGTTTGCCCCACAATATATAAAAAAACTTAAGTGAAATGATTAATTAGTAACTAACTCCAATTTTTCTAGTCTCTACCAATTTTCAGACTTTAATCATGGAGGATGTTGATGAAGTCTAACATCCACAATATTAGTTGTAATAGCTCTAGCTAATGAAGTTTCAACATCTTGGCCCCCAACTGCAATAGTTGTACCTATCTATCTTGACAGCCAGTATACCCTTTGGGGATTGTCAAAGGAGCAGAAGAATCAATTATGGTGTCATCGGTGAGCAAGACAGAAAATAACAATCTACGATCCTCTAGCTAAATGTCCTTGAAATGTTTGCATCAAGACTAATCTGCGATATCGTTCTTACATCAAGTGAATCTTCATATTCTTTAATGAGTGATCTTGTAGCACCTAACATCCATTTCAAATATTCAAAGCTTTTAAGTTTTAAGGATGCAGGCAGACTAGACTTTAGTTAGGCCTATTCTAGTGAGTGGCCCATTTTCTTTTTGTCTTCAACAATATCCGAATCAATTCCTTTATCAATATATTTTTAGTACCGCACAAAATACAAACCAATTATTAAAAGTCATTCGGGTGGAGTTTGACCCGAAACGGTTACAAGGGTTTTGGCAGAAAATAAAGGGACATTCCAAGAAATGCAACGTTTTAAATATAAAATAGGGATAAAAGGAAGCGTCTTTTTCAAGCAAACTTAAACTACCCTTTGCGTCTCTTCTCTTCTCCCTTTTCATTTAGTTGTTTCATTTGAACTCCACTGATTTCCTTTCTCTCTCTCTCGCTCGTTTACATTTTTCCTGAATCGCAGAAACCTACTTTGGTTTCTACTTATCAATTGCAGTTGCTTGTGCTCTGAACAAACCATTTCGTCCTGGTTTCGGATTTGAATCAAGATTCTAGCCCGAAAGAAGATGCTGGGAGATCTCATCACAAGAATCCTAATGTTAAGATCCTCTTCCTTAAATCCAGTAACATTTGGCATTTTCGTCCCCTCTCTTAGCTTTGTTTTTTTCGGAAATTTACAGATTGCTTGTGGGTTACGCGTACCCAGCATATGGATGCTACAAAAGCGTGGAAAAGAAAAAGCCTGAGATCCAAGAACTTAGATACTGGTGCAAGTATTGGTAAAGCTTACCACTTGTTAGTTAGAAAAGATTCTTTCTTTTTTCTTTTTGGATAAGGAATCTTATTCCCCATTACACCATCTTATCAAAAAATCCGATTCGATTTTGCAGGATCTTGTTGGGTCTCCTTACAGTTTTCGAAAGGATAGGAGACATCGTTGTATCGTGGTGAGTATGAACTATTAACTATAAATCTCAGTCAAAATACTTCTGAATTGGTTTTGATTCAATCTTGCAGGTTACCTCTCTATGCCGAGATCAAAATCGCTATTTTCATATACTTATGGTACCCGAAATCACAGGTACTACTCCATGCGAGAAAATCTCATGAACATTCATTCATTCATTCATTCATTCATTCATTCACAAATCCAAAACTTATCCTTTTGGTTTCTGACAGGGAATTAGCTATGTCTACGAGAAGCTACTATGCCCTTACATATCAAGGCATGAATCAGACATCGATCAGGGGATTTCGGTTTTGAAGATTAGAGGACGTTCTGTAATTGTTCAATTAGTAAAATGTGGCTATCACTGGACTCTACAAATCTTCAGGCATGTACAACAACATTTCGCTATCTATAAGGTACGAAACACAAACACATTGAAATCTCATTCCCATTTCATGAAAGCCAGAAGCTTTACTGCAGTAGTACAGTACCAAGTCCATTCACTTGCCGTTCTGCAGAAAAATGACCGATCAAAGTCAAAAGAGAGACAACAAACAGCAACTTCGTTTATGTTCCTCCGTTAGCTGTCGCAGAAGGACTGAATTACCAAGTGCGAGTAGGTGTAGCCACTCTCACGACAATCACAATAACCGGTTTTAACCGTCTGGTCAGGGAAACTGGGATCTCTAGCGCCAAACCCGAGTTGGACATGACAATCACTATAAGCAGCTTGTGGACGACGATGAAATTTGACGAATAAACAAAAAAGAAAAGAGAGATTTTGAAGAATTCAGAAACCAAAAATCTTTCCTTGAATATCTTTTGATGCTCGTAACACTTTATTGTATACAAACAGTTGTGTTCAATTCCTGAAACCCAAAGTATTTATGCAATTTCTCGCTGATAAAAATTGATAATTGACCCCAAACCAAGCTTTTGTTGGAGTTATTTCACAATCAGGGGAATAGATTGGAAAATCCAGCCAAACATACGTCTCAGGAACTGGATTCCGGCGGAGAAGTGGAGCCATATGCGGCGGAGGAACTGAGAGCCAGGCGAGTTCTCCGATGAAGTAAGCGCCGTTGGCTGTAGATAAGACCAAGCGGCTTGCTTAACGAGAGGGTTGCGAATTGAGATATCTCCGACGGTGGATACGACGGGAGAGCTGCTACCGTTAATCGGCGGTAAGTTAACGGAGGAGTTGCTCGGAGATGAGAGGATATCTCTGAGGGATGTGTAGGCTACGAAGGAGGATGGTTTAAGGGAGATGAGCTCAAAATCGAACGACGAAGGAGACGACGAATCGATCGCGAAAGGAATATCGGAGGTTATCACAGCCGTTGTCGTTGATATGGAGTTTCTACGGCGGAGCGGAGTCGCCGGGGATGTTGACGGCGGAATCTCCATAGTCTTCTTCCTCTTGTTTTGTTGTTTTTCTGTGAAGGTTTGTGGCTGATTGGGTTAAGTATTGATGACCAATTATTGAGGTCTATAATATGGACTGTTGTCACTATCTTTGCGTATAATCGAGAAACTTTTTATTTTAATTTGTATTTTTCTCAATAATTTTGGTTGGAAGAAAGACAAATTACAAAGTAAAATAACTGTTTACTTCTTTATACTTTTTTTCGATTATTCTATTTTTTATGTGAGTTTCTTCAGTGTGCTAGATACCATCCAAGTAGTATTTTTGCTGATAAATGCAAAATTTATAAATAAACAGGAGACTAGATGAGATATATTCCGAGGCCAACCAACCAAAGAGAATCAAAATTTTGTGGTAATCCCTTTCTTAGTAATATATTTGAGTAATGTAAATGAAAACAAAAATATTTTGATTCCATTATTAAAGTATGCTCCAAACGCAATTAACTCAACAAGTAGTTATTAGATTATATACACAATATCAATAAGTTATATACTCATTATCTTTGAGATTCTTTAGATTTCCATGGATAATTGATATCCTAATTGATATTGTGTATATTCTAATATTAACAAAATATATTAATATCAAAAAAGGTACTAACAAAATGTGTCTATATACATCTCTTCTTCTTTTAATAAACCACGACAAAGTCCTATCGTTTGACTCATTACATTCTTCAAGGCATATAGCATTACCAATGGGTGCTTGATATAGCCACAAGATGAATGGATATATATACACTATAGTGGGCAAGTAGTTTAGGCCCAGTGGGCCCTTAACAATAAGAAAAAGAAAAGATCCGGACGCAGTCCACACTCACTGCCTCGACACGATGTCGTTTTTGTTTCATCGAATTTCCGCATTCTCACTCTAGAGAAGCAGCACTTTCTTTCTCTATCCGCTTCGTCTCTCCCACCTTCTCACAGTTCTCCACCTCACACACTCAAACATCACAAGACCCCTTTTTTAGAATAAGTGTGTAAACCAGTCACACGAAGAGAGAAGAGAGAGAAGAGAGACGAGAACAGAGTCCTCCTGTCCATGGCGTCTTTAGCGTCTTCTACCACACTCATCTCATCTTGTAGGGTTCTTCCTTCCAAGTCTTCCTTTTTCTCTCCCACCGCATCATCTTTCCTCCGAACTCTACCCTCTTCCTCCGCATCATCCTCTTCTCTCTGCTTCCGTCTCGATTCCATAACCTGCACCCGCTCTGCTTCTCGCCGTAACTTCGCCGTCAAGGCCCATATCGTAAGTGACCTCCAATTCCATTTCTCGTATTTGCTCTGTTTTCTTATCCAGTGTGAATTTAGCAATAATTCGTTAGCTTAGCTTATTATAGGGTATTGGTGGAAGAAAACTATTACTCTCAGAGTTCTGCGGCTGTGAAATGTTTTAAATTGATCGACTTTTTCGTTTAAAGATGAGGAAAAATGATTTCCAAAGCTCTCAGCTTTGTAGAATTGACTCACATTTGGATCTTTTGAGCCCTGATTAGTGAAAATAAGTTCAGCTAGAGCATATTTTGTGTGGCGGAAGTTAACAATCATATGATCAATGTGTAAAGAGTTCTTTTTTTTTGTTTTTGTTTATCTGTGAATTCAGGATGATTTGCCTCTGGTCGGTAATAAGGCGCCTGATTTTGAGGCAGAGGCAGTTTTTGATCAAGAGTTCATCAAGGTACTTGGGTTACATATAACATGTTTAGACCATTTCTGCTGCTTCTACTTAGTTAGTGTCATAAGAGGTCAATGCAGTAGAGGAATACTCTGGTTGTTGAAAAGCTTGATTTGGTTACTATCGATGTCTGTATCATGGTTTCAGGTGAAGCTCTCAGAGTACATCGGTAAAAAGTATGTGATTCTGTTTTTCTACCCATTGGACTTCACTTTTGTCTGCCCTACAGGTTAGTTAGTATTCTGCTCAGCAAGTTTAGACTTTAGATCGAAACTGAAAGTACTCTCAACTTGACTCACTGCTTATCTCTGGTCTTCTAATTTCTGTTTTTTTCTTTCTTTTGCATATTCTAGAGATTACTGCCTTCAGTGACCGTTATGAAGAATTTGAGAAGCTAAACACGGAAGTATTAGGGGTCTCAGTCGACAGTGTGGTAAGTGACACTTATTTCTTGCTTTCTTTCATTTCCTAATTCGAATTAACTTAGTTGTAGTGTACTCAGAATTTTGGCTAGTGGTTGAAAACCGATTGATCACCTTATTTCTTGCTTTCTTTCATTTCTTAATTCAAGTATCTCTGAAATAGTTCAACGTTTTGACTCCATGTTCATGTAGTTCTCGCATCTTGCGTGGGTCCAAACAGACAGGAAGTCAGGAGGGCTCGGTGATCTGAACTACCCACTTGTCTCGGATATCACTAAATCCATTTCAAAATCGTTTGGAGTGCTCATCCCTGATCAGGTAACCCTAAACTGATCAGTTATCAACACTTGTGTTCTTGGGAGTGTTTGGGATTTTAAAGACTAAGAGAACTTTCAGCCACCCTAAACTAAAGCATTGCTATAAACGCAGGGCATTGCACTGAGAGGGCTTTTCATCATCGACAAGGAAGGAGTCATTCAGCATTCCACCATCAACAATCTCGGTATTGGCCGAAGCGTTGATGAGACTATGAGAACCCTCCAGGTAAATAAAACAAAGAAGAAAACTCATTCCAAACACATGACTGAGAGAGAGAGAGAAAGAGAGACATTGTTTTGCGGTTGATTGTTTAGATGCATTACGTGTTACTCATTTTGGGGATTTTGGCTTGCAGGCATTACAGTATGTTCAAGAAAACCCAGATGAAGTTTGCCCCGCGGGATGGAAGCCCGGGGAGAAATCAATGAAACCTGACCCCAAGCTCAGCAAAGAGTATTTTTCAGCTATCTAGAGAGGCTTTTGTATTGAACCATTGTTTGTTGAAAAGCAGAGGCATTTTTTATCTTTCCTTATATATTTAGAGAGCTGAGTTTGTTATTTCTGCCAACGAACATTTGTTTGAAAATCCTCTTTAATTCTGGTTCTGCTACCAGAGTATCTGACCTTGCAAAACTAAATTAGAAACAAAGCATGTGAGATCAGGTCTGTTAAGATTTAGATGACTTTCTTATTGATTTGTTTAATGTAATGTTCTTAAAAAGCTGATTATCCACATCTTTAGCCGACAACTATTTTATGTTGTCCTCATTATACGTTTACACGGAATATTCTCTAACTTTGATCCTGAGTATAAATCGTAAAATCTTTTTTTGCACATTTTCTTTAAAAAATGTACTTGGTTGGACAGGGAAGATGATAATGAGAAAAAATTTAAATATCCAAGAGAAAAGGATCGTTTTGACATTTCTTGATATAATTATAAGCCTATGCTTTTTTTTTTTAACCATTAACCAAAATGTACAAAAGACAAGTGGGGATGATGGGGTTTGGTTTATACGCGGTTAGCAGTTACCCACGTGGTTTTATCCACTTCACACATTAAACCCCCCTTACAAAACAATGTTAACAAAACGACCCCAATACATTTTTTTGTCCCCTTCCCGACCTTTCCTTCTGATGTTAAAAAACTTCATTTTCCGCTGTACACTGCTTTATACCCAAAAAACTTCCCTCGTACACACTTAATTCCTCACGTAGCAACCTCCGAACCCGGTACATAGCTGAGCCGGTCCACTTCATCCCATACCAATTTCGACGTTATCTCATCGAACTCCGGTTCATATTCCTACAAACATCATTTTGTAAAATCAATACAAAACAATATCATATAAAAAAACAAATCATATTTTATGAATGTAACAATTTTGATTATTTATACCTCGAGTTGTCGAACCAACTCTTTCGCGTTCGGTGCAGAAACGATGATCCTACGAGCCATTGGGGATATAAATCCTTCGTCCACGGCCTTATCGATAAACGTTAACAGCGAGTTGTAGTAACCATCCACGTTAAGAAGACCCACCTGTCAAAGAGATTATTGATCAAAAATAATGTTAGAAACCAAATATCATAAATTCTATATATAAAAAAAAAGATTACGACATGGGAAGCTTCCGGTCTCACAATCAGGGGTTATGTAGTCGTACGTCGTGACAACACATCGTTTTTTATATTCATGCAAAATATCTTATATAGTTGTTTATTACGTTACATGCTCTTAGAATGAGTGAACAGTTTTAATCAAATTTTAAATTGGAATAGTAAAGGAAGAAACAAAAAAATGTGTAGGAGGAATAAAGTATCCCGAAAGGAATCTTGCTCCATGTGATTATTACGACGCACCATATGCAACCATTTGTATCTTCGTCCAGTCAAATTAATCCAAACATTATATTTTATAAAACACTTTAGGTTTAAATAAGAGAAAAAATATTCAACACGCATATTCCGGTCGTAACTCATAACAATAATGCAAACTCATATCATATGTACGTATATTATTCCAGAGTTTACTTATAGAATCTTGAAATGTTTAACGAGAACTTAAATTTCCCTGATTACGTACCGGCTTACGGTGGATTCCAAGTTGAGCCCATGTAATGACCTCCAGCAATTCTTCCAACGTACCATACCCACCTAACAGTTTACCAAAATTTTAATTCGAAATATCTCAGCTCTTATACAAATTATTTAGCTATTCGAGTTGGACTAAAATTTATAGAAAATAAAAAATTGGATTACGAACCAGGAAGGGCAATGAAGGCGTCCGCTTGACGAGCCATTTCGGCTTTCCTTTGATGCATATCAGCGACGGCTCTCACCTCTCCGATGGTCTCGCCGGTTATCTGCAAATTATTAACACCGTTTTTAAAAATATATACTTCGCTTTATTATTGCCTCTAAAATGTGAAACCGCAATATATCTTATATTATATGGTCATTTTTAATGTGGGTATTACATATAAATATATATTAGTTGGTCAAGGAGATGCATCGTGACGGAAACCAAAAAACGCTCCAAGTCTCAATCATTCCTCTTTTGGTCCTACCACTATTTCACGTAAGATCATTGCAAGGCAATTTTATCTTAATACTAATTTGATACCGACTCTAAAATAAATAAATAAATAAAAGATTTCATTCAATAGAGCTTTATTCGGTGCATACCTCTCTTGGCATCAAGGTTTTCGGGATGACCCTACAAGAGATTAGTGAAGATACCGGTTAATAATGAATCAATCACAATGCCAAAACAAACCGGTTTAGAACTAACAACTAATTAGAAAATAATGAAATTAAGTTGACCATTTTGGTTATAAATAATTGAAACGGGATTCTCTCATAGAACATACCACACACAAGAAAATATGCAGCTTCATTTAGTAAATCATTTATAAAAGGCAAAGCGACACTTTTGGACAAAGGAAACATGCACAGATCCTTTTTTGTCGTTGTTATGTTCAACTCTCTTATCAGATTCAACTAAGCTCCTCTTCTAACCAAAAATTAACCAACTATCAAATTCAATGTTAATTTAGCAAGTATTAGGCATCATGTAGATAGTCATCATCAACAGTGAAATGTTTAAAAACACAATGATGAGTAAAGGGGTACTTGGAACTAGTAAATGCATCATATCGTATGAATAGAGAGTGTACATGCATAGAGATGTGTGAATGTCTATACATATATATGGATGGAGAGAGAGAGATAGAGAGAGAGAGAGCAAACCCTAGAACATGGCGACCACCATGATGAACAGCCTGAGAGACGAGACCCATAAGCCCCACGCTGCCACCTCCGTATACCAAATCAATCCTTCTCTCCACCTTCAACCACATTCCCACCATAATTTCTTTAATTGATTATAATCGATTACAATAATAATATTACACGCATTTATTTATGATAACAGAGTTTTCATGATGAAAAATGAACACGTGTCGCAAACCCATATCCATAATCGACCCCAAAAAGAAGCAACCACATCAAATATCAAATCTCAATTAAGAAAATAGGGGAAAATAGCTCATCATCATCAATCCTAATTTCAATGGTCACCATCCTATTAATACTATTATTATTACCTACAGATCAATCACAAATATTTATTACAAGGGGGTTCTAATTATTATTATTAATTTTTAAATATTTTGTGTTGTTGAAAAAGTACACCCCACAACACACGCTTTGTACATAGTGTCATTATTCTTCCAACGAACAATTTTTGGGTTTTTTTTCGCCCCTCGAGGCAATAAAAACTGTCATATTATTTATCTTTCCCGTAAACAAAATCACTCATTATACTTGGAAACTTGAGTTTAGGTTTAAGAAAAAAACATAGGAAACCTCAGAGTAATGGAAAAACAAGTTATATATGTGTGTGAAATAATGTAAATTACTGGAAAATAAATAACAATAAATAAATAAAATAGATCATGCAAGAGTGCTGCTCGAGTGACAGGCGGGTTACAGCTAAGAATAGTAGAAGTTACTATTTTCTCATCTTTCTTTCATGCCAATAACAATAAAACTTGTCACAAATTCGATTTCAACCCAAACAAAAAAAAGAAATCAGCATCCACACGTTTGGTAGATTCATCATTGTTCGTTGCAACACACAATAAAAACCCATAATACCAATGTTTCAAAGAAGATTCTGAGTTCATATCTCAAATTAAATCTTCATTTTTGAGTTCATATTAAGTACTATTATAAACTTTTCAATCAGTCAGCGTATTCACAAAGAAATAGTCATAATAGATTTTGTGCGAAAGGGCTCTCTACTTACAAATGACACAACAAGGTGATAAAGAATGTGTATATATCTGTCCTAAGTTTTGAATATGAAGTATCTGTAAACTATATATATATATGTTTGAGAAGAGAGAACGTACCAACTCGTTACCCAATTGAATGGCAGCTTCTTGGTAAGAAGGTTTTTTGCCGGAACTGCTTCCGCAGAAGACACAGATCCTCTTGAATCTTGATTTTGTCTCTTCCATCTCTCTCTCTCTCTCTTTTCTTTCTATCTTTCTGCCTTTCTCTTTCTCTCTCTCTCTCTCTCTAGAGCTTAAAAGTTAAGTTTTATGATTATTATGATGAATGAGACCACACTTTGGAATTGTGTTAGTATTTATATATGTAGAGGAGAAGGAGGATACTATAAATGCAAATGCGATTCCCATGCCCTTCCCCTTTTATTAATTGTTTAGTCATCTTTTGTTTTTATATTTTATTTTGTTTTGTGTTTTCGTCTAACGAGAATTATTTTTGAATTATAAATTTTTTTAGTAGTCCTGTTAAATAAGTTATAACATTTTTTTCTATTAATATATTACTTTGAAAAGTCATTTTATGTCAGTATACGGCCGTGATTTAGAATATGATCTCGAATTTTATTTTATTCATGTTGTAAGGAAGGATTAGATTAGATCTATCACAGGTTAGAAGATCTGTTCAGATTTTGTATCTGATTAGGTGTTTTTTTGGGGGTGTATGATTAATTCAATAGAACTAGATTCATTGATAAAGTTTTCATACACTTATTTCATTTTTTTCAAATAGTTTTCGTTAAGAGAGCAAAAAACTTGTCATGGGTCTATCTCACCAAAAATATATCCTTTGTTAGGCTCTATAGATCGGAACGGTCTAACCACGTTTGTACATATCTAACACTATAGTTTACAAAATTAGTAGTGTAAGGTATTTGTCTATAACTTCCATTGTTAGCATAACTTTTGAACTTTCAAAAGATAAAATATGAAATTTTGAACTATATATCTAATATTTTCTCATCATTAACATTACATAACCATTGAAAAATTTTCACCACAGAAAAAAAAAACTATTTGTAACACATGATAAGCATTTTAACCTGCTATATATGAAATTTTTATACCGTCCAGACTTTGTATAGGCTGTGATTTGAAGTTTTGAATCCTATATCTAAACATGTAAAAAGTTCTCTCATCATTAGCTCCAAAGTGTTTGCACGAATTAGATACCTAAAATTTACTATTTTGAAATCCAAAAATTATATACATTTTTATATTAGAAAATGTTACAACAAACAAACAAAAAAATCTACCAAGTTAGAAGATCATATATAGTCTGTGTAAAAGTAACCATTATAGTACGATAGAAATTAGAAAGTATTACTTTTGCAGTGATCAAACAATTTCTTAGAAAACAACAAGATATGCAAATTGCATATTTAATATATAATCTACACGTTGTGGATTTGACAACCACATGAAGGAGAATGAGGTTACTTTTCTAATCTGAATTTAGAGATTTGGATATAAAATACTGTTAGTTGTCTCAGTGGTCCGATTTGGTTTCGATTTAGTTCATTTTCTACTAATGGTGTATAGAATAGATAATAAAATCAGTATAAAGTGTTATGATTTCTTTTTCTTCGTTTGCGGTTTTGAAACTTCCATTATTACCGTCCACAATTTTTGGAATTAGTATCATTGTATGTATTATTTTTAATGTACTCGCTAATTATATCACTAATTCTAAAGGAGTTATTTCATTTGCTTAAAAGAAAACACTACATTTTTCTTACTTTTTTCGTCGTCGTCTGAGATATGTTTACTATAAAACACTCTTCCGCCATAAAAGAAAAAATTACTTGGAATATAATCGTCAAAATAATTTTTGTTTCTATAATGGATTAAAGCCTTGCGAGATGTCTCGTAATCACTTGTTTGGTTCTTCACGTCGTTATCAAACTTCCACCCGTTAAAGCAATAGTCCCTCCGCATATTCACACCTACGTTTTATAAATATCATTTATGTATTTAAATTGATATAAAATGGATAGGCAAAATAGTATAATATCAATCCTATCAAACAAAAATCGAGATCCAAGATCTGCAAAAATAAGGTCCATCTTATTTAGTATATCATGGTTTTATTAGTCAATTACGGAGTGTTAGACCAATTCACAGAGATGCATTTTATTTACATTGTAATATCTACCACATAACCTGAAAAATAACTAAATCAATCCAGCTAATTCACGAGTTAACCGCATCATCCTCCTCTTTCTTTTGATGAACCAAGTAAGTAAGAATGGTTTCATAAGTAGATAAAAATATATATATATATAACTACCAATTTATTTGGCATATATATTGTGTTGAATATATAACAGCTGTAAGCTGATGCAATCATCCAACAAATTCGGATGATCCTTACATGGCTTCCTTTGACTAAAGTTATTTTTTCGCTTTATGATACATTGATACATATTAAACTTTTATAATCTAAACCATATCTTTAGACGCTTCATATACTTGAAGACCAAAGCAACATAAACCATTAGAATAAAATAGATTAAACAGGAGAAAGAAGAGTTCTTGTTACCTATCTATCTTAATTTTTAAAAACTACAAGGAAAAATCATCACGTTAAAATAGCTTCCTCTCTTACAAAATTTTCGATGGTCTCAACAGAAAAGATTCTCATAAAAAAAATTTCGGTTAATAATTTCTAAACAAATAAGACTGATTTGCAAGACTTCAGTCCTCTTAAGATTCACCTTGCCATCAGAACTCGAATTATAATTAGAAAACGATAATGTAATTACAGTCTTGAAGATTTAGTATTCAAGATACATATATAAGGTTCGGAAAGCTAGGCACGTATCTAAGCTTTTTATTTGTCTTTGTCATCATCATGTATCTAAACTTATGGTATGTATAATTGTCGAAATTATGTTGGATTCTAGATAACAAATAATGTCAATATTTATATGTTAACTATTAATAAACACGATTAAAGACCCTAAAATAATATATCGAAGTCGCTTTCGTTAAGATACCGCGATGAGCACGAAGATTGTATGAGCTGGAGACGATGCATATAAAATTAGAATGAAAAGTTGAAAACTCATACCATTTTTGGTCACTTAGATTTTTGTCAAAGAGTAAAGATTCTTCAATTTTTTTTTATCTTTATAAATAACTTAAGAGTTGTAAAAAAAAAGTATCTTGAGAGTTAAAAGTGCTTCGTATGGTTTCTAACCTCTTCTTCTTGTGTTTTCCTTTCAAATCATACCTAAATAATGGACGGTGATGTAAGCAAAATAATGACGAGTTGTGGACAAGATATTGGGAAAGGGTATTATTAGCCTATTAGGAGTGAAAAACATTAATTAGTTAAAAGAAATAAAGGAAACGAAAACCCTAATGAAAACTTTATTTCAAAATTACACCTTGCATTTTATAAATTAGTGAAAAGAAAATTAGCATTTCGAACAATTACTACTATTGGGCCTTTAAGACCCATTTGAGTTACGAACCTCTAACGAGTCAGCGAGTTTCAGTGGAGTGGCGCCGAGTCATCGCCTTTGTCGGTTTCCTTCAATCTCGGAAAACTCTAGCAAAAACCCCAACGATCACAGACATGGAGATTAGGGATGACTACAAATTCCTGAGGATCAAAGACGCTTTCAAGGCATTGCATCTCCATGTTAACCTCATTGGAGTCATCGTCGAGTTAGGCTTTCACACTGGCTCTGGTATCGTGATCCTTCTGCCAAAATCCCTTTGCAAATCCATCTCTTCGGTTCAGGAATCTCATTTCATAGCTTCGTTTGTTGCAGATTGTTCCTGTACTTTGAAAATCGTCGATCCATGGCATTCAGGATCTGGTCTTCCTGTTAAGTTCATCGCTCGTACCATTCGAGCGCTTCCTCGGGTTGAATCGATTGGGGATATAGTTTTGCTTTCACGTGTAAAGGTCGATTCACCATTCCTTTGATATGATGTTTTGGGATGATACATCCTTTATGACTCTTGATGATAATGTGAAACAATTTTCTTCTGGGATTACAGTTACACACACACTTTTTTTTTTTTTAACGCAGATTGTGCTAGTTAACGGGAAAATCACCGCTCTCTGCAATGAAGCAACTTCGTCGTTTGCTCTATTCAATGGAAAACTTGATGAAGAGTTTATACCGTACCAGTTGTCACCTAAGTTTCAGATGAGAGAACATGATAAGAACTTCTTATCAAATCTGAGAGAATGGATGATAACTTACAATTTCGAAGATGGTAATTACTATAGAATCACATGATTGATCCAAAAATATTTTCATTTCCTAAGCATCCTAATATCCTATGAATTGTGTACTGGTCCTCCGGATTGTTAATGTATGGTATCGTCCATTGAAATTTCAATTAGCTAATGGTTGCTTTTAATTTGAAATCAAATGGTTTCTTTCTCTTTGGTAAGTTGTAAATTGTAATCGTGTTAAGATTGAACATTTTTTTTTTTGTTTTTCGATAGGGTCATGCTGTTTCACACCCCTGAAAGATATCAAAGAAGGGGAATATTCAAACCTATCTTGCCTGGTAGATTGATCTTTTTGTTTTGGAAAAAATGATTTTGCTTTCATCTTCCATCTTAATTTGTATTAACTTTAAGAAAGTGGAAATGTCCAAAGTAGAGACTATGGTCTGCTATGTCTTTGACCATTGTTTCTTATTCTTTGTTTCCCGGTGAAGATTGCTCACATTTCCAAGGACGATAAGGATAGGTGGTACATCTTTGTTTGGGATGGAACTGAGATGCCACCGTGCAATATTGTGGTAAAGTTAGTATGTAAGCTTCACCCTATTCAGCTCTCTAGCTTTTTTTTTTTTGGTTTTGAAATTTAGTTTTGAGATCCCATTGTGGTCTTGCAATTTGACATCATAACAGGTCAGAAAGGCTTCCGTTATGTGTCGAACCAGAGATGCTGCCCACACATGTGTTACGCGAGTTTCCTACTTATGGTTCCGTTTTGAGGATTATAGTAGAGAAAGTTAGTGAGAAGCAGGCCATTCACTGCCTTCAACCTGGTCAACACGTTAAGTTTCTGAACCTTTTCTTCCAAGTAAACATGGGACTATGGAACGCCACTTTTACTCCCTCTACAAAGATGCAATACATACTTAGCAGAGAGATGCAAGTCTTTATACCTCAAAGGTTTCTCTTAACATTTTGTTTTTACCCTGTGATTTGATTTCATGCATTGCCAATTTGTTCTTCTTACGAATTCAGAATGTGCAGAGAGAAGTTGTCATCGAGATGGAACCCCATCGCGCGCTGCATTAGTCCTTCGCACTCAGGAATTACAGGTTATATAATAAACTCATAGACTTTTAATCACATTTGGCATAATGTTGAAAATTACTTGCTGATATATTAGTGGCTTAATCCTTTTCAGGGGTTGCCCATGAGGATGCTCCGTTTGTTACTCTGATGGACATCCTCACCTATCGCAATGTATTGTATCTCATAAGCTATCATTTAATCTAATTTGTAGAACAAGACTCATGAAGACTTTCTAAAACTGATGTTTAGTTCTGCTAATGCAGGTGACTGCTAAATTCAGGTGTGTTGTCCGGTTCGTACAAGTGCGTCCCCGAGATGTTAGAAACTTCCACGATGTCAACGGAAAGTTCAAGTTGCTAGCAATACTAGAGGATGCAACCGCCAGAATCAAGGCTTCTCTATATGCCGATGAAGGGGTAAAATACTAATCACTGTTATGTTCCGAGGATTCCTTCAAGGGACTGTCTAATATTTTGTATCCGCAATTTTCATTGACAGGACAAGTTTTTTGGGTGTGACCCATCTGATGAAGAGGCTCTGGCCAAGAAGCTGAAGAAATTGTTGGGAGGTGAGGAGATGGAGGAAGTGCCAAGAAATCCTCCATGGGTGCAATGTTGCTTGTTCTCATTCTACAGAAACAAAATGGATCAATGGGGTAGCAGAAGATTCCGGATTTTTGATACTTGGATCAATGCCTCATGAATCAGACAAAAGCATAACAAGTTTTTTTACCAAGCAAACGATCATTATTAACATCCAGACAAAAGCATAACAAGTTTTTTTTAAAACACTTGATTCACAGAAAAGTATTGTAGTATCCTAATTCAACAACTACTTAGTCGCCGGCTTCTTCTTCAATATCCTAGCAAACTCAGCTTCCCTCGCCTTTTCATATTCCTTCTTAGCAACATCACGAGCTAAAATAAACCATGAAATTCATGAGAAAACTTTTTTACTTTTGTATTACAAGGATCAAGAATCAAGACACAAAATTTTATGTACCTGGGGAAGGAAGAGATGCGGGGTCTCTTGTCTGGGTTGGGGTTGTAAGCAGACTTAACAACTAGCGTGCGTCCTCCCAATTCACTTCCATTAAGTGCCAGAGCCTTCTCCTTTGCGCCTTCTCCCATTACAATAACGACAGCATAGCTGGGGAAAAAAAAAAAATATATCAACAAAGATAGGTCTTTAGTGTAGCATTAAAGAAAAATCCCACAACTGACTGACACAAATTGGAGCTAGGAAGAAGCCACAAACCTCTCAAATACATAGACATCGGAGATGTCACCACATAAAGCGAAATGATCAGTCATGGCTCTCTTAATATCATCCTCGGGAAGCGAGGTGTCATGTCCCCTAACTCCAATCAGGGAGCTAGTGCAATAATATTTTTAAGGTGATAATTAATATTCTCAACACCAATAAAAAAAAAAAAAGTAAAAAATCTTTAAACGAAAATATAGATAGTTACCGGGATGCTTCATAGCGTTCTTTGGCTCTTTGAGCAGCCAATTCATCAGCAGTGAGAACTTTGGGAATCGGGTCAGACCAAGTAACCACAGTCCATCCTCCCACGTCCGTTCCACTAAGTGCCACTGCCTTGTCTTCAGCGCCATCTCCCACAATATACATATAACAATATCTACAGAGAGTAGCCGTGAATTCATCGGTTTCAAGGGTTATATGTGCGACCTCTCCACATGAAGCGAAATGTTTTCTCAACGTGCTCATAAGTTCATCCGCATCCAGCAAATCGTCATAACCCCTAACGACAATCCTAGCGCCACACATTCCTTCATAACGGTCTTCGGCTCTTATAACAGCCAATTCATCATCACTCATATCTTTGGGATAGGGTGAAGCACTATCAACTAGTACAGTCCATCCTCCCACGTCACTTCCACTAAGTGCCAACGCCTTCTCTTCTGCGTCTTCTCCCACAATATAGATCATAGCATATCTGTTGAGATAAGTAGATTTGGATAGATCGGATCCAGCGTTTCTACGAATGGAAACATGTGCGATCTCTCCACATGAAGCGAAATGTTTTCTCAAAGCGGTATCCACATCATCGCGGGGAAGCAAAGTGTCATATCCCTCAACGCAAATCCTAGCGCAACTGCAAACATAAATAATTTTGATTGTACCTATGATATTATTATTATATTATATCAACATGACAAGAACGAATCTTATGTCGATACAAATCTCACGACAAAAATTTATTTATTTATTTTTTTTTTACCGAAATCTTCGGCTTTCTGGAATGGCTGCATCACTACCGTTCAATTCCAGCGATTGTATCCCCTAAGGTACAAGAGATCTCATCAGAAACTCTACCACTTGAGGTATTTTTACTTTTTTTCTTTAACCAAGTGAAAAGTTGTGAAGAATCCATCAATAGAGAAAACAGAAGTGTACTACAAAGTGTGAATATGAAGAACAACAACAAAGGAAGAAAGCCAATATGGATAAAAAGAACATTACGTACGTTGATGGCGGATTCATCCATGGAGAAATTCAGCGGCGCGACTGCTAGGGTTTTCGAGACGCAATGTTTTTTTTTTAGGTCAGAAGAATGTACTGGAATTTATAACCCTTTTTTTTATTTTTTATTTTTGGGTTTTGATTAAAATTAATGTTTAGTTCTGCTAATGCAGGTGACTGCTAAATTCAGGTGTGTTGTCCGGTTCGTACAAGTGTGTCCCCGAGATGTCAGAAAATTCCACGATGTCAACGGAAAGTTCAAGTTGCTAGCAATACTAGAAGATGCAACCGCCAGAATCAAGGCTTCTCTGTATGCTGATGAAGGGGTAAAATACTAATCACTGTTATGTTCCGAGGATTCCTTCATGGGACTGTCTAATATTTTGTATCCGCAATTTTCATTGACAGGACAAGTTTTTTGGGTGTGACCCATCTGATGAAGAGGCTCTGGCCAAGAAGCTGAATAAATTGTTGGGAGGTGAGGAGATGGAGGAAGTGCCAAGAAATCCTCCATGGGTGCAATGTTGCTTGTTCTCAAACAAAATGGATCAATGGGGTAGCAGAAGATTCCGGATTTTTGATACTTGGATCAATGCCTCATGTGACGCACATTAAATCAATGACAGTCGTAAAGTTAATTATAATTGTGTACTGATGTTAACATTAACAACATGTGCGGTAAATGTACTGATGTTAATACTGTTGATATCGGTTTAACTTTCAGTAATTTATTGGCATTGGTCGTTAATTTTTAATTAATGGTCTTAACGTGCTTTGATGAGTTTAACCGCAAGGAAATACAAATGTAAATCTCAAATATTTATTATTTATTTACATGGAAGTATGGAACCGTACAATAAAGATAAGATAAGGCATAAATCTCTCCGACATATAATCACAGAAGGTCCAATGTATGAAAATAATCAAGAAAACAATCTAAACCCAATAAACTAAAATAAAAAAAATAACAGTGTATATGAATAAATGCGGAGACAAATAGCATTGACTTTGACTAGAATCAAAAGTCAACGTCACACTTGGTCGGCTGGAACTGAAACCCGCTGGTTGTATTAGCGTTACCGAGAGGAACCTTAAGATCGCACCTGATCTTCGGCTTGAACTTCCACGATTTGATCAACCCGAACTTAAACCTAACCCTAAGTCTCAGCTTCGCATCGATCCTATAGATCTCCGACTTCAAGTCCTCGTCCAGATCCCGCCGCTCTCCGCCGGTAAGCAGCACCAAGCTCTGTCCCGCGAGTTTAGTTCCGATCTCCGTCGTGTTCTTTTTGCCCTGGTAGAACGGCGAGACGTTGCTGGAGCCGAATCGCTGATCTCCGTAGTAGCCTCTGACCTCGATCTGGTCATAGTAGATACCGATTCGTCGATTAGGGTTTCGGATCGTGAAATTGAGGTCGAGATTGTATCGGAGGTTGTTGTCTGCGCCGAGGGTGAATTGGGTGAGCTTGGCGTCGGTGACGTGGAATTTGATCGCGTTGGGTCGGAAAATTAGCCAGATGATCAAGGCGGCTATGCCAACGATGATGACAAGGGTTATGATGATGTTGAAGATGACGCTTAGGATGCAGCAGCCGCAACAGCCAAGACAGTCACCTAAACAGCCGCATCCACCGCCGCGTCTGCCGTGGCTGCGGGAGGTTTTCGTCGGCGGAGGAATCGACGGCCCGTAATACGCACCGTTTAGTTGCGGTTGCCTGTCTCCCATGTGTTCGATGAAATGCCTCTGAAGAAAGTTTCTGTTTGTGTAATTGGTTTGGAGAAGAAGAGTAAAAGAATGGAATTAATAATATTATTATTCAGTGAAGAAAGAAGAGGGCATATATATACACACTGTAGAGATAACGTGTGTTAGATAAAACGATTAATTTGACGCGGTTTTGTTTTTTCAAAGTCAAAGCTGACGCGGCCGTTTGATATTTGTCAGATGATTTGATTAATTAGAGGTTACTTGCGAGTTGCGGCACAGTTTTTAGATTAGAGATTTCTTTTTTTTTTAGATTAGAGATATTTAGTAGGGAAGACTTTGAAAACATTTAAGATTGTTTTCTCAAATTTAACATTATGGGGTTTTGGATTTCAAGTTCGGGAAAGCACTTAGTATGTGTTTATGTACTGAATCTAAGATAATTTGATGATTAACGAGTATCATGCAGAACGAAAATATGAATATTTGAATAATGAAAAGGGGCATGTATACGTGTGATAATATGCTGATCCTTATTCCTTAATGCGGTAGTTGGTATAGGAATTGTAAAGAGAGCCATCTTTACAATGTAATACAACCTTCCAAGAAACTTCCGTAAAAGCGATTGCTCAAGTCTAAGGCAGCCATTGTCTTCAAAACTTGACAAGAGACTTTTGAGGAAAAAGTAGAAAATAAACCGATAATATTAATAAGTCTATACAAAATTACAAACAAAATGGTCCAGGTCAGAAATTTCGTAACTATTAAGAAATATTTACATAAATATCTTTGATCTCTATATATTATTACTATATATAAGTTACAATTGAGGTGATGTGGCCAATTAACTTAAAAAAAGGATACAGTTGAGGTGGGTTTACCGCAGAAAATTATAAAAATGGTAAGAGTAGTTTTCCAAAGAAAGAACAAAAATGTGTATATACAATGGATGTTGTTACCTGTATTTGTAAACGATGATTAGGTGAAGAGGCATGCTTTCAAATATTACGTCTTTCTTAAATGAGAAAGGTCAAGCAAATTTAATATAAAATAATGATATTAGATCGCGACTCGACTATATTAAATTCTAGAATGACTATAGAATATAGAGACAAATCATATATAAAAAGGTCTTCTATTAGGGTATTCTTTTAAAGGTTAGGAAAGTTGTATGCGCATGAACATTAACAGAAAACAAAAAAAAAACTCACGGCAAATCGTATAGTTATTTTCTTCTCTTGGAGAAAGTGGTTCCAGCTGGAGAACTTACCGCCTTACAATCCCTTGCAAAAGAGGCAACCTTTCTTTCGTTCTCTACGGGTAAAGTTTGAAGTTACTTTTGGTTATAAGATGACTAGACAATTAACCTTAAAAATATGTATATAAGTATATTAAAGAATATTCAGATTTGTAGGTTATAATACTAATCGTAGTTTTTGTAAATTAAGCAACGAGATTCGGCCTTTTCTCATTTCAAGATCCAAGGAAGGAGGCGAAGTGGCGAACTAACTAATTGATTTTTCCAAATTAACAAAGACAACAAAAAAGTGAGGTAAAACGAATCAACATACTACTACTACTAAGAATTTCCTTTGAGTGTACTTAAGGTTAGGTGCAGTGCACAAAAGAGAAAATAAACATTACATTAGGTTTTCATTTAGTGTGGGGTAAAAGTAATATGAAATTGGTCTTGATTTCTGCTTAAGAAAAACCCAACAAAAATCAAATAATTAAAACAGGTAAGATGAACGAGTCGTTATCTTCCCGACTAAAAGTTTCACTATAATTTTTAATTAATAACTCACTTGTCGTCACACTGGATCCCCTCGAAATCAAAGACTTCAAAGTCGATGAAACAAGAGAAGATGCATTTATCAATTTAATCATCGATCTTTTAACCAAAAAAAAATATCACCATCAATAGTTCCACCAATTGAAGTATATAAAACTATAGTATTGAATTCCGTTTCCATTCTTCACAGCTTGTCATAACAATAAGGCAACCGATTGTAAATTCTTGCTATAAAAAAAACTTAACCTCTATGAAATTAATAGTACGTAATTAAAAAAAAAAACTAACTTCTATGAAATTATTAGAAATATTTAATAGTACTTAATAATAAAGAAAAATCGGTGGCCTGATATCTCCGTCACCGTTTAAGTCGTCGCCTTTTCAGACACTAACACTGCAAGTGGAGGTGAGCGTATACTTAACGGCGCTATTTCCAACGCTAACTCCGGCGGCACTATTCCCAGAGTTGATATACGCCGGACACCTAACGTAGAGATGACGTGTCCCAGTGGTGTAATCCCCAACTTTAAAACGAACTCGACCGTCAATGTGAACCACTAACTTGATTGCACCACGTGTCTGTTCCTGATCAAGAGACAAAGCGTTGTACGGAGCGACGGGGACAGACTTTCCACCGACGAAAGGAGACCAAACGTTGACTTCTTGGTGTCTTTGATAGGTCGCCGGAATCGACGTTGCGTAAGTGATCTGTTGGCTCTGGTAAGAAGCGTAGGCGTCGAGACGGTCGTAGTAGATTCCAATCTTGCCGTTTGGGTTACGAGAATTCAGAGTTATTTGGAAGTTGGAGGTGAGGAGGTTCGGTGGATTGCCGGAGACGTTGAAGGAGAAGACGGTGGCGTCTTGGAGGATGAATCGTGGCTTCGACGGCTTAAGGATTGCAAAGGCTATTAAAAATATGATGAGCATTACGAATAAGATGAATATTGGGCAGCCACAACGGCGGATCATTTTACGGCGACGGGAAGCGTCGCTGTGGTGAGAGCTGCAGTCTCTGGTGGTCATGTCGGAGCTCTGGTGGTGAGGTACGGTGGTTTTTTTTGGAAAGGATCGATAACGTGAGAAAAAGGTATATTCAAAGTAGTCTTGATGGCCACATATATGGTGGGTTTTATACATATTAGTATCGTTTTGCTTTTAAGGAAATTAGTGAACGTAAGAGTTAAAACGGGAAATTCTCATGCTAAAATAGAAAGATGAAATCAAATAAAATGTAACTTTGTAGAAAAAGGAATTAACACAAAACAAAAATTCAAAGAAAATAGAACTGTTACATTATTCATTTATAAATAAAAAAGAAATTGTACACTTTGATTAATTGTTGGTAACCTTTTATTCACTTTTCTGTTTCAAACTCCCTTTGTAACTTAATATTCCTTTTTTTTTTTTTGTAATGGTCGGCACTGGACCGTGATGGTAATGGCCAAAACCATTGTTTTCACCACAATACTGTATATTATAATTTTTTTGGCATCCGAAACAGAATTGTTTCATTAACTTGGCCAAAACCATTGTTTTCATTAACTTTCACCAAAATATGTATTTTATTTGATAGGATCGATATTAATGGTCTCCATGGAAGTACCAGGTAAGTCCTGAAACATCATAGTTCAATAGATAAACATTAAAGATGACACATAATAAGTGAAGAAAATGTTCCATCCGAATACCTTTGCTTCCATGTCGCCCGTATATAGTTTCTTTGGGACGACCCACTCAATGTGTTAAACCGATTTGAAGAACATTGAGAGCAATTTTCAATATGAGACTAGTATCTAACAAAGGCTTACTTTCTCCTTATTTTGCAGTTCAATGGATGCATCTTCGAGGAACGGAACCAGTAATCTCAAGTTTCGTTCAGACAATGCCGTACCTGCAAAAGCCAAAAGAGACTACTAGTTCATTCTCACATCAAGACTTAGGATCTGATAGATAAGAACAAGCTTTTCTGATCCCACCAATCTACATTTGTTCAAGCAGATACACTTATCACTGAAGCACCAAACTGAAATTGCAGAGGAAGCACACAAAACTCATAAGAAGGATTATGTAATTCCTCACCCTGGAAGCTGATTGTCGGATCTTCGAAGATGCAATCATCCGAGTAAACTGCAGAAATGAAGATTCCTGGTACCATTTAAAAAAAAAATGAGTTTTACCAGTTTGTGTCTGAGCTTAGTTTGTGAAAGGGAAATCTTAATAATGAGCTTAGTTTCTCACTCTCCACCTTTACTAAAGCCGTTCACAGTTCCGCTTCTGACCTTGTCAATACTCTTGAGTAGAACCGAGACTGTCTCTCCGAGTATAATCCGAGAACTCATGATCAACAGTTTTCAAAGCTAACTCCTTTTCTCTCAGTGTCTCTATTTCTTTTTCTTCCATAACACATCACCGAGGAAGGGCACAGCTAAAGCTGGAGCTTGAAACGATTGAATTGGTGAAAACCCAATTGCAATACAAAACAATGCGTACCTTCGATACAAACTCTATCAAACTCTTTCTCTCTCTCTCGTCTTCGCGCTATACCCACCCAGACAACAATGGCACAAGCTCATTTCCCTCTCTGTGCAACCTCAGAAACAACTTTACACCCGTCTTCAGGCTGGTTCGAGCTAACAAAACTCCCATGTACGCCGGAGAAACCAATACAGCCTCTAATCGGCGAAATGAGATCCGACCAGTTTCGAAGCGAAAAGGAAAAGAAAAAAAAAGGAAAAGAAGAAAAAAGCAAAACGGCAAGGGATAACAAGCAAAACGACAGTGTCATATAGGAACATGTCTCCTAATTGCTAAAAATTGATCAAAATCGAGCCCAAAACGACAGCATGATAACACGCAAAACGCAGTACACTCGCTCATTTTTGACTCAATATCGCGTGTATGCCCAAAATGAACAAAATCGATAGCTTATATAACCTTTCGATTTTGGCGACACGCGCGCAACGCGCACTTGCTGCGACTGGGATGTTTCTTGCGCGTGCTCTGACTTTTTCTTATTTAGCCTACAGATTCTTTCACTAGTGAGCCCATTTAAAATCATACTACTAAAGGCCCACTTTGTAAAGACTTTTCTTGTTCTTATCGAATAAGTAAGTATCGTCGCCGGTTAAAAGAGGATAATGAAACATAGGGTGACGAATTAAACCGGTTCAAGGCTAAACCAGAAGAGGAATTGAGTGTAAATATCTCGGTTAAGTTTGTTACGCTATAAATCAATTCTATTTAACACTCATAGAAATCACTGTCTCTATCTTTTGGTTCTAATGGATGAAACTCTCCTCCTTTCGTAATGAGTCTTAAAAGTAACAGATATGAACACAGAACCTGTTTGCATTCACTAGCTGATTGTAGCTTCACCATTAATGACTAAACTGCTTCTCTCTTCTTCATTGCTACTGCTTGCTATTGCTTTTCATTGGCTTGTCACCACTGGCTGCTCTCCTGACATATTTCTTCTTCTTCAGGACAAGTTCATCCACAGATGCAACTTTTGATGCTCCTGCAGCTGCACGGTCCTTGGACGAAGTATCCATGTTTCTGTGTTCAAGAACTAAGCCGAAGCTGACCTTTTTACATTCACCTGCATTATCCATGTTTCTGTGTTCAACAACTCATCTAATTATCATTAATTTTCAATTAGTTATAGGGACGCAAGAACTCGCTGACCTCTATTAGTTTGACGTCAATGCGGTCTCCTACTTTTGAATGCCTGAAATGAAGAGTAATGTGGGTGAGCAAATGTGAAAGCCTGAATAAAAGATGAGATGAATGATTCATGAATACCCCATAATTTCTTACCAAGAATATGGCGACGCCCAGCTTTTGTTTACAAAGTCTCTGTGTCTTTAAGACTTCTGATCTTACTGTGATGTGGTAAAAAAGAAACAACTGTTGTAGCATTAACGACGACGTTTAGTATCCGAGGGTAGTGTCGTAAATAACATCTTTTTATCACTTCTGAGAGAAAAGAAAACTATCGGCGAGTGTTTGTCTGAGCGGACGAGGGGAGAGGAAGCCAAAGAAGTTCCCGCCGCCATGGCCGTTACGGCGTCTGGATTCATCGCGAAATTAGTTATCTCCGTTCGTATAGATTTCTCTTTGGATCCTGTCAAATTCTCGTGCTTGAAACGTCACGTCTCTGCCTCAAAACCTCTGGTGGTTCGCTCCGTGGCCTTATCGCCGCCGGCGAGAACCGTTGAGTCCCCGCCTGTCGGTTACCGGAAAAATGTTGGGATTTGTCTCGTTAGTCCGTGTAGAAAAGTAATTTCCCTTCTTCCTCTCTCTTCACTCTTATCTGATTTTGGAACAATTTGTCCCCTTCCTACCGCTAGGATATATAGATTTTGTTATTGATTTGGATATATGGTTTTCGTGATTGAGATTGAGATAGTTTGATTTGCAGATTTTCACTGCATCGAAGATTCACGTTCCCGATACATGGCAGATGCCTCAGGTGAATTTTCTATTAGCTCTTTCCTGATTACAATAAGTGACTATTACTTTGTTTTCTGAGTAGTTTGATTGCGTTGAAGAGCTTAGTTCTCACAAAACAAGAGCTTTTTGTAGTTCATTGTGCAAGTTCCTGTCTTTTATGCGAAAAAAGTTTCATTTTTTGTGGTGATTCATTTGAAAAGACAAAGTTGTTAAGAACTAAATGCAATCACGTTAAGGTTCTTTCGAGACTAAGGATTTCTTGTGCTAGCAACAGAGTGAGATATCATATCAGAAAGTGAAACTTTGAAGTTGTAGTTGATGATCTTCTATGGTAAACTAATTTGCCCGATGTTGTTTATCAACTCTGTTTTTACAGGGTGGCGCTGATGAAGGCGAAGATCTGAGAAACGCTGCGTTCAGAGAGCTGAGAGAAGAAACTGGAGTTACCTCAGCGGAATTCATTGCGGAGGCACGCTTTTGACATCTTTCTCATAGTAAATTGTTAAATCTATTTCAACAAGATTCTTAAATAGAGTTGGTATTGCTCTGTGTTTCACCAAACTGAGCTTTTTTTTTCGTTTTTTTTAACATCTAGATACCAAATTGGCTGACGTATGATTTTCCACGACAAGTGAAGGATAAACTGAACCGGAAATGGCGAACAAGTTACAAAGGCCAAGCTCAGAAATGGTAACTAAGCATATACCGTCTCATATGTTTTCGAAAACTCATCTTAAAGCTGCAAATACAGACTCGCCCAATTGTGTTGGGTCTAAAGAAGGAGTTGTCTTGATGATTGACTAATACAGGTTTCTCTTCAAGTTCACGGGCAAGGAGGAAGAGATAAATCTCCTTGGAGATGGTACTGCAAAACCAGAGTTTAAGGTTTGGTCGTGGATGCTACCGGAACAAGTGGTTGAACATGTGAGTTTCTTGGCTTTAGAGTAGTGTTCTTTTTCTGCTTGTGTGTGCATGAAGCTTCTTGGCCTTATCATTCTTTCTCTGACAGGCTGTATATTTCAAGAGACCTGTCTACGAGCATGTCATAAAGCATTTCAACCCTTATTTTGTGGATGAAGAGAATGATTCCTTCAACTCGTGTAATGATTGAGTGTAACACAAGATTCAGCGTAGATCATACACAAGTTCTCTTGAACCCCAGTCATAGATGAAAATGCTTGAATCTCTTGATGTTCAGACATTGCAAAAAAAGACTGTATTTATGGAATGCAAACGACTATTCTAGAGTAACAAGATATTTGTGTTCTAAATTTTACAGAAATTTGACGTTAATATTCAAGTTTGATTCGATATGAAGAGATGTATCAACAACATTCTTATCTCTCAGTTGTATTTGTATAATAGATTAATAAACAATGTTTCTGTTGTTGGTCTTTGGTTATAAACTCTATGCAACTGCTCAATATAATTTTCTCTAATGAACCCTAAACTTCTTACAACTCTCATTCATGACTCAGCCGCCCACTTCTTTTTTTTTTTAATTAAATATTTTACTTGAGATAAAATACTTTTACTTTAGTTTCAGTAAATTATCGAAAAATAGGGAGATAAAAATTGGCGAAGAAATAAATATAAAATCCTCAAACCGTCAGCCGGAGTTTCCTCAGCGCCACCGTGGCTTATAGCCGGTTCGGTATAAAGAGTCTAAACCGGCCTTATGAAACGCATTAATCGCTTAAACCGATAACTCAGTTTTCTCGCCGCCCTTCCCCTCCCGCCACCAGAGCCACCATCTGTCTCCTTATTAGGTTTTGGGAGACCGATTTTTTTTTTTTTTTTTTTTGCTGAGCGTGTGATTGTTCTCGACCAGCTTCAGGAGAAGCTAATTTGAGTAGCTTGTCATTATACGTTACCGAAAAAGAAAATAGATGGTTCGCTCGAAAGCTCCTGCAAAGAAGCAGCAAAAGAAAGGAATTGATTTTAAGGTGTTTTTTACTTTCTCTTACGGTTGTGACATTTTCTTTGAGCTTCATTGAATCTTCAAGTGTTTGATCAATTGTTCGTATGATTTTTTTTTTCTTAATTTGGCAGAAAATTAAGAGAAAGCTCGGGAGGAAATTACCTCCACCAAAGAATGCCACTAATACAGAGATTAAATCCAAAGGTATCTGCTTTCTCGTGCAAATTCAAGCTTTTTTAGTTACCTTTAAAGCTCTCTGTTTATGGTTCAAATTGACTTTCTTATATTACAGCAATTATACTTCCTGAGCAAAGTGTGGGAGCAGAAAAGAGTGGCTTAGCTACGAGTAAGAAAGGATTGACCTTGAAGGAGCTTCTGCAACAAACTTCCCATCACAATGCCAAAGTTCGCAAAGGTAGCTTTTTTTTTCCATGTCCTAATTAGCTGTCTTGGTTGAGATAAAGATGATGCCTGCTACGTTGTTCATTGGATCAAATTTTGGTTTTGTCTGTGTAGATGCGTTACATGGCATCGAAGACCTTTTCAGGCATCATCCAGCTGAGCTGCAGTCACATAAATGTGCTATCATAGAGAAACTTAGGGAACGCATTAGAGATGATGAAGAGTCAGTGAGAGATGCTTTCTGTGCACTATTTAAATCTAAGATCTTTCCTGCTTGTATAGAGGTATCGGTTTTCCTCTTTTTCTTCCACTTGTTATTTTCTTCGTCGTTCTTACTGATTTTGCTAATCTTTGTTTATCTTAGTTTATTGTGTTAGTCCCCTCTTTCATATTATGAGCTGCAAGATATGAACTTGCATGTAATGAAATAAATCATGTATTTTCTAGTTAACCATTGTATCTAACAGCCTATTCTATATGTGGATCTATTCAGGATAACCAGGGCCCGATGGTGTCACTTTTGATGCCATACATATTTAGCGCTATGGCTGAATCTGCAATTGATGTTCGTTTGATGGCTTTCAAATTCTTCCACCTTGTTGTGGAGTACTACCCGCCTACCTTTTCCTTGTATGCTGAAAAGGTGTCTACTTTGATTTCCTAGATTTTGACACACACTCTTATTCTTGCAAGACGTTCCCTGAAATTTTTTCATCTGCTTCTTCATGCAGATTCTCGAAAACTACAAGGATATCATTCAGAAAAACCATTTCTATGTGCAAGATAAGAGTAAGCTAAAGGTAGCACTTTCTGGGTTGGCACACTGCCTGTCGCTGTTGCCATGTGATGAGAGTGACACCGAATCACAGAAAAAGGTATCTAATCACTCTGGGTGGTTCGGACATGCCATGAAGTAGCATAGCAATGTTTATGGTTCTGTTTGTTTTGATCTCTAGCTTTTTACAAGATTGAGTATGTAGAATGCAGCGATATCTTTAGATTCAAGGAACCATATGGGGAAAAATGCTCCTTTAATAAGTTGACTGTCTTATGAAATAAACTCAGAGTATATTAAGATGTCTTTGAATTTCAATACACAACTAACCGCTCTCGGAATGTGCTCTGTTTTCCATATTGTAACAGTTTCTTTTTGCATTTTATGCCCTTATTTTTTTTTTGTAGGGAAATTTTCAGAATGAAACGCTACTGGCCTATGAGCAAGATGCTGCAAAAGAATGTGTTCGTATGTACCATCTGTCTTCTTTTCTCATCAATAAGTAGTATATTGCTTGTGTCATGTTTTTTTGGATGTATGCACTTTGCTGCTGTACAACTAGTCCATTCTCTTTTGCCCTAATCCTCTCTAGTACGACCTCTAGATTGTCTCTGCCCGTAAAATGCATAGCCCTTCATTCTCGTGTGGATTAAAATATATATCGACAAATTAATCAATGATTCCCTTTTCTATGATTTTGCATGTGCTGAATTTGACAGTGTTCTACCATTTTTCTATGGGTTCTTATAGGTTTTGCCCATGTCCCCGGGAGATTGAAGGAGATTGTTGGAATCTTAATCAACTGTTTCCAAGATTTCATTCCATTGATTCATGCTCCGCGAGGCTTCGATGAAAAATCCTATGATTGTATACGCCATATACTTTGCAGCATAAGTTATGCAATCAAGTTTTCAATTCGTAGGTACATTCAAAGACAGACTATATGTCTACCTGCATCGGTGGATGTTACTCTGATGATATTGGATCAAGACATTGCATCAATGTTATCGAAAAAGTTACTTGGCTCTTTCCCCCTTAATCCAGAGAACAATCTTTCTGGAAAGGTATGCATCATAGCACTATAGATGATAAATAATAGCCATTGTTAAATAGTTATATTTTGGTATTGTAGAACCTTTGTGGTTATTTATATGTTAAGAAGCACACTTTATCACTTGTCAAGTAATGACACTAGCAACAAAAAGCTTATGTCACATGCTTGCTTTACTATTCTATCAAGAGTTCTCTTTCCTGATTGCAAATCATTTCCTCCCTGTCATATTTTAGTATCCTCCCTAGGATTATATCTTCTTTCTTATTATAGACCTGCCTGACATTAGTTGATTGTTTGTTGACAGGGTGATGAAAGGTACTTCGTCCTCAATAGCGTATTGACAGAAATATTTTTGGAAGTAAGTGAATGGAGCCACCTTCCTACTGATCTTTGCAATAGATTTCTGGAATTTATTGAGAATACACTACTAGGCAAGGTTAGCCCTCAATACTTTACATTAAGATATAATTCAAGCTGATATTTTCTTTATATTTCTCTCTGTCTGCATTATATCTGATAAACTGCTAATTTACTTGCAAATCTAAAAGCTAAAAAATATTCTCACCGGGATATGCGAATATCTGTTTTGCAGATCACCAGGAGCAATAGGATAAGAAAATCTAGTCAAGAAAAGACTTCACTTGCACTGTTGCCCTTTGTTCCAAAACTTATTTTGAGGGTGGACCCGGATTGGAGAGATAATCTTCTGCAGGTTTGTCTGAGATTCGTAGAGTAATTTGAGCTAGACAGGGAGATAAACTTTCTCAGTTTGTCTGGTAGTTAGCAGTAACATCATTGTATATGGTATTATGTACTCTTTTTCAGGCATTTACTATTGCCTTCAACGATTGCAAACCAGAGTCTCCGCTTACGTTGGCCTGTATTTCAATCGTTAGAGACGTGATTATCCCTGTAAGCACAAATTTAACTGATATGTTCAGTATGGATATTGGCCGGACTTGTTTCTATCTTTCGACTCTGATTGGTCTCTGAAATCTGTTTCTTGTAATATCTGCAGAATGGAGATATCCTTTATCCCAGTGCAAGTGATTCAACAGTAAATAACTACCAGAGTGCTTGGGTCAACAAACTTCCATCGCTGCTAAATCAGCTGGGTGATAAATATCCTTTATCTACGCAGGTTCGAACCCATAACTCATACGATTCATTGTCGATCCAGTTATATTCGATTATCCAAGGCCAAAACCTTAGTATATAGACGCCTCTTTGATCAAACAGGGTCACGTTCTCATTCATCTTTTGTTTGTTACCCATTCTTTTTTTTTCTTCAGGCTGTTTTGCAACTTTTGCTTGACCTTGGGCGAGTTGGATGTCTGAATGCTTCCCCCACATTTGAAGAAGACATCAGAAACTTCTTCAACCCTTGTCAGGGAGAAGGTACAATTCTTGCTGCAATTAAAAAAAAAAAAAGTGTTCTGAGATTCTTAGTGTCATTATTACTGAAACAGGGTTTTGTGTCTTTTAAATTGTACAGGTGATGTGTCTGGTGGGGCTTTTGCAAGTCTCCCTAGGGAAGTCCAAGACTTGGCTCTCTCTTTTCTTTACTACTTCACGATAGACAATTTTAGTTCTCCTATGCTGGATTCAATAGTTTCATGCTGTCTATGTAAGTATCACATTTCCTTCGTGAATACAGATGCCTTTATTTAACTTTTAAACTCACTTCTGTTGATGATAGAAAGATGAAAGAAAGGTAATTGACCAAACTCAATTTATATCGCAGATCCACAACTTGAACAAGCTGTGTTGTATCGGATAGTGGAAATTCTTCACACTGCCTATAGAGCTGGATATATCCAGATTACAGATCATTTCAGCTTCCTCATCACCTTAATTGCACGTTTTAAAGTTGTTTCAGGTACTGAGTGTAATGTGCTAAAAAGAATCTTTTTGGCTGTGAGAACTTCGAAAATAAGCTTTTTTTACTATTGAAAATAATTTGGAAATCTGATTACACGAGAGCTCGGTTTTGTGCTTCTTATTTTTATTTGTCGTGGTAAGTTACTTAAGAATTCTACTTTTATTGCAGAGAAAGGCCAGTTAGCGATGGAGTGTAATGTGCAGGAGACATATCGTGGCACATTAAAAGTACTTACAAACCTTGTGTGCTCTTGTTTGTCAGAAATGGGTGATGGCTCTCTCGTCCTCCAGATTCTAGAGAAAGTTTTACTCGAACAAATAGTAAGTTTGTATTTTGATAATACTTAATATTGAAATGCATATAATAACATCTCAGTTCTTTGAATTCCTTTCGGGTGATGTTCTTTTTGCTGCAGATTCTGAAGCCTGCGTTGGACAATGGATGTGCCATACTCAGGATGATATGTGCGTTGGACTCTAAACCTACTAGACTTTCTGAAAGTAGCATAGCTACTCTAAGTGATTTTTTACCGGGATATCTGATCGAGATTGTCAATGTGAGCATTTCTTTCCTAAGAATACCCTTGTAAAAAAGATTTCTTACGTCCAAAATGTTATAATTTAAATATTGGGATTGACACATCTCTCTGCGCTCTTCAATGCAGTGTATACCAGAAGATAAGGAGAACTCTTACCAATACAATCAAACATGTCTCTACTATTTAGTACCTTGCTATTTCCTGTTCGACCGGAGCTCCAAACTCACAGAACAAGTTCTCAAAAGAATGCAATCGATGGTTAGTGAAAACACTCAAGCGCTGGAATCTGTCCAGGACAAAGAAAGCGGTCAAAACTCATTGAAGTTGATACACTGCATTGTCTCTGTGATCCTGCTGATGCACAACGATGTCAAAGTTAGGAAGATCATATTGTCATCCAAGTCAGAGTTAGATTTGATTCTGCAGAACGTTGTTTCCTTACAGGTACCATTTCTGGTCTTATTATCGTCATGCAAACTGAAAAACCATGTGATGGTGACTGATGAGTTTTTTGCCTCTTTAACTGCGCGCAGTCCTCTGGAAGCAGTAGCTTGACGGTAGAAGGAAAACATATGATGAAATTTAAAGGAGAGCGACTTAAGTTTGCATGCAATAGCTTACTTACTTTATAAGTTTAAAGTTATTACACACAGTAAGAAGTTGTTTCACAGCTGTAACATGAGATGATAAAGGCTTTCTTTACAAAAGATGCTTAAGAAGATTTGAAGATTTAATTTGCTTTTATTTGTAGCAGCATCTTCAACATCCACCTCATACATATCATCCATGCCATCTTTGGAGGTGGCTGATACCATTTTTGACAACATCTGGAACTTGAGACTGAATCCAATCACACGTAGGACGGATCCTGTAATACAAAATCAATTAGACTTTCGATCTTAGAAGCCTCAATAAGAACACTCTTTATCAAGCAACGATTAAAATATTTTTTTAAAACACCTGCTCCACATTATCAAGTTCCGAGAAAATGACACGGAGCATTATGAAATCAGGCCTTACGCACTCCAAATCATAATGTGTTTGCGGAATAGAGAGCTTTGAGACAATGACCTCTGATTCTGTCTGCAACAAACATCATATAAAGCTTTCTGAAAGGCTGAACTTCGAACCAGTTATCTAGTTTAACCATCCTCAAGAGTCAAGACCCACCTTAAGATACATAAATGCGAGAGCGATTATTGCTCCAGGTGCGGTTATATCAACATTGCAAGTGCTTCCGCAGTTACCTGAGACAAGGAAAAACTATGGTGTTCTTCTTGAAATGTAAACATCACTAGTTACATAACAGCCATATCACCATTTTTATTTTATTTACTAAGTGAATATAAGCACATGGGTGCAACAGCATTATCTTATCGAATAACAGAGTAAGGGGCTCAAAATATATGCAGAGACAGAATCTTTGCAACCAAATACATACACACATCTTGTTTCGCATCACACTCCAAAAGTCTTTAATTGTTCCCAGTTTGCTTTGAAATGGAGATCGTATAGCTGAACTCAAAAGACCCATATCAAGTCTTTGCTCGATTTCACTGCCGGAAAAAAAAATGCGAAAAGCTTCGACACAAGAAAAAAAAAAGAAAAAAAGAAGAGATAATGCAAAACGGCATCAGTTAACAAGCAAAACGCATATGACATATATTGATGTTAATAATGTAGAGCTAGGAGCATTGCTACTATTTAGTATTTATTTACACTAAATTTCGACCAAAAAGACAATTCAATAACAAACAAAACGCATCAGAGGAAAAAATAATAATAAAATAATAGTCCATTCGCGAAAAAATCGCGCATGACCGTGTTTTGCCAAAATACGAGCAAAATTCATAGTGGTTAACCTTTCGATTTTGGCTTAACGCGCTCAACGCGCACCAGGTGCGAGTGGGCTAATATCTTTACATTTTCAAGCGCGTGGCATCACGCTCTGCGACATAGAACTAATGATATTATTACACGTGCGATTGAGAGAGAAAAGAGAACTTATTTAAAGCAAATAATAATCATTCAATTAAAAGAACAAATAATTCATTAAGTATATCAGCGTTTAAATCTTCGTTGCAGAGCGCGAGAAAGGCGATGACCTCTCTGATTTCTCTTCTCCTTCTTCTTCTTCCTCTTTCTCTCTGTGTGTTTCTTAAATACTCTCTCTCCCTCTCGGAAAACGAGATTTGCCTTTACCAGACCCTTGAAAGAGAAGACTGACGAAAAGCTTTGGAGATGGAGGAAGAGCTCAATTATAAAATCAAAGCAGATTAAAAAATGTTAAATCCATGTCTTTGATATGACAATCCACAAAGAGATTGGTGTTGGGTAACAATTTAAATAGAAAAGAAACTCTTGCTTCTATAGAAATGACGTCAGACAGAGACAGCAACCAAACCAAACACAAACTTCGAGAATATTTAGTTTAATTTAATTTCCACCAATTTTAGGTGATGGGCTTAGCCAATCACGAAGCCCAAATTATCGTTTGGCAACTAAGCCCATTGGAGCTTAGGGCCCAATGAAATCCGAGTCGTTCATAAAACCCTAACTCGCAGTCTCTCCCATCTCTCTCTCTCTCTCACTCACCGTCCGTCGATCGTTCTGAAGTAACCATGGTTCGTTCTTCGCCGCCGTAGTATTCTCATAGGTTCCTTTGATCAGATATGTAGAGGATTTCGATCTCTGACTATAACTGTGGTTTCTTCTTATCTGGATGAAAAACAGCCGCAGGGAGATTACATTGACGAGCACAGGAAGAGGTATGGATATCGCCTCGACCACTTCGAAAAATTGCGCAAGAAGAAGGCGCGTGAAGTTCACAAACACTCCACCATGGCTCAGAAGGTTCTCGTTTCTTCTTCCATTTGTTTTTTTTTTCTTTTTTCATCTATTTTGGGCTTCCTCTTTCTGATTCTTCTTTTGTTTTGTTGACTTTGTGCGGTGAATTGCAGTCTCTAGGTATCAAGGGTAAGATGATTGCAAAGAAAAACTATGCTGAGAAAGCTCTCATGAAGAAAACGTAAGTATTTCGCCTTCTCTTGTTTTTGCCACTTTGAATCCTATGTTCAGCACCGAAAATGTATCCTGGATCAAAGGTGCTTAGTGATATCATGATAAATTGGCAATTCGAAGATAATCAGTGTGGTTCCTGTATAGTTGAGAACGCGTTTAGTCACAAGTCTTGTTATGTCTCTTAGTCTTCATATGTTTTTTAGAATGAAATGAACAAACTTGTGCTGTGTTCTGAGGTTTTTACATTCGTTTAACTTTGACACAACAGATTGAAAATGCACGAGGAGAGTTCATCAAGGCGTAAAGCTGATGACAACGTTCATGAGGGAGCTCTTCCTGCTTATCTCCTTGATCGTGAAAACTCCAATCGGGCCAAGGTTAGTGTTTTTTATTTCCGAGCTGATATTGATAATCCTGGAAAATTGGTGAAAAACAACATATGACATGTGTTTTTGGGCGTAGGTTCTTAGCAACACCATAAAACAAAAGAGAAAAGAGAAAGCCGGGAAATGGGAGGTCCCTCTGCCAAAGGTGAAACACTCTCTTCATGATTTTATATAACTTGAGAATGTTTTTTTCGTACATGTTTTTGTGTTGGCAGCTGATAAATCTTTTCCTTTTTCCAGGTCCGTCCCGTGGCTGAAGACGAAATGTTCAGAGTGATCCGATCTGGGAAGAGGAAGAGTATGTATCTAGTTTGAGATCCTAAACACTATTCATTCATCATCATATATGCAGTTTGCTTTGTAGCTAAATAGTCACTTACAACTCTTGAAATGCTTTCCCTTTCTTTGCATCAACTATACAGCAAAACAATGGAAGAGGATGGTTACGAAAGCTACATTTGTTGGACCTGGTTTCACAAGGAAGCCACCAAAGTATGAGCGTTTCATTCGCCCGTCTGGGCTGCGTTTCACCAAGGCCCACGTCACTCACCCTGAACTAAGAGTCACTTTCTGTCTTGAGATCATCGGAGTCAAGAAGAATCCTAACGGTCCAATGTATACATCACTCGGTGTCATGACCAGAGGAACAATCATTGAGGTTAGTCCCAAGATCGGGTTTCTCATTTCTCACCTATGCTAGTGCTGGAGATATCTCGTGAAATTTTCTTTAAATTTGAATTGATTTCCAGGTCAATGTGAGTGAGCTTGGTCTTGTTACACCAGCTGGAAAAGTTGTCTGGGGTAAGTGACAAATATACAGAAACCTTATGCAAGACTGTGAATGTGATGTCAGTGACTTAACTCCCTCTTCGTTTTGGTTTCAGGGAAATACGCTCAAGTGACCAACAATCCAGAGAATGATGGATGTATAAATGCAGTTTTGCTTGTGTAATCAAATCTCCGGCAATCTCAGGGTGAGATGGATAGAGACAAGAGGAAGGCACACAGTTTTGTGTTATGTCATCACATTAAGTAGCTTTTATAGCTTACTAAGTTATGAAATTTTTAAATTTGTTGTTTTTAATCCAAGTTGTTAAATTTGTTGCTTCTTATACATTTTGATCCTCTATTCCGTTGGTTTGCCTGAAGAATCCAAATAGACAAATATAAGACTAGGCATATAGTAAGCAAATTGAACATATCCAAAAAAAAAACATAACTATACAAATGGTTAAAATTTTTGTTTTAATTGTATATAGCAATTACAAATGGTTTAAATTTGATTTTGATTAAACTTAACCATTACAACCGAAAACGAGATCACTTTTATTAGCAGTTGAAAGCTTAAACTTATCTATCAACTTGTTGTGGTTGGTAAAAGCTTAAGTTTATCCATCAACTCGTGGTTGGTAAAACATTGGCTGCTAATGGAGGCTCAATTACTTGGAACAACCCTGAAGACAGCCTTCTTGTAAGATCTTCTACTGCGACTTTCGCCACATCAGCTCTCATACCGATATCAGTAGCGTACCTACTGGCACAATACACACTAACCGCTGTTGCCGCCATTCCATAGACGTTTGTTGTCACAAGCCGCATCGGTGTGGACAAAACCGCAGCAATCGGACCACCTATAATCGACACAGCCTGACCGCTCTGTCCCATTGTCCTTCCCTCAAGAACCAGCAATCCCGTTTTGCAATATATCGCAAAGTCCTCACAGTTGTTCTTGAAAACGTCGTAGCATCCAAATCCGTTTTGAAGGAGGTGTTTGGCCCGGTGGACAACTATGTCATCAGGGTCAGAGACCGCGAGTGTGCAGGTTCCTCCTCTGGCTTTGGCAAGGAAGTGAGCGGCGTTGACCGAGTACTCAAACCGGTACAAGACACCACCGGCTAGGAAACAGTTGAGGCATGATGAAACAACACCGTAACCTTCGTTTGGTGGAACACATGTTGGACAGTGCGTGTGGCCTCGGGATGGACCTGAGCTCACAAGTATGAGATCAAGAACAGTCCCGGTTCCAACTTCTTGGCCTCGTCTTGTGAAATGGATGACTCTGTCATCACCAACATATATACCTGTAATAGAAAACGTATGAGATCGTGAACAAAGGAAATGCCGGGTAAAAATGCAATCAAAGCAGCAACATTTCGCTTCCACAAAATTCTCTCTTCACGATTTAGGAATAAAGCATATCATTACACCATACATTAAACAATTGTTTTCAGGCAACATAAGAAAGATAAGTAGAAGCTATCTAGAGAATCAATCCTTCTAGTGAACAACACATTCTGATTTTGGTTATTACATCACAACATTTTTGGACAATCTCAAAGCTTGGGTAGTGACTAAAGCAGGACGAGAAAGAGAAATATCGATTCAAATATCAAATCAATAGTGACAAGTTCAACATTAACACTAATTCATCGGAAAAAGTCCCCACAAACCCAAAAAATTCCCAAATTGAACATTATCTCAATCGATTATACAGTACTTAAAAGAAAAATTCGTTAGTGGATACAAAAGAAAATGGGTTACGACGAAGCAAAATCGAAGAGGAATACATACCGTGGTGGGCATAGATGTAAGCAGTCCTCCACGAGTAGATATGATCCCCAGGTTTCAAACTCGATCTATCGATTCTGTTCAAACACAAAAGATACACAGTGAGTAAACGCAAAATGATTGCAAGTATAAGAAACCAAAAACAAATGATCGGGAAATCAAAAGGGGAGAGGACGATATTAAGGAAAGAGTATTGATATTTACCTGTTGGAGAGAAGACCCATCTATGATCTCTTAGATTCTGTAAACAGATGACACAAAGAAGACCTTTTTTCGAACTTATCTTCTTCAAGGAAAGCGAGAATGTATCGTATTCGTATTTTATCCTAAATGGCTTTCACTTCTCGCCATCCTTCCTTCGTCGTTAAGGAAAAATTGAAAAGGGAGAGAGACAGTGGACAGGTGTTACACAATGGATTTCACGTGGCATCGTTTCTTGTTTTTTCTTACATTTGGGCCGATTTTGATAGATATATAATGGGCCTTTATTTTGATGGAAGGTCCGGTTCAAATCTATTTTCCAATTATTTTATTTTCCCAAATTGTTTTCTATTTTTACATATCTAGCTAGTGTGTGCTTCCATGAGATATGGTAATATACCGGTTTAATGTTAATAAGATAGCTAACTGACATGTATTGGTTTTATCAAATCATAAAATCAACAGACTATTTAATTCTCTCATAATGTTTTCCTTTTACTATATTTTAGCATTGTTATTTTTGGTTAACATATTTTAGCATAACATAGAAATCATTTTATTGCTAGTAAGAATGCTGGTGTGATAATTATCTACTAGTGGTAATGATATTTACTTATATAACTTTGAATGATTAATTGATTAGTCAGCAGTCAAAACTAAAGAGAAAAACAAAATCTGCAACCAGATACATCAAACTGAAAAAATTAGTGGTGGTGTATTCTTTAACTTAAGAGAAAAAGTTATTTAAAACAACTGATAAAAAATAAGAAAAACTATTGGAATAATATCAGTCCACAGAATTAAGAAAATAAGAATATGCAAATTCTGTAGTCTAAGATAGTATCAAACATTAAATATAACACAGAGCAACCTCTATTGAGGAAAGATTTTTGCAGATATGTAACTAAATAAAGTTTTTAATGATAATAGTTTATCCAATGAGATAGCCAATATATATACACATATATATATATATACGCATATACATATGATTGATTGATTCATGGTCGTCTTCATCTACTAGCAACATACATAACCGAAACAGCAACCTAATAATCATTTCTGACTTTAAAGCTTTCGCTTTTAATCTCAAGAGTGAAGAAGACTAAAAGGCTAAACCCCAGATCCTCCCACCAATCATATTTCCGTACGGTCACTCTCTCCATTGCAAACAAACCCTTCAGATTCTCGAGAAAATAGTTTCCTGCTGGGAAAATTTCGGGCCAAGAGAGAAAAAATCGTACAAATGTGTGTAGTATTTGTCTTCGATTCTTCTTTCTGATTCTTTCTCTGCTTTTTTTTTTTTTTGTTTCGGAAATTGGAGATTCTATAGTGCCTGATTTTTCTTTGGCGATTTTATGGGGGAAAAAAAATCGATTTTTGTTATGAATTGGTGATGCACATTGAGCAGAGACGAGCGTAGAAGACGAAGAGTGTCGAGAGATTTGTATTTGAAAGCAATTGATCTGTTATACCTATCTGCATCACTCCCGATCGGAGATTGAGATTTCTCAGATTTGATTGTTTTGTGTTGATCGCAACCAAAAATAAAAATCTGAATATGAATTCGTCGACATCATCTGAATTGTCATTCAGCGGAGAACAACCGAGTCTCCGTCGAAGCCACTCAACGCCGTCGCTTTGCTGCGGAGGATCCACTGCGGCGGAGTGTTGCGGTGGTACAACGGCTGAGTGCGCCGCCTTATGTTGCTGCGGCCCTTGCAGCGTCGTGAAGCTCGTCGTACTCGCCGTCTACAAGCTTCCTCGCGGAATATGCCGCCGTGCAACCCGCCGTCTGCGACGGAGACGACTGGCGAAGAAAGGGGCTTTAGAGAGTGGAGATTTCGAGAAGAAGCTGAGTAAATCTGGGAGTTCGCAATTCGCTGTTCATCCATTACAGAGCTACGGAGACGAGGAGGAAGAAGAAGAGGAAGAAGAAGAAGAAGACGAGGCGGTGATTGCGTTAGAGAATGAGATGTGGAGCAGATTTTGCAGTGGAGGTTTCTGGCGAAGCCATTCACAAGCTGAAACGGCGTCGTCTTCGAAAATGGATTAAATAATAGATTCGAACTGTTTTTTAATCGGTGGGAAATGTAGATCGAGTATATGCTATATTGTTCATAGCTTTATTAATAAAAAAAACATGATTGTTCCCTTAAATTAAAAATGTAGTTTTCAATCAATACGTAAGAGATGAGATCAGTGGCTCGAGGCCGGATTATGAATAAGTGTCTAAACCGAAACCAAACTTTATTGGAGAAGTCGTTTTCGTCATGGACGAGGTTAATTATGTTTAGCCGTACAAGTAGACCACTAGGTGAAAAATCTCTGCTCCAACAACACTTATTAAAGAACCTTTTTTTGTTTTGTTTTTGGACATCACTCTTTAAAGAACTTTTGAGATACCAAAACAAATAAATAGAATATTGTAGTCAAATCATCAGCAAATCCTAACTTTAATGTTTATATCGCATATTCAAGATGCGTGAAGCATTCAAGCATCTATAGATTCGTGTACTAAGTTGATTGTGATTGGATCAAATAAAATATGGCACATAGTTGTATAGTTGTGTGCGTATATCCAGTCTTTACACAGTAATCTATGAATTCACCATACATGATAATGAAACAAAATATATTAGAGATATATTTTGGTTAATGAGAAAGTGGAGAAAAGACGCATGTGTGAGTTTGTAACGTGGCATACATGCCATAATGAATAGTCTAAGTAGGGATCAAACACTGAGAAGAAACAGTTGTGGATTGGATAACATGACAAACCACATCAATGATAATAATTAAAACACACAAAACAGAAGTATTTTGGTGGTTAGGTATAACAATTTGAGATGGAATTGATTAAGAGGTGCTTTAAGTTATATAAAGAGAGAAGGATCCAGCAATAGATTCGGAAGAAGCGTGGGATATGGAATATAGCAGTGCTATAGCTTTATAGGTGACAGCTTAGGGTTTAGGGTACAAAGAGAGAGAGAGAAAGAGAGAGAGAGTCAGGTGGTAAAATAAGTACTAGTATAATAAAGGAGGTTGAGTGAAAAAAAAGTGAATAAAGTTAAGTAACTTAGGGTTTCATGTGAATCCAGAGTACAGTGTATGTCTTCGTGTAAACTGTCCTTTTCTTTCTTTACCCTGTGGGGACCCTTTGATTTTGTATTTATTTTACATTGGTTTCACTGAGTTCCTACCACACATGACACACCACTACTCTTCCTCTCCATATTCATTGACGCTTATTTCCTCTTTTATCTCTATTTACAATAACATTTTTGTTTAGTTTCAAATTGTCTCACAATAGAAATGCAGCTGTGATGCGACAATTCTTCATGAATTTTAGTATGCATTGAATCCCATGCATCATGTCTTTAAAATGTTTTCCTGTGACATTAAGGTAAAAGAAAACTTAGCTTGTATTCCATTTTTTTCTGCAGCAAAAACATATACGTATTAACTTCTCAATAACAATAAAAAAAACTTCTCAATACCAAAATTAAATAATCAGAAAATAGTGTGCGGGGAGACTAATCCCTAAGATTGAAACTATGTTATAATTAATTATGAGAAATATTGTTTGTTTTGTATTTTTTTGGAAGCCTGAGATGCGCTATAAAAACAAACTTTCGATATCTTCAAAACAATAATATAGTGACACCTAGATGTTTCTTCTCCGCCGTCCAAATAATAACAGAGATCACGATGACTAGTCTTAAATTGATAAACACAAAGGATCACGAAAGAAATCTCGAATTTTAGGACGAAATGGAGGATGGACCACGGCCTAATATGCCATATTGTGTGAGCTTCCATGTATAGATGTGGAAAAGCATGGAAGACAGGCTTCCTGGGATGTAAGGATCACACTAGAAGTGCCTATGTTCAATATGGAACCAGTGATAATATGTTCTTAAAAAGTAGACTTGTCAAAGATTTGCGCATAATCCATATTCTCAAGTGTCATTTTTTTGTTTCATTCACAAAAAATAATTATTTTACCCATTCCCAGAAAAAAAATTAAACCTGCAATTTTTATAGGAAGGGGTGATTTACATACTGATCCTCAACTTAAAATACTACGAGTCAAAAACTTTAGAAAATTTCTTTCAGGTCACCAAAAAAATGTCGGAACTATTACGAAATGGGCCAAACAGGTAAAAGGGCTCAAGTTGAGTCCAATAGATAATATTGTTGGTGTGGTGGTCACAAGATACTCGCTTTTGAGAGAAAGCTGTAGATGCTTCTTGTTTTTGGGGCGTGAGCTTCAGGCGCATATAGGGCGCGTAAGAGAAGTAAAGTAATTTCAGATGGGACCATAAATGATTTATACAATTCACAAAGCCAAAAGGGCGTATTTACTATCTAGATGGATGGATGTTTACGTTCCAAACCGACAGCTTCGTTTCCAAGCCACGCGTTCCTCGGCTACCTCTTTGCTTCCCACTCACTATCACATGCCTCTCTCTCTCTCTCTCTCTTTTTTTTTTTTTTTATCTGTCCTTCTCTACTCTTAATTTCACTTTCAAGTTAAGTATCATCCAAATTCACATACATCATTTCCTATTACCAAATCTTGTGAAGTAACTAGAGTTTCGCTTACAAAAAAATTAAGAAGAGTAAAAAGGGAGTTTATTAAGCCGAGCCGAGCAGGGATGAAGAAGAAAAGAATACGAAAGTCAGCAAACATTATAAAATGCTTTGAGTGGGTCCTACACCAGCCTGGTCCGAAACCCCCGAAACTACACAACACAGACTCACAACCAAACTCATCTCTCTCTCACACTTCCACTTGCCATCGCCGACACTTCAACAAAAAAAAAAAAGAAAGAGAAAAGTAAACTCTTTCTTTCTTTCACCAAAAGAATAAAAAAGAGAAAAATTATTGTTCCATCTTTCTTTCTGATTATCCGATCTAACAGAGCTCCATGGATCGCCGTATCTATGGTGGCTCCGCCGTCACTGTTCTCTTTCTCTTCCTACTCATCTCCTCCTCCACCGCATCTGCATTATCCAAGAACCCGAATCCTTCATCCGGGTCGGGTCAGATCAACTCCAACTCCGTCCTCGTAGCTCTCCTCGACTCTCGTTACACGGAGCTCTCCGAGCTCGTCGAGAAGGCGCTCCTCCTCGAGACACTCGAAGACGCCGTTGGTCGCCACAATATTACCATTTTTGCCCCTCGCAACGAAGCTCTCGAGCGTGACCTTGACCCTGGGTTCAAGCGGTTCTTGCTCGAGCCAGGTAATCTCAAATCTCTCCAAACACTCCTCATGTTCCACATTATCCCTAATCGGGTCGGGTCCGACCAATGGCCCTCCGAGGATTCGGGTCGGGTCAAGCACCACACGCTGGGCAACGATCATGTCCACTTGAGCAAGACCAAAGTAGACGGCAAGAAGATGGTGGATTCAGCTGAGATTATCCGACCCGATGATCTGACCCGACCCGATGGATTGATACACGGGATCGAACGGCTTCTCATCCCTCGCGCCGTTCAAGAGGATTTCAACCGCCGTCGGAGCCTCCAATCAATCTCCGCCGTCTTGCCCGAAGGAGCTCCGGAAGTTGACCCGAGAACCAACCGTCTCAAGAAAAAACCCGCACCAGTACCCGCCGGATCCCCACCGGCTCTCCCGATCCAATCCGCCATGGCTCCTGGTCCGTCGCTAGCTCCGGCACCGGCTCCGGGACCGGGAGGGAAGCACCACCACTTCGACGGTGAAGCTCAAGTGAAGGACTTTATCCACACGCTGTTGCATTACGGCGGTTACAACGAGATGGCAGACATTCTGGTGAATCTGACGTCACTAGCGACGGAGATGGGTCGGTTGGTGTCGGAAGGATATGTGCTAACGGTTCTTGCTCCGAACGACGAGGCTATGGCGAAACTGACGACGGATCAGCTGAGTGAGCCAGGAGCGCCGGAGCAGATCGTGTACTACCACATCATCCCGGAGTATCAGACGGAGGAGAGTATGTACAATTCTGTTCGGAGATTCGGGAAGGTGAAGTTCGATACGCTGCGTTTTCCTCATAAGGTTGCGGCTAAGGAAGCTGATGGTTCGGTTAAGTTTGGAGACGGTGAGAGGTCGGCTTATTTGTTCGATCCAGACATTTATACGGACGGTCGGATTTCGGTTCAGGGGATTGATGGTGTTTTGTTCCCTGATGTGGAGGAGATTGTTGAATCCGTTAAAAAACCAGTTAAGAAAGTTGTTGTCCAGCCGAGAAGAGGTACGTTTTTTTTTATTTTACTTTCTTTGGTTGAATCATTATCTTACTTTTGTGTTTAGAATCGGCAACTTTTGATGATTAAGCACCAATAGTTTTGGTGAATTGATCTGCTGTTGCATAGTCCCTAATTGAATCTAATTGACTTCCTGGTTTTGGTTAATAGACGGGTCTAGTAATTGAAACAAGGTTAAGGTTCGAAGAATGAGAGTGGGTCTAGTAATTCTGTGAAAAACAGGAGCCACCTTTTCTGTCAATGGCTCGGTGTAGAATTTACCGAGCCAATTGAATGATTTCGGTTAATGCAACCGCGAGGGAGAGGTAGATTATATTAGGCATGTAAAGATTTGTGAGTCTAAACACAAGCAAGAGGTAGGCTTTTGTGTGTGTGTGTGTATGTGGTCATTGCCTTTAGCTAAGCTGGCTATAAGCATTTTGTCATGTTTCCTACCTTCAAGATGGTTTGTTAGTTAAATTATTGGGTATTTTGTTTATAGCTTTTCGTAAAGCACAAATAATATTTATTAAACTTGAGGGGACAATCATGGAGGAGATTAGAGTGTGTGATTGTGGTGGACTTTGACCTAATAAAGGTGTTATTGTTGTGATTGAAACAAACAGGGAAATTGTTGGAAGTAGCCTGTAGAATGCTTGGTGCTTTTGGCAAGGACACTTATCTCAGCAAATGCCGGTGAATTCGTAAATCCGCCTAAGAATTGATTTAGGTTAGGATTTTTCAGTTGTCCATTTGATACGTTCAATCGATAAGCGATGGTAACAGGAATTCGTATTTTTTCTCTTTTATTCAGGTGACTGAAGATTTGGCCTTGGGTGAATAGAAAACGAAGAAAAGCCAACAATGTTCAAAAACACAATCTTTCAGGGAATGAGAAGGATGTTTTGTTTTTTTTTTCTTTTTAAATATATATATTTTTGGGGTGGGGGTGTTTGATATTTGGTCTGGATTATGAATACTGTAATTAGATATATCAATCATTTTTTAATTAATTTGGTGGTGTATGAGAACGAGAGTACATTTAATAAAAAGGGGAACAAAGAATTTGTTGTTTTTTGGACTCCTTGGCTTTAACAATGGGGAAAGCATATTTCCATTTGCTAAGTGAATAATTCAATTTAGAGTCACCTCCACTATGATTAGAGATGTCTCTGACTTTATTGTTTTGGGAGAATGTATTCTATATAAATGTATGAAATATTTGGTAGAATAAGAAATCACATGGACATGGCAAATGGGTTGGCTCATGGCTGTGTTGTTGACTGATTGGAGGACAGGCACAAACTTAGCTGTCTTTGGGGTCAAATTTTCTTTTGAGAAATCTCGAGTCTTAACACTGAAGTTGTCTGAAATTTTCCATGTGGTCATCGACAGGGCTGGATCTGAGATTTTGGGGGCTTGAAACAAAATAAAAAATGGGAGCCGCTATTTTTTTTATAAAAAAAAAATTTAGATAAAAAAAACTTTTTAAAGTGCGAACGTACTAATATTAATGATACACAAGTAATCCAAAAAAAAAAAACTAATAGCAATCTATGGATTTCGAAAAATAAGTCTTCTTATATTTTTCTCCGCAAAATCATTTATCAAACTTTGGTAGTCAAGCTTTCCAACCATATCTCTCTCAATTGACAACATTGCCAAACTATTCAGTCTCTCTTCTGACATAGTTGACCGCAAGTAAGACTTTATTAACTTCAGCTTGGAAAACTTCTTTCAGCCGAAGCAGCAGAAATTGGAATAGTTAGCATCACTCTATATGCAATCCACGTATTTGGATAACCATGACCTTCAAATCTTCTTAAAAAATCTAACACTTCAACAGCTTTCTTGATCTCACTTGGCAAAACATTTCTTAGAATTTTGATCTCTAGATATAAATGATATCCATCAATGTCTGAATTGGCACCATGTTTAAGAGAAGATTCAAGGTTGATACATTTTGCCTTCAAACTATCATCCGTTGCCGATTTGAGCTTATGTAGATCAAACAAAAATCCAAAAGTTTTTTCATACTCTTCAAATTGTTCAAACCTTATTTGAAGAGATACTATAGCTTGATCCACGATTCTCAAGAAATAATCAATCTTAAACTTCTCTTCCTCACTTAGCATCTCAGATTCATCATCTCTTTCTACTGCTTCATCAAAATGCTTCTTCCTTTTAATAATGCGCTTTCATTTCACTGAAAAGTCTGGTTCGATATCCATAGACTCTGCAATAATCTTAGCTTCTGCTTTTGCTTTTTCAAATCCAGTTTCTCTATAGTTTTTCAGAAACGATACTAACCCTTTCAATTGAACAATAGCATTATCAATATCAATATGCTCTGATTGCATTATCTTACTTACGGCATTGACGGCGAACAGAAGATCATACCAAATAACCATACCAAATAAGAACTCAAACCCTCCAATTCCATGAGTTTTGCTTGTGGTAAGAGCTTCAGCATCGCTACGAGCTCCAGGATCATCACAGTTTTCTGCCAAGTAATCCAAAGCATCTCTTATTTTTGGAGCTTGAAATCGAATTGCTCGAACACTTTCAACGCGACTTTCCCAACGAGTTTCTGATAGTGACTTAAGTGTGAGACCTCCTACCATCTGCTTAAATAGCTCCCACCTATTTGAAGATGATGAAAACAAACAATATATCCGTTGAATGATTCCAAAGAAAGCAATCGCTTTTGAAGATGATTTAGCCATATCAGAAAGTGCCAAGTTAAGACTATGACAACCACAAGGTGTATAAAATGCTCTTGAATTGATGTCAAGCAATCTTTTTTGTACTCCTTTGTGTTTTCCCTTCATATTAGATCCATTGTCGTAGCCTTGCCCTCTCACATCATCAATACTCAAATTAAGACCAACCAATGTCGAACAAAGCAACTCAAAAAGCCCTTCTCCAGATTTATCTGCAACTTCTAAGAATGTCACAAAAAACTCTTCAACTTGTGTTTTAGCCATGGAGACATCCACACATCTGATAATAAGACTCATTTGTTCTTTATGACTCTTATCTAGAGTGCAATCGAGAATAACCAAGAAATATTTAGCTTCTTGAATTTTTTTGATGATCATAGATTTGACTTCAGACCCTAGCATAACAATCAACTCATCCTGAATAGTGTGGCTTAAATAGTGATAATGAATCTCACCTCCTTTAACCCGTCTGATATGCTCTCGCATAACTGGATCAAAATCTCCAAATGATTCAATAAAACTCAGAAAGTTTCCATTGTTTATTTGACCAAGCTTTTCATTAGTCCCACGAAAAGCTAAATTTTGTTTAGCAAGAGTTGTCACCAATGAAAATATTCTCAACAAAACCTCTCTCCAATGGGTTTTCTCTTTATTAATTTCTTCTTGGAGACCCTTATCAATCGTCTGATTCTTCTTTAGCCTAAATTCTAATTCCATCTACCGACTCATACACTAAATATGGTAGTGATTAGTTTCATGTTGACTCAGTCGTATCTTGATATTCTTCCAATCATTGAACCCTTTGCTTGACAACTGATTAGCATCTTGATCTCGACCAAACAACTTGCAGCAAAAACAATATGCTCGATCTGATACTTTTGAATAAAGTAGCCAATGCTGGAGCATATATTCTATTTATACAGAAAAGTTAGAAGTTCTTTTCACTCAATTGTCGATGTGGGATTTTGAAAAAGCTGTTTTCTTTAACTTTTTTTTTTCTGGGTCGGGTCGAAATGGACCTAAATGTTTGAGCTGAATTTTTTTTTTTTTAGTTTTTATGGACTGAATACAAAATTAATGGGCTGGATTTTAGTCAAAAAATATGGGGGCCTGAGGCAAATGTTTCACTGAGCTTTGCCCAAATCCAGCCCTGGTCATCGATGCTCTCTCTATTGTTTGTTTGTTTGTTTTGTGCTATCTAAAGAAAAGACCTTGTAAACCTAATCTACATACTGTCTAAATACCAGATTGTCTATGTATGATTCGTGGCCTAAACACACTTCAAATCTGAGTTGCATCAACAACTAAATGTATTTAACATAATTTCATTTTGTGTTCATTGAGAGAATAATGTATGACATTCCAGTTGGGAAGTATTAAAGGTTTCTTTTTTTTTTCTTTTTTTTTTTTTTTTTTTTTGACGCAAACTGAGAATTTGGAACTTTGTGTGGCCACTTTGTCAAAGGTATTAGACAAAACATAGACTTGTTGTCTTGTTGAGTTGTGTTGGTACTGATTACTCAAAAGACAAAATTGTGAACTATCTAACGAACGATTTGACCGTTATTTTCCCACTCTTCTTCCCAGTTTGATGCTGGAAGTGACTTGGGATTCTTCCGATTGATATAAAACAGCAATGAGAGCTTTGTTTCGATTCAAGTCTTTCTTATTTGATCCAACCCGAAGAAACCCACTCGTCTCTTTCTCAGCTTTCTCAAAGTCATCGAAATCCAAAACCCGTCAGACCCCGTCGAAGATCCAAGCTGAAGCTACATCAATCACCTCACTTTTTAACGAGATAACTCAAATTTTAGGATCGGATGTTGTCAAACCAGACGAAACTACGCAGCTGAGGTTTCCGGTGTCGGGAGAAACCCATGCGACAGGAGCTGTCTCTGGTGATGAAGCATTGATTTCTTGCACGCAAAGTGTTCGTGAAAATGCTGGAATGGGATTTTCAAATGAGAATGTAGAGGCTAAAGAAGGTACTGTTCTTCCTGAAGAATTCGACGTAAGTCCCTTTGTTCATGAGATTACGAGCGTCGTCAGGGCAGATGACGATATTCTGGATTCCATGGAGGAAAGGTTAGAGGAATTGAGTTTTCGGTTCGAACCAGATATCGTAGAAAAAGTACTGAAGAGGTGCTTTAAGGTTCCTCATTTGGCTCTGAGGTTCTTTAATTGGGTGAAAGACAAGGAGGGTTACTCACATACAGTCGGAGTTTACAACACCATGCTAAGCATAGCTGGGGAAGCGAGAGATCTCGGTATGGTAGACGAATTGGTGAAAGAAATGGAGAAGAACGCTTGTGATAAGGATATCAGGACATGGACAATTCTTATCTCAGTGTACGGGAAAGCAACAAAGATTGGAAAAGGGCTTCTCGTCTTTGAGAAGATGAGGAAAAGTGGCTTTGAACCCGATGCTGCGGCTTATAATATCATGATTAGGTCTCTATGCATAGCCGGTAGAGGTGACCTTGCGCTTGAATTCTATAAGGAGATGATTGGAAAGGGTATCACTTTTGGATTGAGAACGTACAAGATGTTACTGGATTGCACAGCGAAATCAGAGAAACTTGATATAGTCCAGTCCATTGCAGATGACATGATTAGGATTTGTGAGATTTCAGAACATGATGCCTTTGGTTATCTGCTCAAGAGTTTCTGTATCTCCGGCAAGATAAGGGAAGCGCTGGAACTGATTCGTGAGTTGAAAAACAAGGAAGTGGGCCTTGACGCTAAGTATTTTGAGATTTTGGTTAAAGGGCTTTGCAGAGCAAATAGGATAGTAGATGCTCTAGAGATTGTCGATATAATGAAGAAGAGGAAACTGGATGACTCAAATGTCTACGGGATCATTATCAGCGGATATCTCAGGCAAAACGATGTTTCAAAAGCTCTTGAACAGCTCGAGGTTTTAAAAAAATCAGGGATTATACCTAGAGTTTCTACATACACTGAGATTATGCAACACCTCTTCAAGATGAAACAGTTTCAAAAGGGTTGCAACTTATTCAGAGAGATGATAGAGAACGGAATTGAGCCTGACAACGTCGCTATCACAGCCGTGGTTGCTGGTCATTTGGGCCAAAACCAAGTAGCAGAGGCATGGAAAGTGTTTAGCAGCATGGAGGAAAAGGGCATCAAACCGACATGGAAATCTTATTCGATCTTTGTGAAGGAGCTCTGTAGATCAGCAAAATATGATGAGATCGTAAAGCTGCTTAATCAGATGCACGCCTCCAAGATAACTATCAGGGATAATATGTTTTCTTGGGTTATCTCTTGTATGGAGAAAAATGGCGAAAAGGAGAAAATTGAACAGATCAAAGAAATCCAGAAAAAATGCAAATCCTACCATCAAGAACTAAACATATCTTGCAGAACAGAATTAAGGCAAGAAGAGGAGCTTGTTGATGACTATAATCGTCCACAAGTAGTGAAGCAGTCAGCTCTTCCACCAGCCTCATCTGCCGTTGATATAAGGGACGTGCAACAAATTTGTCGCATGTTATCATCCTCCCGAGATTGGGAGAGAATCCAAGAAGCTCTAGAAAAATCGACGGTGGAGTTCACACCAGAACTCGTAGTTGAGGTTCTTCGTAATGGCAAGATACAGGGAAACGGTGTTTTACGTTTCTTTTCATGGGTGGGAAAGAGAAATGGCTATAAGCACAGTACAGAGGCATACAACATGAGCATCAAAGTCGCGGGAGGTGGGAAAGATTTCAAGCAGATGAGAAATCTGTTTTACGAGATGAGAAGGCAAGGTTGCGTTATAACACAAGATACATGGGCAATCATGATAATGCAGTATGGTAGAACCGGTCTTACCAACATTGCTATTAGAACGTTCAAGGAAATGAAAGATATGGGTCTGATGCCGAGCTCGTCGACCTTCAAGTGTTTAATCACAGTTCTTTGCCAAAAGAAAGGCAGGAACGTTGAAGAAGCCAGCAGAACATTCCGGGAGATGATTCGTTCGGGCTATGTCCCAGATAGAGAATTAGTCCAAGACTATTTGGGATGCTTATGTGAAGTTGGTAACATTAAGGATGCAAAAAGTTGTTTGGTTTCTCTTGGCAAGATTGGTTTTCCAGTTCCCGTGGCGTACTCCATCTTCATAAGAGCTCTTTGTCGAATTGGAAAACTAGAGGAAGCTCTTTCAGAATTAGCCAGTTTTAAAGGAGAGAGATCTCTACTAGAGCAATATACTTATGGAAGTATTGTTCATGGCTTGTTAGAGAAGGGACATTTACAAAAAGCATTGGATAAAGTGAATTCCATGAAGGAAATGGGAATAAAACCCGGCGTCCATGTCTACACATCTCTGATTGTTCACTTCTTTAAGGAGAAACAGATCGAGAAGGTTCTAGAGACATGTCAGAAAATGGAAGAAGAAAGCTGCGAACCTTCGGTTGTTACATATACGGCGATGATATGTGGGTACATGAGCTTGGGAAAAGCGGAAGAGGCATGGAAAGTCTTCCGTAATATGAAAGAGAAGGGAACTTCACCAGATTTTAGAACATACAGTAAGTTCATAAACTGTTTGTGCCAAGCAGGTAAATCTGAAGATGCCCTGAATCTTCTATCTGAGATGCTGGACAAAGGTATAGCTCCAAGCACTGTCAATTTCCGAACAGTTTTCTACGGGTTAAACAGAGAGGGCAAGCAAGATCTTGCTCGGATTGTTTTACAGAAGAAGTCAGCTTTAGCAGCACAGCGAAAGGTATCTACATGACCTCTCCCTTTCTGACATTTTAACGCAGATTCTGCATCCATGGGAAGAATGCAAATGGACCAAATAAAATATATTCTTTTCTTAGTAACGAATCCGTCAATGCTCTTATTACATGTAGTAGCTGTTTTTTTTTAAAAAAAATGTAGCTAAGATACTTCAGACAAAACATTTAGGAAGGACTAGTAGCCTCATAACTTCTTCACAATTTCTTCACAGGCTCGCTCATAATAAGTCATTCTCTGTATGCATTTAACAGCTTCATCAAACCTCTGGCTTTCAAACGCTTCGAGAAAAGAGTCAGACCACTGCTTCAGTTTCTCTTGCACCTTGAGAAAAACAACAAAATCTCATTGATTAGATCATCAGTACATTCAACTAGTGCCCAAAGCTGCAGAATTTAAGGTTTCAGAAAAGCCAAAGAAAATAACGAAAGACCGAAGCATCTGAAGTAAGCCGGATCAATCAGGAATTTTCAAGGTACCTGTGATCGGATCTGGTTTAGCGCATTTGAATCTTTCGATTCTGCTATGGCCTCTCTGAGTTCCATAATCTGACACCATTATCAATGAAAAATTCTAAGTGAATGTGTTTATTAATGACAGACGTGTATTTGCACCTCTCCGGTAGCAGTTAAACTTAAATATGGCATCGAGATTAATCTTTATGAGTAGATCAACTTACCTCCATTAACAATTCAGGATCTGTTAGTGTTTCTTCTTCATTGATATTAATGCCATTCAGCTTCATCTAAACCAATATCTTCAGTATTAATCACACTAAAATGGATGAAGCTAAGAGATAAGGGAACAGCCAGTAAATGTGAAAAGGAACCTTACGATATACATTGCTCTTGACAGCCGCTTGGTTAATGTCCGGCATGCTTCAGTCACCTTTGCAGACTGTTCAGCTGCATAATCTCTTTCTTTCTATTCGCAGACGTTAAAAAAAAAAAAAAAAAAGAGAGAGCTAGTTGTAAGACAATACGAGAAGAAGAAATATGCCGAATTGTAAAAGAAAATCAACAAAACAGACCTTGGATTTGTTGTGAACTAAATCCGGATGTAGCTTCTTTTGCCAGTCTTTGTATTTCCCTTCAAGGCTTCCAGCATCTAACTCATATTTATTCTCCCTATGAAGACATATTATTGAATTAGAACCAAATTCAAAAGATCTCATCTTTTACGTGATCAGCTAACTAACTATTGATCCCAACTAAAAAGTTTAAACCTTTCCAAATTCCAATTAAGAGAAATCCACTTTGATTCACTCAATAGGAGAAGTTCCTATGCAATAATGGTAGTTGCAATTTTAGTGTTCTTAAACCCTAAATTCTAATAAAATGAAGCGTGTGATAAATTACTTACAGGCCAAAAATCTGAAAATAATCGACGGAATCATCAACAGGTTGAATGCTGCGGCATGAATCACAGAACAAAAACGCAGCTTTCTCCGACGAGAAACCACAGTTCCAGCAAACGGAGCTTCTCTTTGAGCAAAAAGCTCTCCCGGATAATCGGAGCCCACTAACGGAAATCGCCAGAGGTTTAGCTGAACAAGGTTGCAGAGAATCACGACTCAGGTGATTAAACGCAATCGTTGCGAGTGGATTGCATCGGAAAGTTGAAGGATAACAGGTTCGTCTTCGTAAAAGCTTGGAGATTGAAGCTACCAGCTTCTTTGTTTTGTTCATTGGTGACGGAAATGAGAAAGAGAGAGAGAGAGTTGGGATTTTCAGGCTCTCGAGAGATCGTCGCGTGTATAACTACTTTACAGTCGAACCAAACCGGTTTGGGCTTAACTCTAAAGAGTTGGTTTTCCGGTTAGTATTATTCGGGTTAGAGATATTGTTGGGCTTGTACCAGCACCAATTGTAGTAATTTTGATTAATACTATGGCTCTCCTTTTTTTTTTTTTTTTTTTTTTTTTGGTTTTAACACTATTCAATATTAAGGACAGAGCAACCGACTTTGATGAATCCAAAACTATTTCAAATGAAATGACTTGTTTAATAAGAAATTATTCTTTTTATTCAAACAATCGTCTGCATATTTTTTAGCTAGAGATGCTGGAAACAATAAAAAAAACACACCAGGAAAAGTCTCAGAGCAGTCTGAGCAAAGAACCCAAAACAAAACCAATTAAAAAAACAGAAATTACCAAACCCCCATTATCTTTGGTTTTGCCAAAAGAGCTGAACAATGGCACTTCCCAAAACTTGTTATTCTCAGCTGCTACTGGAGCTGCAAAATCAATCAAAACAAAAGGCAAAGGACCATGAATTGGAGTGAATTTCTTCTAGAGTTCCTGTCACAAGAAAAAAAAAAAATAACAGTTGTTCAGTAAAGAAATTGTACCTCTTGCAGCAGCTGGCTCGTCCTGAGGTTTCATTGCAGGGAAGAGAATAACCTCCTGCAACAACATATTTCAGCAGAACATGATGAGTAAGACAAAGACAATACTATTCCATTGGATTTTTTAAACTCAAGTATGGATTCAGATCAAAAGAGGGACCTTGATGTTCTGTGAGTCGGTAAGCAACATAGCAAGCCGGTCTATTCCCAATCCCCAACCACCTGTGGGAGGCAACCCATATTCCAAAGCCGTGCAAAACGCCTCATCCATAGCCATTGCTTCATCATCTCCAGATTGTCGATCCTGTACATCATCGTCTCAAGCTTTCAAAAATGATACAACAGCGAGAGAGAGAGAGAAAGTGTTATATTACAAGCGTGATGATAGGCTTCTTAAATATACCTTGAGCTGATCAGCAAAACGCTGACGCTGTACCACAGGGTCATTCAACTCAGTGTAGGCGTTGCAAATCTGCACGACAGATAAAAAACAGCTTAGCAGAGAGGAACTCAGGCCTACTAAACCAAATAAGATTTGTTATTACTATATATAAAGCTTACTTCGTGTTGGTTGATGAACAACTCAAATCTTTCAGTCAGGCCCTTGATGGATCTGTGCGATTTTGCCAAGGGACTCATAATCTCGGGGTGGTTCATTATGAAAGTGGGGTTAACACATGTCCCTTCCAGAAAGTGTCCAACAAGCTGCGTAGTAAAAAAACATTACACAAGGCACGAACCAAACCACATAGCCAAGGGGATAAGGAAAGAAAATTACTTTATCCAGCAAACGTGCACTTGTCATAGGATGTGCGCATTCGACATCAAACCTCGCGCATGCATCAATCAGATACTTGTTCGCTTCCTCGCTAGCCAAGTATTTTGGAATATTGAGGTTGGCCATCTTCTCTAAATCTGCTATCATGTCAATCCTCCTACAGAAGATGTATATTATTATTACCATAAGATACGTTTCAAGAAGAGCTATGTTCTGATCGCATGAAAAACCATTCCACGGACCTGAATGGAGGAGTGAAGTCGATTTCGATCGGCTCCTTATTATACCCATTAGCATGGAATTTGACTTTGTAACCACCTGTTAGTTCCTTGACCATACCACTCAACATATCCTCGGTCATTTCCATCAAGTCATGGTAGTCTGCGTAAGCCATATAGAACTCGCAAGTGGTGAACTCTGGATTGTGTATCAAGTCAATACCTTCGTTTCTGAATTGCTTTCCAATCTCGTAAACACGGTCCAAGCCGCCAACGACAAGCTGCTTAAGATGGAGTTCAGGCGAGATACGCATGTACTGCTTTATGTTCAGATCATTGTGGTCTGTCATAAATGGACGCGCAGCTGCTCCACCGGGAATCATGTGCAACATTGGAGTCTCTACCTAATAATATATTAACAAATATATAGTCTCAAAAAGGATGGAACTCTTGCAAGAAAAGAAAAAGAGAAACAGTTAATGTACCTCCAAGAAATCTGGGGAACCTCATAGTTTTCTGCCATTGTCTTCTGACTTTGGGAGCTGGCCTTCAGAGCCTGCTAGAGAAAGAAAAACAAAAAGTCGGATTTTTGTGATTGAAACTCGATTTGGAAAAGAATCAGGCTATATACTTTTATGAATCGATTACGTCATTAGAAAGGAAACTGAAGAAAAGAACAAACTTGTCTGGCTTTTCCGTCTTCCTTGCGCCTACTCTTGTCCTCCCTCTGTGTGTTGTCCAATTCCCTCTTAGCACTGCAGAGTAATTCCGATTCATATATAACTTAGGCACGAAGAATCGCAAAAGATAGGTAGATAGAGAAGCATCCTAAGAAGAAAATAAAAAAACCCTACTTTTTGCTGAGGGGTTCAGCTCCATCACCAGGTCCAGGCTCCATGGATCTCGAAGTCCTTTGTTCAAAATTCCAGAAAAGAAAAAGGAACGTTTTTCTTCAAATGACTAGGTTTTCAAGTGTCAAAGTAGACGATTACACAGTGATATTTATGCACAAGAGGATCCTAGGTCAACTAGAGCTGGGGACGTTATTTTTTTGGGGACCAAGTTTGTCGACTGTTTTATTTGGTTAATACATTTTTTTTTTCTTTTCTTTCTTTCTCGATTTCCTTATATTTAGTTATCTACGAGTCATTTAGTAATTATATTTTGGTGGTTTTAGTAAACTACAATAAATTATGGTTAACGAAAACTTGGGAAAAAACACGTTTTAGCAAAATAACGATAAAAATAATTAGATTCTCAGTTTTTTACTTTTTTTTATACATAACATGTTTTACATTCCAACAAGTGAACGCTAGAATCAAAGCCATGGTCTCAAACTACGCAGAGGGTGGTCGCTTCATCTTGAGAAGATGAGAGATACCGGCGATGACATGTGCACGACTACTTGGAACTCCTGTTTTGGCCAACGCTTGTCCGTTCTTGTCCAGCAAAACAAAGCAAGGAACATACTTTATGTCATAGTGGAGAAGCTGCATCATTAAGACAGAGAGGTCCAAAATCTTGAGTCTATCTACCAAAGAGAGAAGAGAAAGAGATTTTTTTTTTTTTTTTGCTTTTTACCTCAGGAAACCATTTCTCATTCTCTGCATCTGCCATAGTAATGCTGAGCCAATTTGAGTTCCTTTTCTCTACCTCCAAGACAAAGTTGAGCAGAGAATTGCAGAGTCTGCATTTGGGTGAGTAGAATTCAAGTACTGTAGCCACTTTCTCGCTCGCTAACGCAGCTGCAAAAGCCCTCTGCTCTGCTTCTCCTTGCTCAAATCCACTTAGTGGCTTCTTCTTTGGTCCAGTGACCCCATGACCAAAACCGAATGAGTTCAAGGAGCTGAGAGCAATTGAACCAACACTTTGCATAGATCTGAAAAGCCACGGTCCTTGGAAGTCGCAGACGCTTTGAGATTTCTGTTGTTTGTTTGAATCCCATGGCCATTTCAAGCAGAAGGAAGGCTTTGTTGGAGTCGACGCGCTCGTTATCTTTGATTCCATTCCAATGCAACGAAGTAGAACGCAATTCTGTGCCGGTGACAGGAGAGAACGACGAGATCGAGAATTGGGGATTTCGAAGGGGATTAAAAGAAATTAGGGATTTTAAGATTTTGGTTTGCTAAAAACTATTTAACCAAACCAAACCGTAACTCAAAGATTCGGTTTATTTTTTTTTTGGGTTTGAAAGCAGAGAGAGAGTAGTTGTTTTTTCTTACAAATTTGGACTAGTTTTTACTTTTTACAAATATATATATGATTTTTTTTTATCGAAAGATACAAGTTTTACAAAAAGAATCCACAAACTTTTGCATGAATCATCCATCTAAGAAGAGATTTCCAAGTAAAAACACTTTATGGTGCCACACACTCTTGCATAACAATGGGAACTTGAGCTTCCTTCACAGCCAGGACCTGAAAGCAAAGCAGCGTGTCTTACGTTTTCTCCGCAAGCTCGGGTTCTTAGCTTTATTTAAGCTGCCATGCTTTTGTCCTGTCTCGATCTCTCTCTTCTCTGTTTGGCTAAAATCGCTAGTCTCTTGTGTGACCATTGAGGTTGAAAAATCTTGTCTCTGTGATCTTTGAGAAACAGTTTCAATGATGTTCTCTAACAAACTTACTGGCTTTGTCTGATTCTCTGCTCTATTCGGAGACAGTTCCTCAGCTTCTTGGACCGGCGTTATATTTCTGACCATGCATATTACTCTATCTAGAGTCCCTAAAGCTTGTTCTACCTCTGGACTGATGCAAAACTGTCTTCTCATATCGACATTAGTCTTGGTATTTACATTCCCCTCCTCTGAAGAAACACTTTCCTCAAAATCTTCTTCTTCTTCTTCCTCAATCTCGGTAACAGCTTTTCTAATACTGACAGGTTCATTTTCACGAGCATCTTCATCATTCATTTGTTCGTTCTTTGGCAGAGGATCGCCGTTCACTTCATTGGCTTCCAAATTTGGCACTTCCTCAACTCCCTTATCAGTGGAATACAGAGCTTGGCGTATTTTGGTATACAAAGGATCAGCCAAAGCTTTGCTGTAATCTTCATCAAATTTAGCCACCGAAGCAACTGACTGTTGACATTCAAGTAAGAAAACGGTATCACACAAGCTACCTACCGAAACATAAGTACAGCGAAACAAAAAAAAAAATCAGGTTTTTCTGACCTTTTTATAGAGTCTGAAACCGTTACCGATGACCTGCCTAGATATAAAGTTCATAAGGGACGGAGGAACCAAGTCCAGCTTTATATCTATCTCCCCGATCGTCCTACAAAATTTGACAAAAGCTAGATCTTTTTAAGCTTCATAACCAAAGACATTTTAACATGTTGCAATACTATGATGATCACTAACCTGAAGTAACTCCTCTCTGGAGTAACCTTTTGTAAAACAAATCCGCCTACGAGATCAATCCTCACTGCATCCGGTGATTCAGGTATGACGTTCTTGGTGATGTCCTTAGAGGAAACGCCAATGCTATCTAAATCAGAGATCTAAAAGTTGCAACCAAAACTGATTTCAGATAGTGTCAAATTTTCATACCAAAGGTAAGATGAGAAAAAAAAAGACGAGAAGGATTTTGCTTTACCGAGTTCAGAAGGATGACGATTAAGCCATCTTCAAAGTATTCAAATAGGAAATAGTGCACAAGAATCTCTCTGTCCGCCAATGGCCATGGTATCTTCATCCTTTCTTCCCACAATATAAAATTAGCTTCATAAGATTTACATAGCTTACAAAGAAACCGAAAAAAAATTCTTCTGTCCAAATGTGAACAGACCTTACTAAAGATATTTGTTCACCGGTCCTGGCCTTTTGCAAGCATGTGCTTTGTAAGATCCTGAATGGCGGAAATGCAAACTGTGGCCACCTATAACATATAAACAACGCGTAAAGTATAAAAATTTACCAACAAGACATGAGATCCTGTTGTTCAAAATGACTCTCACCATTTCTTATAGAGGGTTGATTCCCACGAAACGCACAAACCTGCATCAACATGAGTCCAATTAACATCAGATGCAGAAACATGTTTTTTAACACTTTTGATTCTACAGTCAAAACCCTGATGAGAAAACTTACAGTCTTCGACAGGGGCATCCATGTAACCTTCAACGAGCATCGTGTGAAAAGGACTTCCTTCGAGCCCTTCACGGTACATAACACGGCAATCTTCAAGATCATGTTTCAGCTGTAAAAGAAACACTTTTTTTTTGCTAGATCGTTACAATCCAAGATCACTGGTCGAAACAAAAAAAGCACAAAATGGGAAAGTGTCTGAAGTCAGAAAAAGAAAAAAAAACATACTTTCCAATCGCTATGTGATGATGCATCATTGTTTCCATGATGATCCGTCATGGAAACACTCCTAAGCTTGCCAAGTAGCTTCGATACATCAGCTGTTCTTTTATCCAATATATTCTCATCATTACACTCTACAAAATTATCAAATCAACATAAAGCAAATCTTAGAGTGGAATCATGACAATAAAGGCACGAGTAGTAAAAACAGCAAGAAAAAAGAAAAAAAAAATCAAGAACATCGGAGATCAGAACAAAACCTTGGGAGGAGCAAAGCTGATTTCTCAGAAGGGATTTGAGAGTCTCGTGATTGATGAGGTCAGGAGAAGACAAGGTCTTGTCTAGCTTGTCTCTGTACTCACAGATCTCTCGTTTCTTCTGCATAATTCTCACACTTGCAAACCCTCGAACTAAAGACCAATTCACAGCAAATCAGCTATCAGAATCAAAACCCACCCCATTAAATTGCATAAACCATCGAAGAACTAAATTCCTTCAACTTTTATGATCCGATCAGAATTTTAAAAGGCAATAAAAAAGAAAGAGAGAAAGGGGAAGTAAGTTTCGAGGATTAGCACACAACAAACTTACGGCGTTCTAGAAAGCTTATTTTTAGGCTGGGGAACAAAACGTGACCGACAAGACGGAGATAAGAAGGTGACAAGTGTTGTAAGGATTTTCTCTTCCTCGAGAAAATTCAAATCTGGTCCATTTCCATGAATAGTCGGAGTTTCCAATAAAAGGATGGAGATGCGTAACGATTAAGGTTGAGATTATTATGCATAAGAGACTGACAAAACCTGTGGGTTTAGAAAAAAACGGATAAGTGTCGGTGTCAGACGAGTGAAGATAGGTGGGAATTTCTCTGCCTCTTAATCACATCTTCTTCCCTCTTCCTTTTTTTTTTTTTTTTTTATAAAATTAGTCATAAATAGGAGGAGATCTTTGGGTCCGGTCTTAAATTTGGCATCCCTCCTGAATTGAATTCTCTTTTGTCTACTTAAATATAGTAAGTAAGCCACCAATTAAATCACATTTCCACTTAAGCCTCAGATGTGTAAATGCATTGAGTGGTCCACTTTCTGTTTAGTAATTGTTGATCATCACAGGAAACAACATACAGTACAAAGTGATGGAAGAGAAGTTTCAGGCACAAGATCACAAATCATTTCAACAAAAGAACAGAAAAAGCAATCACAAAAAAATAATTAGTGGAAATCACTCATCAGATAATTGATCCCAAACATTGAAGATAAGCCATCCTTCAATGGCTGCAGCCTCAAGACGTTCTTCAGACCCTTTCTCCTCCCATTTCGACTCAATCGAATCCAGCCGGCTCAAATCAGACCACAGCACTCTGTAAGCTAACTCTCTTGTCCCAAGATACTCAAGCACCAGGGTTCCACAGGCTTTAGCAGCCAGTTTCCCGATCTCAATCGCGTTTCTAATCACAAGACCGTGGTTTTCTCTGAGCAAGATCAGGTCTTCGTCGATCAAAAGTGACAAACTTTGAAGCAAAGAAACGGTACAGATCCTTGAGATTGTCATGAAAAGGGTTTAGCAAGTCCAAGGAAGAGACATAGGTTTCTCGTGCTCAGCTTCACGGATGATAGACTCCACCCTGACTTTTTGGTTCTGACATTTCAATAATCATCGAGGATCACCGCTCGGTTTCCATTCAAGATTGAATCTTCTCTGAGAAGAGAAAGGTATGGAGAGATATCTGTTGATGATCCAACCTCAATGGCTTTGGTCTTAACGTAAGAGCCATCAGTCATCTGGAACTTTGGCCCATCAAAGGAGGCCATGTGATGAAGGGACCCTAAAGAACACACAAATCAAACGAGAAAGCAAATGTATCAGATTCAATTCTAGAACCCAAAATATGAAAAGAAGGAAAGTAAGATAGTGAATCCTTTTTATCACTTTTAGCAAGAAAAGCTTCCTCTTTTTACATAAGTACTCATCAGTTGGAAAATGCATATACATTTGGGGTAAATCAGGTGAAGGAAGCTGGAAAGATCACACATTGGATAAAAAACTTGAATGTAGCAATAGGCTAACAACGAATTTTATCAAAGTACGTACAAGTAAACAACTTTATTTATTAGGTTTGACTACAATTGTTTATTTTCCCCTGAGCATCAAAAATAACAAGAAATAAGCGAGACTTTTCCTTGTCTACATCTCTTCGACTAATTAACTAATAGATAAATAAAGTTCAACAAGTTTAAATAGCTCACGACACATTCATGAAATCTCAGTTCTTGTAACCCGAAATGATCGATCAATCCGAGACATAATCCCGTAAAATTAATCTGAAAGCTGAATTATACGACTCGAAGTCGACATAACAGAGACATTACTGCTAATGAGAAGAAGTTAAAAATAGAGGAGGAGAAGCAAGAAGAGACAGAAGGAGGATGAACCTTGAAATTCGCTTTCGGCGAGCTATTGAAGTAATCAGAGAGAGAAACTGTTGTTTTTGGTTTTCTGAGGCGAAGAAAAATCACGAAATGGAGTTAGACAAATTCTGGGGACCTTTGGGTGCGATCGACACACGTCTTCTGCAGTTCTGCTTGCTTAACCAATTCGGTTTAATCAAATCGAACCGATCGGAACCAAAACGATTTCAGGTCTTTGATTGGTTTTCTTGGCATAGCAATCAATGCCAATTCTATGCAGGAGAACATAATATATTGTAAGTGTGACTTTTTTTCCACCGTTAGAGTTGGAGATATAAATCACAAACTCTAATTGCATATTGAATTATCATAGGTCCAAAGATACGCCAAGTTTTTGTAAAACATAGAATATACCAAGAATTATCTTCGATCAGAAATTAACATAGAATGCTAGATATTGTGCTCGTTGGGAGTTGATAACCGAGAACTTACGGAGAGCATTCACTATCACCAGTTACCAAAAACATGTGCTCACACCAAACTTTTGATGCTAAAATAGCAGAGTTCATGAGGTACATTTCCACATATAATGCTCACGTTTCACTCTCTGTAGAGTCACGACTACTTCTTTCAATCTCCATTAATCTTTACGTGTTAGAAAGTACGACACGCATTGAAATGTTCAACAACCATTCTCTTCGTCGATAATCATCACTACCTGATTTGGCTAACGTTTTCAAAAATCTAAATTCAAATCTGTTACATACAAACTGAAACACACTTAACTTGAAAGTTTATATTGAAATTGATTTGGTTTACTGCATACTTACCGATATCAAACCATGCCAAAACAGATGACATGCTATATGAATTGCTGAATATCGACTTGTGTTTTCCTAAACTTTAATCAACCTGTTTACAACTTTTAATCAAACCAAAAAAAGAAAAGTTTACAAATAGGAATCTCGAAAATTGGTAATTATCTCAAAGTTGTCCGTTTTAAAAAAGAAATAAAAATGTTACCACACAGGCTGATTCTGCAATGTTTTCTAGGCCCATCATCCCTCCATTTGCTATACATATATCGCCGCTTCTACACAGACTACAAAGCCAAAGCCTACGCTCTCTCTCTCTTTACTTTCAACAAATTCGCCGCTTATCGCCTCCGATCTTCTTCTTCTCCGCAACACCAAAAGGTACGGTTTCATCTTCTTCTGCTCCGATTCTCGTTTCTTCTGCAGATTCGTTCATCGATTAGGTTTCAGGAACCTCTCGTCCGATTTTTTTTTTTCATTTCTTTGTTATTCGAAGCTTCTTCTTCTGTTTACTTGATATACAAATATATATATTCTCTTCAGTTACTGTATGGAACCATTCGTTGTAAAGGAGAACAGTCTCGCATCTGCTTCGTCGCCGCTGAAGAAGCGACGGATCGATCACACTGCTGATGGTTCTGCGACTCTCGCCTCTAACTCCAACATCGCTTTGAGCAATATCAGTGGTGACGAGCCGCGGCTGAACATGGCGGCGTTTGGTAACAACTCCAACAATCACGAGATCGATGAAGATCTTCATAGCAGACAGCTCGCTGTGTACGGACGCGAAACCATGAGGAGGCTTTTTGCTTCCAATGTTCTCATCTCAGGGATGCAAGGCCTTGGTGTCGAGATTGGTAACGTTTTTTTATTTAACTCTCATTCCTAATTTGCTCACTACGCTGTTAAAATCGTCTTGCATGTCACTTATGTGCTTGTTGTTAAAGAGCTTCAAGCTTGTGTAGCTTCTGTGCTTGTGTTTAGATATGAACGTTTCATAATTGTTGCGATTTTCCACTAGAAGAGGAAAAATAACCCCCATTATGAGTGTTTCTAAGCGTATTTTCGCTAGGTTGAGTGCTTGATTTGTGTGCTAGCTTTACCAGTAGATTTGGCACTTGAAATTGAGTTTGTGCAACTGGTAGCTTAGCCTGTTTCCCTGATTTTTTAGTGTGGCATCATATGCATGGAAGGTTTATTGTTTGTTGTGTTGCTTTTAATGTACATTCACGATTTTTTGTAATGACATATCTGTATATTGTCTTCTTCATTTACTTCTTTCTGATGATAAGTTCTTTTACTATACAGCCAAGAATATTATTCTCGCTGGTGTGAAGTCGGTGACCCTTCACGATGAAAATGTGGTGGAGCTATGGGACTTGTCTAGTAACTTTGTTTTCTCGGAGGAGGATGTTGGTAAGAACAGAGCACTTGCTTCTGTTCAGAAGTTGCAAGAACTCAACAATGCCGTGGCTGTCTCAACTTTGACTGAGAAGTTAACCAAAGAGCAGCTTTCTGGTTACCAGGTATCCAAACTTTCCATCTATTTGATTTATTTCTTTTTTTTTTCTCCTTCTAGTTATCGACTTGTCAATAATACTATCATGACTCCTGAATGCAATTTTCTGTACAAAAGTACAGAATGTTTAGCTAAATTCTTTTGTTTGTCTGTGATGCAGGCCGCGGTATTTGTGGATATCTCTTTTGAGAAAGCGACAGAGTTTGATGATTATTGTCATAGTCACCAGCCTCCTATTGCATTCATCAAGGCTGACGTTAGGGGCTTGTTTGGGTCATTGTTTTGTGATTTTGGACCTGAGTTTACTGTTCTTGATGTTGATGGGGAGGAACCGCACTCTGGCATCATCGCTTCTGTGAGCAATGAAAATCCTGCCTTTGTTTCGTGTGTCGATGATGAGAGGCTCGAGTTTGAGGATGGAGATCTTGTAGTGTTTTCCGAAGTTGAGGGGATGACAGAGTTAAATGATGGAAAACCAAGAAAGATAAAAAATGTCAAGCCGTATTCGTTTGTCCTTGACGAAGATACCACTAGCTATGGGACATATATGAAAGGTGGGATTGTGACTCAGGTTAAACAACCAAAGGTGCTGAACTTTAAACCGCTCAGAGAAGCAATTAATAATCCAGGCGACTTTCTTCTTAGTGACTTTGCGAAGTTCGACCGGCCACCTCTTCTTCACTTAGCATTCCAGGCACTTGATAGGTTTTCGTCTCAAGCAGGCCGGTTTCCGTTTGCTGGTTCAGAAGAAGATGCTCAGAAACTAGTGGAAATTGCAATTGACATTAACGGGAGTTTGGGCGATGCAAGGTTGGAAGATGTCAACTCTAAACTATTGCGGCATTTGGCCTTTGGATCCAGGGCTGTTCTGAATCCCATGGCTGCTATGTTTGGTGGCATTGTTGGACAGGAAGTCGTCAAGGCATGCTCTGGGAAATTCCATCCTATCTTTCAGGTAAAGCCATTTCTGTTTGAATTTTCAAGATGTGCATCTGTTCAGTCTTTTTAGTAGTATTTCTTTTGTTCTTGGTAATCTTGTAATGAGTTTGCATTATTTGTGCAGTTCTTTTACTTTGATTCGGTGGAGTCACTCCCCAAGGAACCCCTTGATGGATCAGAGTTTAGACCACAAAATAGCCGTTACGATGCTCAGATCTCTGTATTTGGGTCAACTCTTCAGAAGAAACTCGAGAATGCCAAAGTTTTTGTTGTAGGGGCTGGTGCTCTTGGGTGTGAGTTCTTAAAGAACTTGGCTTTGATGGGTGTATCATGTGGTGTTCAAGGGAAGCTTACCGTCACCGATGATGATGTGATTGAGAAGAGCAACCTGAGTCGTCAGTTTCTTTTCCGAGATTGGAACATCGGACAGGCTAAATCCACTGTTGCCGCAACAGCAGCAGTGGGAATAAATTGGCGTCTCAACATTGATGCTCTGCAAAACCGTGTTGGACCTGAGACTGAGAATGTCTTTGACGACAGCTTCTGGGAGAATTTGACAGTTGTTGTCAACGCACTGGACAATGTCACTGCAAGGCTTTATGTCGATTCAAGGTGTGTGTATTTCCAGAAGCCTCTCCTCGAGTCAGGAACTCTAGGTGCAAAATGCAACACACAGATGGTAATCCCTCATCTGACTGAGAATTATGGTGCCTCGAGAGACCCACCAGAGAAACAGGCTCCGATGTGCACTGTCCACTCATTTCCTCATAACATTGACCATTGCTTAACATGGGCGCGCTCAGAATTTGAGGGTCTGCTTGAGAAAACACCAGCCGAAGTTAATGCTTACCTCTCAAAACCTGATGAATACATGAATGCGATGAGGACTGCTGGTGATGCTCAAGCTAGGGATACTCTGGGACGTGTTGTTGAGTGCCTCGAGAAAGAAAAGTGCAATTCCTTCCAGGATTGCGTAACCTGGGCTCGTCTAAGGTACTCTCTGATGGTATATATGAACCCATATTTCGGGACTGTGTATATTTTATTGCCTTCTCTTAACATAAGCTTTTGCTTACAGGTTTGAAGATTACTTCGTCAACCGTGTGAAGCAGTTGATTTACACATTCCCTGAAGACGCTAATACGAGTACTGGAGCTCCATTTTGGTCTGCCCCAAAGAGATTCCCTCGTCCGCTCCAGTTCTCCTCAACGGACCTGAGCCATATCAATTTTGTCATGGCTGCAGCTATCTTACGTGCAGAGACATTCGGAATCCCTACTCCTGACTGGGCTAAAGCCCCAACCGGACTAGCCGAGGCTGTGGAAAGAGTGATAGTCCCCGACTTTGAGCCAAGGAAAGATGCAAAGATTGTGACAGACGAGAAGGCTACAACTCTGTCTACAGCTTCAGTCGATGATGCAGCAGTAATCGATGAACTAATCGCAAACCTAGAGAGGTGCAGGCTGAGCTTGCAGCCGGACTTCAGGATGAAGCCAATTCAGTTCGAAAAGGTGAGTCATAGTTGTATCCCAACTATTTTCAATTTCCTGTATTTGCATTATATGGGAGCAACTAACATTATGCTGTTTATAGGACGACGATAGCAACTACCACATGGATATGATCGCTGGGCTAGCCAACATGAGAGCAAGGAACTACAGCGTTCCCGAGGTGGACAAGCTTAAAGCCAAGTTCATCGCTGGAAGAATCATACCTGCAATTGCAACATCAACGGCTATGGCAACAGGTTTTGTTTGCCTTGAGCTGTACAAGGTTTTAGACGGGTCACACACAGTGGAAGACTACAGAAACACATTTGCAAACTTAGCACTTCCACTCTTCTCCATGGCTGAGCCGGTTCCACCAAAAGTTGTGAAACACCAAGACCAAAGCTGGACGGTTTGGGACCGATGGGTAATCCGAGGAAACCCAACTCTAAGGGAGTTGCTAAACTGGCTAGAAGAGAAAGAACTAAAAGCATACAGCATATCGTGCGGAAGCTGTTTGCTGTACAACAGTATGTTCCCAAGGCATAGAGAGAGGATGGACAGGAGAGTGGTGGATCTCGCTAGAGAAGTTGCCAAGGTTGAATTGCCTGCTTACAGACGTCACTTGGATGTTGTGGTGGCTTGCGAGGATAACGATGACAATGACGTTGATATCCCTCTCGTATCAGTCTACTACGCCTGATTTAGAGAATTTTAACTTCCCCAAAAAAGTCTTTATACTACAAAAGAAGAGAAACATCTCAAAGGATGTGTGAGTGGACATGAAGTTGGGTTTAAGAGATAGAGAGAGAGAAACAGAGTTTTAGTGTATGAAATAGTGAAGCACTTTAAATTCGAATGCATTATCAAACTTCTCTTTTTTCAAACTATTTTTAGATAGTGATGAAATGTTGCTATTTCATTGCTGTGATATTTTGACAAACAAGTAAGTCAACAGTCCAATTGCAACTTATTCTATAGCGGATCATTATATCAGGAACCAAACACAAACATCAATGAAAATGTTTTCAAGCATGAAAATTTTCACACATTGTACCAGTTTAAAACCCAAAAGTTACTATAACTTCAACTACAAAGAGGACATTTGACAAGCCCATTCTCATTACATTCTCTGCATCTCGTCCACATCTTATCATTACTAGACTCTTCGTCACGATGATCTGCAATCAATCTTGAGCTTCCATTACAACTAGAACATATCAAAAACCTTTCGTTCTCGCAACATTCACAAGGCGATTCAACCAGTGAGATCCCTTCAAGAAGCTTCTTGAGCTTCCCGTTCTCGTTCAATGCCACAACTTCATCAGCTCCTCCAATGTACCTACCTCTAATGAACAGCCTCGGAGATGTAACTTTACCCCCAAGCAACCTCCACATCTCTTCTCTAAACTCTGAATCCATCGAAACATCTCTCTCTCTATACATCACCTTGTGATTCTCCAACAAGAATCTTACTCTTCTACAGGCTTCGAACGTTTTCCTCACTCCTCGCAAACCCGTCGTGTAGAATACGACCGAGTCTTCTCCTCCAGGTGGGCAATTCTCTTCAAATTCCAAAAGAATCCCTCTTTCCTCTTCAAGATTCTCTTCTTGTTCTGACACATCCACAGCCACATCCTCAAGCTCTAGTAGCGTTGGTGTAACACAACCTCTGCTTTGACCAGATTCATCGACTATTTCGTCTCTTAGATGATGGATTGTGCGATCAATGTTATTCTTATGAAGAGCTAGGCCTTGCTTCAAGGTCGTAACAATGGTGATGAGTTTGATTTTCTTCGCCAATCTTTCCTTCATTCCCTTCATTGCAACCAAAAAATGGATCTTTTGTTGGGAAAACCCCAATTCAAGAATCTGAAAAGAGGTTAAGAGAAGAATTCCGATCAAGATCAAACCAAAGATAAGATCGGGCACGAGGATAAAAAAACAAAACGTAATGGGTTTTTCGTTTTCAGGTTTCTTCTTTGGTTAGCGTGTGGGTACCCAGTTTTGATGAAAAAAAAATTCAAAAGCCACTTTCTGGGTTAGCTTTCAAAAGTCTTTCTTGATGGGTTTTATTCAGAACAACAAAAAAAAAAAGTTTTTTGTTTGGTTGGGTCATTGCTACAATAATGTAGATGATAAAACTCACACTTCAATCACATAGACAAAGGACTCATGAGTAATGATTTTACCAAATCAACCCAATTTGCCAGAGGATAAAAAACAAAAAACAAAAAAGGAAGATGCTATCATGGAGCTTTAAGAAAATTAAAAAACAAATACAAATCATTCTGGTAAGAGTCATCGATTGATTTTTGAAGTCTATTTCCTTCTTTTAGTCCGGTTAAAATGATAATGCCTGTCTTGTCTTTTACAATTCGGTAGACGTGCAATGATGTCAAATTAGTAAAGTAGCTCAGCTTTAGCTAGCGAATTCGAATGAGTCAATTTTTACTATTTAAATCATATACTTACTCTGATTACTTTTTGCATTACATTATGGTTAAGTTTTAATTAATGATGGTGGTTAAGGAATCGTCAATTATACCGTTCCAAGCATTTGACTGACGCCATGAGACCTGGTTGATATGATGACTGAAGCAGTAAACACTAAACACTAATCATGTATTTATATATCTATGATGAAGATCATCAAATCCAGGTCTAACATAACTGGTAAAGCTAGAAAACAAAACCCAAATTTTGAAACTATCTATACAGTGGCAAATAATGACTGGTGAATTTGCTCTAAATATCGGCCACGGATGGTTTGGATCCAATGTCGATGGAGAATCTAATGCACGTTAACTCCTTCTTCTGCGCATCAATCATCTTCATCTGCAGCGAGTATGATCCCTGGAAGATAGATAAAGAGTAGAGAATCTGTCATATTTCCGGTTCTTGGACATTCAAATGCAGCAGAATCCTTCAAAAGGAATAGCAAAAGCACGAAACAAAGCAAATCGAACTTACAGGAGGAGTATAACCGGGAAGAACTTGAGAGTGTGCAACCAAGAAATCACCGGTTTCTACAGGACAAGCTGTCTCAGTGCAGAGGTCATGTGTCTCAGAGTGGATATGCCATCCAAAGTATGAAACTTCAACCAACAACTTCCCACCCGAAATTCCACGGCCTTGATAAAGAAAGAAAAAAACGAAATCAGATACGGATTGTTCGAAATCAATCTACTTTAGAAGCAGGACACTTTGACTACAACCCTCAGCAGCAATCACATTGTCTTTCTATCATAACTAGCACATTGATCATCAGCTATAGACACGAATCAAAAGGAAACAACTTTGTGTCATTGGTCTCAGTGTAACCCCAAAATCTACAGATAAAAAGTGTTAGAACAGTAATGAAAAGTAAAGTGAAGCCAACCTGTGTTTGCAGAGATGCTGAACGTAGCTGGCTCGCCTCGAGCTATAGGATTAGGCGATATATTAACTTCTTTCACTTTTACTTCATACTCTTCATTCTCCTCTACAAAACAAATTCATCATTAAAAATCAGCGCAGGATCAAGATGGGAGAGAAAACGAAGATCTCGGAGGTTCCCAATCGAATTTTCACTATGGAACGATCAATTATGAGTAATAAGCGAAAATAGACTCGATTCGGGTCTCAATTAATCATTGTCTTGTCAAGAGTTAACCACGAGAGGCATCAAGAGGAGAAGAGGAATGGCGAGGAGAAGCGAAGCGTACCACAGTATTGGACATCGGTGGCTCGAACAATCGTAGAAACAAAGAGGAGAAGAGAGATAGCGAGAGGAAGAATCGAGATTCTCGACATCATTGATGGAAGCTATAAGGGTTTTCTTTCAGATGATGATGATCAAAGCCAAACGAGGTTAAGCGGAGAGCAGAGTAGAGTGCGGAATCTTGTTGGATTCTATATACATTCTCAAGGAATGTAGGCGAGATCTGGACCGTTCTTTCAGCTAGGTCATAGTACCTGAAAAAGTGAAAAACGGACGGCTAGATTTCTTTGAGCAAGTTATTCTGTGTGAATGGTACCACCTGATTATCCCTCAATAACGAACCGTATTATTTATCTAATTCTTTTTGGTGAAAGGAAAGGTGTAATATATAGTTAAATATTAAATAAATTTCAATACTAGTGATGATGAACAACATTCCGTTTTTGTTCTCTTTTTTCCCGAATTTTATTTTCATAATTTCCGATATTCGTGGTCAAAGTACTTACTTGAGCATCATAAGTCCTTAAGAAAACAGAAAATGTTTTCATGTGTTAGGTAATATATTAATTAAATTGATTTTCTTCCTCAAGTTGAAAGATAATCATTGATATATCAAAATATAAATAACGTATAATTTAACAAAACATTTTATAATCTCAAACATGCTAACATTACAAACTACAATCTGTCTCAAGTATAGATCACTAAAATTGCTTGTAGCTGTACAGCTTGAAGATAATATACTCTAAAAAATGTCAACAAGAATCAACAAGAAAATTAAAAAAAAAATATGAAAGAAACGGGACAAATTAATTAAGTCAAATATCCATGGGCCGGCGGGAAAAGGGAACAACGTCGGCGACAGGTGTCATCGCCGGAGATGGTAATGGAGACGTACGACATACGGGACACGTGGGATGAAGCCTGAGCCACGGGTCAACGCACTTGTCGTGGAACAAATGGTTACAATCGGGCAAAACCCTGACCATATCGGTGGTCTTGTAATCGGCAAGACATATAGAGCAACACGACGTCGTAGTCGAATCCCTTTGCAAGCTATAACTCACACGAGCCTCTTCGTAAGGAAGCTTAGGAAAACCCTTGATCACCTCCTCGTTTAGCCCCAAGACTTCGACCACCACCACCACGTCGTCGTTTTGATCGTCACCGTCCAAGTAAAACCGTTCTTCGCCAGGTGTCGAAGTTTCATTGGTTTGTCTAAGTTGCCGGCGTCTTGTCCTTGGAGTGGTTGTGGGAGAGGCGGAGATATGGCTTCGAGTGCAATAATAAGAAGTGAGGGTGATTGTGGTAATTAGGAGAAGTATACCAACGGAGACACCGAGCCCGTAAGCGAATCCACCGATCCTATCGGTGGCTGATAGCCAGCGGTCTGAGTCAGCTGGCACTGCCGTCGAATTCATTGCGGCGGTTCGGATGTTAATAAAGCTTCGATTTTCTTTTTTTGTATCTAAAGAAAATGATGGGTATACGAGAAAAGGTGTGATAATGTTTGTTTTTGGTCATCACGATGATGAAGTTCCGAGAGTCAACGTTTAGATATGAGTATATATATGTAGGGTGGTTTTACTCATGATTACAAATACCAGTAGTGGCGTATAAATAACTTTCACATTTTGTTAGACGCGTCACGCGCGTTAATCAATCATTTGGAATACGTTTAATCTCTAAACATTTGTTAGTTGATGATCTTTTTTTCTTGCTTATTTACAAAAAAAGGTTTAAACATATGCATCTTTTTTTGTCAACAGGCTAACATATACTATATGTTAATTTCTTAAGTGAAGCGAAACCAATAAATTAATCAAGTGGGCATAGATGCGAGCGAATCCAAGTCTAATTGGACCTTAATTATGATCTTGTTTTAACAAATCAAACAAAAAATTTCATTAAAGATAAAATATGATCAAATCGCCTTCTTTTTTTTTCTTTCTATAACTTGCGACTTTTGAATTTCTAAGTCATAGCCGTATCTCATGTTTATTACAAACTTAATTGTGTATTCTATGGTCTGTTCAGTCTGTTAGATCGATGACTGAGATTCTTTGATATTTATAAATTTTCAAAAAACTGGCAAAAACATTTGGCCGAAATCATCCCTCAAATATGTAAAATACTGATTTTTTTTTAGCTGCTCAATATATTTTCTACTACGATGGCTTAGACATTTATATGAAAAGGAGGAGGTAATTTTTCGAGTAATTCTTAGGACGAAACTAATATTACATATTATAGTTTCGGGCCTGGAATATTACGGGTTTTGATCCAAAATATCCGGATTATTAAAAAAAAATCTCTTAATTTTCAATCATTTAACTTTATATAATAAAATATTCGTATGGATTTTGAGCTTTATATATATGGGCTTTATATATATGAGCTTTATATTTATGGGCTTTGACCTATATATATTATATATATGTGAAATACAATATTCTTTCTTAAACCTAATTTTATTTATTTTCTATCGCCGCTTTTTCTCTGGGTGTTCGTTAGCATATCAAAATTTTCAAAATCGAATAATTTAAAAAGAAGTTTTCATTGAAATATCTTCATCAGCTACTCACTGTAAGTATTTCTCTCTTAAATTATATGTTATTACTTAGATAGGTTATGTTAAATTTTACATTTACATTTTTATCGTTGTAGATTCGTGATATGTTATGCATCTATTTCAATCTGAGATTTGGTTGTAGTATTGTAATTTGTTGTGTTAATATTAACTTTTATCAGTTTAATATCATGTAATGTATAGTAGATATTTTGTTGTTATGAATTGTGTTTTGCTTTTAATGTCTATACATATACTTGTTTATAGGAGATTGAGTTGAAAGTACCGAACATCTTTTATATTTATCAAAACTACCTAACATCTTTAATATTTATCAAAACTAAAAACTATTTAGTAGAAGACCGGTAAAATGATCAAAAACAAAACAGTGTAACGGTGTAATTTGTAGTCTAGTAGTTTGTATTAATGCCTGTCAATAGATTACCATCTCGGTTCATATCACAATACTATTAACAAAAATAAACGTTATATCAAAATGTTTATATGTATATATATATGTCTAAAATGTAAAGCAATTAATTGTGTGACCTAAATTTTTCTAAAAATTTGTTATACAAAAATCATCAATTTAAATAGGTATTGGTGAATTGTCGACCTTTCTAACTTGTGAGCATCAACGTATGCTTCATTCAAATCGGAATTTTAATATTTTTGAACTGTTGACCCATATTACTTTCGTTGCTTTTTCCACTTTGTCTAAAATACGAATATACGGCTAGTTGTGAGCATTGTTTATGTTTCATTGAATTCATAAATTAACTGTTAATTATTTTAAGTTTTTAACTATTTCAAAAGACTTTCACATGGTTTGACATCAGCAAGTTCTTTTAGACGTCTAACCGTTGTGATGCACAAAAGATTTTTCTGCGAGTTGGTGAAGTCACATCTCGGGGCTTTTGTTATCTATCTCTATATGATTAAGGAAGTGTTATATATTTGCTGCATGCAAAGTATATGGATTAAAAAGTAATTACTTTTTCTCTTGATTTAATACTATACTTCTTTCATTGTTGTGATTTATAATGTTCACACACACGTTCTCAAATTTGAATCCGAATTATTGAAACAACAACAATATTCGTTTATAAACCACAAACTACAAGTTCCAGACTTCCAGTCGCTCTTAATAGTTGTCCACACAATTTAAGTACAGTATTAACTAACATTTAATGTGTCGTCGAGGAAAAGCTGCGTTATTCTTTTATTTTTTTCCCTTTCCCTTCAGCTGTACTTCGCATTCAAAAATTGATATTTAATTAAATAAAAAATCAAGCTGACTTTTTTTTTTTAGAAAAATGGAGTCATATAGAATTGTAAAGGACTTTCCTTATCAAAAAAAATTGCTGAGAATTCATAAAGAGAAAGTGGAGCATAAAAATTAGAATAACCTTTTTAAAAAATATGTTTCCAAAATAATCAAGCAAACAATTTTCTTACTACTTAAATATTTTGGAAATGTAGTGGTCGTTGATTATGTCCGAATAAAATAATAATATTTTGTGATAGTGAAAAATATACATGTGAGGCTATAAATGTATTATGTTATAATATTACCATTTTCGTGTCCTTATCTCCTATCCTCGACTCTTATATAAGACCACAAGTGCAGGAGTCTCTTTCAACACCACAAAGGAAAATAAATACAAATCTTAGTGAGCACTACTAAGAGAAGGTCATGGGAAGAACAAAGCTAAAGTTTGCTTGGATCGGGAATCAAAGGGCAAGAAAAAACGCTTACAAGAAGAGGATGCAAGGACTGATTAAAAAAGCTGGTGAACTAACCATCTTGTGTAATATGAGTGCTTGTTTGATCTTTTTCAGCCGTGATGATAACAGGTTGGTGGTGTGGCCGTCTCACGAGGTGGCTGAATCTCTCATCGAGCGGTTTTACTCATTACCCGATATCGAGAGGAACCAGAAGGCAGAGGATCAAGAGTCGTTCATCAGGACCAATACCAAAAAGGTTGAGAACAAACTAGCCAATTGTCGGAAGGTAATCACGGAGTTGGAGATGGATCATCTCATGTTCCAAATCCATAATGGTCGTAAACTTGATGATCTTTCCCAAACCGAGATTGAGAAATTAATATCATATTCAAGTAAGAAGATTATGGGCATGGGGAGAGAGTTAGGTTATACGGGACATCCTTTCCCTTGTGTCTACGAGCCGTTTATGGGAAACGAGTCGCCGAGCGCTTCGGATGTTGCGTCTGAATGGAGAGAGAATAGTTTTAGCCTGATGGGAAGTGGAAGCATCTATTTGATGGATCAATGGTTCGAGGATAATCCAAAAGTTGAAGAAAATTGCGACGAGGCTCATTTACCCACAATGACATCTCGATTCAACCTAAACGTGGAACCTTCTGATGACGATGACGATGAGGACATCAAGATCTGTAAAGGGGAGAACAGCAAGTCTGGTGGTGCCGACGATGCCTAATGAAGAAGCAATATCATATCGAAGAAGAAAATTAAGTGTCATGAAATAAAGTTGTTGTTGTCTCTATCGTTGTTGTGTTTTGTTCATTTCATATTTCTGTTGTTGTTGTGTCTTGAAATAAAGTTGTTGTCTTGGTCAAGTTTTTGACATGTTTCTGGTTGTGTCTTAAACTATGTCTTTGTTCAACTTAATTAATGGAATGTTAATTGTTTCTTTACTATTATTTGCGTATGTAATTGAGATTTTTAGTTGAATGAAACACCGTATTTAGTTGAGATTATCATTGGCAATATAGGGCTGGCCGTGAGCCCACACAAAACACGCAAAACAAGCATGGGCTTGCGGCCTTCATTTTTATATAAAATTTATGGTCCAAATGTTAAAATCTTTTCGGCCATAGGTGCTAAATAGCATATGATTATAAGTTTGATTTTCATAAAATGGTTTATGTGTTTTTTTTTTATAAACCAGCTAATACCTAAAACTTCTTTTTAAAGTTCAAAAAGCTTACTATAAAGCAATCCATATATTTTTCTAGTTTGCTGCCACTCAAAACTCTAAGCCGGCTGATTTGACATGCACTTTTAGGGTACATTTGGTTCAATAATTTGATATGGTGTACTTTTCTTCATTGTTTCTTGTATGATGCTTTTAGAAACTTCGAATCGAACATTATTTACTATTTTTCTTGATTTCTTGATTTCTTAATTTACTATTTACTATTTTTCTTGATTTCTCTTAAACACTGAAATTTTTGGAACTATAAAAAATCTATTCAAAAACGTTAGTTTAAATGCATCCAAAACAAGAAATTTCAATGGAAACTAGTATGGAAAAAATGATTTCAAAGCTAATGCATATCTTTATTTGTTACTTTCTTTTGTTTGTCATCTCTTTATGTGTTATTACAAAATAAGAAATAATGACTGATTAAAATAGTTAAATATTATGATTTCGTTTGGGAAATGTATGAGCTAATGTAGTAATAAAAGATTAAATATGCATGTATATCTTGTTACTATATAAACAAAAATAAATATCATAGAAGTAAAAGGAAAGAACAGATAAGATGATATGGTTGGAGAATTTATGGAGAATTGAGAAGCGATAATAATAAAATCGAAAGGAATCGGTGACGGCGTGACGCGAATGACTATTAGGGTTTTGGAGAGAGAGAGAGAGAGATAAGAAACTTAACACTAACACCGAAACTCATCCGGGAAGTAACCTCGCCTCCCGTGAGAACCACCGTGGCGTCGAGAAGAAGCGGAGAAGAAACGACTTTGAGATCTAAAGCTTGGCAATCAAGTAAACGAAGAAGATCCTCAAAAGAAAAGAATCAAACTAAACCCTGGGTTAAGCGTTTATCTACGAAACTCGTGTTTTTTATTTGGGCCTTTAATAACTGGGCTTATCATTTCGATCTATATTAATTTGTTCGACTGAATATTTTGATATAAATGAAAGGAGTTGTTTTTTTTTTCTATTATTTTTAAAAAAACTTTTGTCGAGTAACCACCAATCAAAGGACAAAGTGCACAAGCCATTCCATTGTTTATATATATATATTTTTTTTTCTTTTGAACCTTTTCAAAGACATTCCATAATTGAGATGAAGTTTAGAGCTTCGTAGTCAAATATTATGGAATCAGACAAAGAATTACAAAGTTATTGTAGTAAAATGGCACCTGCCTAAATTTTGGTGTAGCTATTTTGTTATAAAAACGAGCTTGACTTTTTTTTCTTTTTTTTTTGGTCAGATGGGAACAAAAACCGAACTTGACGACAATCCAGTACAATTACATATAATAATGGAGATTGGGGGATGAAAGTGATTTGAAGTGGGATCATTGTAGCTTGTGGAGAGAGCACGTCAAGCCAACGCTAGAGTTAACAAGAGCAATAATTTTGTCCATTTTTGTGTCACCTAATAAAAATTAATTAATTTAACATTAAAAAGACTAGCATGAAAGTTGAAGGTGATTGGTTAGATGAAGCTATAGTTTACATTACATTTGTAGTTGTTCACCCATCTCTCTCTCTCTCTCTCAATCTTTGTTTCTTTTTTGGAACCGACATGGCTCCCAACACATAGGAATCTGAAGCTTCTCTCTCTCTCTCACTCTCTCTCTCTCTCTCTCTCTCTCATTCTCACTCCATCTGCGTAAGTGTTTTTTTTATCCCAATTTGGATTGTTATTGTAAGATTTGGTCTGTTTGAAGTTGACCAATTACAGTGTGCTTTACTTGATTTCTTCATCTTTTTCTATGTTGGTCCTCGAGTTTCTATTGGAGATCTTGTTATAGCGTTATGCACACATTAATGTTTCGTATGTCGATTCGATTTAACTGGTAGAGTCGTAGAGAGGACTTATTTGTTGACTTTTTGATATTTCCAAGCAGATCTTTTCATTTTTCATTGGACTTTGGACATTAAGCTATGCAAACTGATTATTGCAAGGAGAAAGAAGGGTTTTTGTCGCCTCCACATAATTATTGGTGGAATGCTTTTGGATCTCCACCGTTGACTGCGGAGAGCCACGCCGGAGACGCTTCTGACTCATTCTCCGGAGTTAAAGTAGCTACTCCGGAGACAGAGCAAGGTGTCGATAAACAAAGATCTGCAACTCTCTTCACTTCCTCACCTGGTAAAAAAATCTCTTATGGAAGCTTCTGGATTGTTTCTTGTCAAATTCAGAACTCTCCAAGTGTGCTTCTTGTAAAAGTGATAGACTATAAAACCGTAAACACACATCAAGGGCTTGCAAGAAGATATTTCGTTTGCTCTTCAAATATACCTCTTTGTTTCTTGCACATTACTGAATGAATATATATGTTTTCAAGGTAATTTGAATTAGTATTCTAATTTTAAATAGGTGGTGGAAATAGGTCAAGAGATGTGTCAAAGCCTCAAGTTGCTTTCACGATGCAAACGGCCAGTTTCGAGTTTGGATTTGCTCAGCCAAAGGTGCGGTTTTATTGCAGTGGAACATGTTCAGAGACCTATCAATTCTTTTGTTTTGTTCCTGAATATTTGCTGTACTTATGTTTTTCTTGTAGATCTACACAAAGCATCCTCATGTGGAACAATACTATGGAGTTGTTTCAGCCTATGGATCTCAGATGTTGCCTGGCCGTGTAATGCTGCCTCTGAAGATGGAGACTGAAGAAGATGGTACGATCTATGTGAACTCAAAACAGTACCATGGAATCATCAGGCGACGCCAGTCTCGTGCTAAGGCTGTTCTGAAGAATGAAATGAGCAGATGCCGTAAGGTAACATATTGAAAACTATAGTTTGATACTTATGTGCAAATATATGCATTCCCAAATGTTGCCTTATGTTATGATGTTAGAGCAGCCATATATGCATCACTCGCGCCATCTCCATGCTATGCGCCGTCCTAGAGGATCCGGAGGGCGTTTCTTGAACACCAAGAAAGATGATGCGGCTAAGAAGACTAAGCCGAGCTATTCTCAGAATTCTGAAACTCTTCATCCGGAAAACGGGACCATGAACTCATCTAGAGAAGCCAACGGACCAAATTTCTCGGGATCAGAAGTTACAAGTATGGATTACTTTCTAAGTTCGTCGGTCCATTCTCTTGGTGGCATGGTCATGCCTAACAAGTGGATTGCAGCAGCAATGGATATTGGCTGCTGCAATCTCAAAACCTGATCAGCAAACGGGGACAAGACAGGTTTTGGTGAACTGGTCTTCTGTCTTGTCCCTTATGTTTCAGCCAAACGAAGAGATGGTTCTTGTCCCAAAAAGGGACATTGAGTTTTCTTGGTTTAAAGGATTGCTTCTAATACCATCCGTTTGGCTGCAAACAGGCAACTCATCTTTGGCTCATCCTTCACCAAGGTTTTTTCTTCCTCTGTTTTCTTCTACGCATCTTCATAAGAATTGAATTGCGGAAAAGGACTGGTTACTAAATCCTGATTTAGCTTCAACTAAAAGTAAAACTAGTTAAGAACATTGATGGGTACTGCCCTCTTGTTCTATCTAGTGTGTGGAAAAAACTCTGTTTGCCTGATTTTCTGATATTGTATTGTGTGTTTATGCGTTTTTGAAATGACTGTACGAGTTTCAAGTTAATGTATGTTTCAAATTAGAGATTTCATCACTTAGCATCTGGAGACCATGCAATTGCAGAACATAATCCTTGTGCCCTGAAAACGTTACAGGACATACAGAAATTCCCAATTAACCACTAAAACGTTACAGGACATACAGGGTTAACTCTCATGTTAACAAATGACGTTTTTTTCAATGGTTAATAAACAAAATTTATGTCTATTTCTAAGAAAAAGATGTTACATCAGAGCCAAATCCGGTTCGAATTGAATCAGGTTCGGACTGAATCATTGGCCGGACTAAAAACAGATCGGACTTGATTAGCCAATCACGAGCTTACAACGGCGTTAGTGAAGTGTGAATACTGATAGTAAATCCACAAAATCTATAAATGATTAGGACTTGAGAAGATATGATCAAACCTTATATAATAAGGTTCTTCTTGTTAATAGACATGAACAATTTAGATTTCGATATACTAATACAAACTAAAGACAGATCACTTATCCAATCAAGGCTTCTTTCACGACCAGTTATTTTGTTACTAGTGCAAAATGGGTTATGTTGTGATCTTCATTTGCCTGAGAGACAGATAAGCGAGGAAGCGATAACCGAAAATCATGACAACCAGTGCGACCACTTCAGTCAGTCCATTGTCTATTCTCATCCCGTTGATGGATTGAGCAAAGTCTTGATATTGTACTTTAAGAAGAAGCTTGTACGTGTGGTAATTGAAGGATAGGTAGCGTATCCACGAGATGAAAACCGGTACTTTCTGCGGGAGACAAATCAGCAGAAACAAAGGATATTTAATAAGACAGAGGAAACAGGGGAAATTAATAAAACAGAGGAATTCAAGAAACAGAGGCCCTCGAAAACAGAGGACTTCAAAACAGAGGCCCTCGAAAACAGAGGAATTCAAGAAACAGAGGATATACCTTAACAAAGAATCCTCCGGCGAGCATAAATGTCATGACAGTTACTGAAGCCAAAGTCGTAGCCTTCTTTAAGTCCATCAAAATTGCACCAATAGCAAGTCCGAGTCCCTAGCAAAGAGAAAACACAATCAGCATTTCGATTATATATTTTCATTATAAGAATGTGTAATCTTTTCTCGATCTGAATATACCTGAGCTGCAATGATGCAAAGGAAAACCGTGAGCATGCTCAAGAAGAAGGGATATGGGCTGAGCCGAAGACCTGTCATGAAGTAGACGACGAGAAGGAAGAGAGTAGGCAGAATAAAGTCGAGAGGGAGATCACTCGTGGTCCGAGCTAGGAAATAAGCGCTTAATCTGTACATATCCGCTGCTCTTTCCTTATTCAACATCGCTCGCTCTTGCGGAAACGCAAAGATAGCTGTGAAAACCGGAAAAAATCCCCAAAAAACCGCTATGAAGAAGAGCAAACCGGCCTGCCAAAAAAAGAAAGGCATAAGAATGATATTGGAGTGTGCATAGCAACCAAAATTTATCAAACCAAAAGATAACAATGTACCTGATCTTGTAGTCCTCTTGGAGTCCGAATATCCGACTGCCACCAGAGAAGACCTAGAATGACAGCAGTGGAAAGAACTTGTGTGACACGCAACCAGCTGAAGTATTCGTGTCTCCGCTCCTTGAGTCCTCTGGAGAAGAGTATGCAGTATTGCTCCCACCAGCTCGTTCCCCATTGTCGCTTTAGACGAAAGTCTTTAGCCTTAGCTTCTTCGTCCAGTGGCACAGGATCCGTTAGTTTCTTCTTGGCCTGTTCTGCAACTCGAGTTTCGTATGCCTCCACCAGATACTGCTTAGAATGTTCGAAATACATATCAAAAACTTAATTTGGTTTTTCGGTAATTGTTAAAAAAAATGTTGTTGTTCTGTGCATGATTACCTCATGAACAGCAACAGGAGATGGCTTGCCAGTTTGATTTTCTCTGCCTGAATTGCCAACTTGAACTCTATCCTCTAACTCAGAAGGCACAGAGATATCGTTGGTGTTACCATTTGCGAGATCAAGCAAGAACTCTGCAGGATTCATGGCGATAAGAGGAGAGCATCCAATGGAAGAAAAGTAAACCAAAGCTTCTGATGATTTCCCAAAATAGAGAAGGTTTCCTTTTCCCAGTAGAATCAGCTTGTCGAATCTATGGAAAAGCCTACTCGAAGGCTGATGTATCGTTGTGATCACTGTTTTCCCCGCCTGTTCCAAACACAATTAAGATTCAGACAACCATTCAAAGAGTAGAGATACAAATTGTTTGAAACAAAACAAACAAACCTCGGCGATGTCGAGGAGCATCTGGATGGTTCTAAGAGCAGTGGTGGAATCTAAACCGGAAGTTGGTTCATCGAGAAGTAACAGAGAGGGATTAATGATAATCTCGTTTCCAATAGAAACCCTTTTCCTCTCTCCACCTGATACACCACGCACGAATGCTCCTCCAATCATAGTGTCTTGGCACCTGCAACAAACGATCCAAGTTATTAAAAATGAAGACCAGATTTATTTTGTTATGTTTTGGATTCTCTAAAAGATCGATGCAACATATATACCTCTCCAAACCTAACTCTTGGATAACTTCAAAAGCTCGTTGCTCCTTCTGTTCCCTCGTAAGAGTCTTTGGTAGACGCAAACGAGCAGCGTAGGTTAGCGTTTCTTTCACGGTAAGATGAGGAAACAGAACATCGTCTTGAGTCACAAACCCGATCCTGCAAACCAAACCAAGAACCAATTGTTAAGTCTTCATGTGTATTCTTGCAAGATAATTTAGGGTTTTAGGGGCCAAAAAATACTGACTTGCTTTTCAAGTATTTAGAGTAAGGCTTGTCGTTGTAAGTAACAGAGCCTCCGGTAGAGGAGCGAGAGATTCGACCACCGAGTAAGCTAAGAAGAGATGTTTTGCCACTCCCTGAAGGACCCATGAGAGCAAGAACTTCACCAGGATCCACACTCCCACTTATCCCACTCAATATCTCTTTCTCTCCAGATTTACTAGTCATTTTCTTTATCGCCACTTTGTATGTAATTTCCTTGAACTGCATCACATTCATAAAACCACCACTAAGTCTTGTGATTAATTAGCTCACTCATGAAACCTATTTTCAGAGATCTTATCACACATTATCACTACTTCCCCCCTTAATTTTTGTTTTTTTTCTAACAGGACTTAATTGAGACTACTTTAAGTCTTGTACATAAATATCATGTAAGATGAGATTCTGTACAACACTTGAACCTGATGAAAAGTAGATACACAGAGATAGAGACAAATGTGTGATATTCTTTTGATCTCCTCTCAGTGCCTGTGCAAACAGAGAAGATCAGTACCAAAAGTGATCAATCCCACGCATGAAAGCACTTGAACTATTTCAATCCAATTTCTCACACTTCTAGTTGAAAAAACCCCCAATATTTTTGTTTCCCTTTGTCTGGTTTTAAAATTATCACTTTACCTTGAGAAAGATGGGTAATGTTGGTTCTGCTTGAAACTTAGGCTTCTTCTTTCCCGCTTCAATATCTTCCGCTGAAACAGTTAGGAAATTCCGTTGATTCATCATTACTAATTAAACTAAGGAAAAGAGGTCAGTGACTCAGTGAGTGAAGTTTTGTAAAAGTATGTGAATGTCAACACCTAAAACACAGTGGTAATTGAGCTTTTTATAGTATACGTTGTGTAACTGTTAGTTGGCCAATCTTTGTTAGCAACCGTCTTTCTGGGAGATTTGGACTTTGAGGTACATTTGTTACACTGAGATACCAATAGTTCAAACACCTAAAAACTCCAAACTTGTGGACCCACAATTTTGACTAATTTAGCAGAGATAGATTGACTACTTCTCACCTATTTTTTACCTACCTAGCCATAAAAAGTAGCTAAGTTGGAGAATCAATCACAATTACAAAATCACTTTAGTTTTTAGTTTATTTTATTGTATCCTGTTCGCTACTTTATATTTAATTATTTAGTTTTCTACCTATATATGCACTAAACGTATAACACTGCATCATTAGTGAATGTAAATTAACGTTGTCGAAAAAAGAAAGCGTTATCAGTGGTTTCGTGCTAAAAAGAAAGCGTTATAAGTGGTGACAATCACTAGTGGTGACTTCTTAAAACAACACTCAGATTGGCTAAATATCAACACATGATAAAAGAACATGCATACTTTAAACTTTAATCTACCCATTATACGTTTTTACGCCGCATGCATCTTTGACAATATTAAATTGTACTTTTGTAAGCAAACTAATTAATTAAGGAAAATGCCCATATCTATGGAAGAAAACCAAATTTTTGCTCCTGTATGACTGTTTCAAAAAACATGTGGATTTCCGACAAGAATTGCAAAGTTGTAAAGGGAAACACAATTGGTGAAATATCTGCTTGCACTCGAAAGTTATAGCATTTAGGTCCATACTAAAAATAAAGCAATTATCATTTCAAACAATTAGGACTGACAAAAGAAACTAGTACTATTCTAGTGGTTTAATTTCTTTGTGGGGAATATAAATATTGGGGGATTGGATTTTGAACTAATACAACAAATATATATATATATATATATGTATCTTTTAATGCTTTCTCATTACATACGGAGTATATAAAATAAAATGAAAAATCCAAAAGAGAAGAAAAATCAAAAAAGTGTAAAGAAAATAAGTGGTGGAAAGTTTCAGTTGCACGAGAAAGAGAACACGTGGAACAAAATAGAAGGCCAATAGTTTGCGTCCCTGTTTAATAATTTATCCGACTCTCATGCAAAAAAGCAAAGCAACGCACGCCAATCATATATCCGTTGTTATCATTATTATTGTATCATTGATTGCATTCCTAAAATGACCAAACTACCCTCTCAGTATGGGAACACCGTAGTGACAAAGACGAAAATACCCTTATGCAATGAAAAGAAGAGTGATACAAAAAAACAAAAAGTTCACACGACGACTTACGTATCATCTCGTCGTCGCTGAACGGTTTGGAGTCGGAGATTTCCTCCGGCGGCATAGCGAAACCAGTGAACGAAAACGAAAGTCCGAGCGATGCACTGGACGCTCGGCTCAGAGCCGCTCCGCTGCTAACCTCCTCTAGCTCAAACTTAAGCTGAGCACTCCTAGACTTCCTTATGTGTGTTCCGGCTCCGCCACTCCTCCCCGGAGACGCCCCCATCATCAGTCTCCTGCTTGATTTCCTCGACAAAGTCCCTCCTCCACCACCACCGATAGACGCCGGAGCCGTCGCAGGCACACCATTAGCGTCCATGGAGCCGTGAGGTGATTTTATGGCTGCGGCCACCGTCTCGTATAACTGCTCCGACCGTGTCCGAGCTAAACCAGAGGCCAACGGTGGCTTTTCCATTGACATTTTGGCCTTTTTAAAAACTGCCGACCACAAATCATAAATCATAATCCTTAACAAAAACTTATAATCGATATTTACGTTCAAGAAGAAAAAAAGATATTTACGTTCAAGATCATTTGCGGATATATTATAATTAGATACGTATAGAATGAGCATACACATGAGTAGATGTAAAAAAGAAAACAGGAATGGCTATAAGAAGATGGATAAAATTTAAATTAGGATATGGAATCGATACCTTTCGGGAACTAAAAGATGGAAAAGTGTTTCCACTGTTTTGAAAGAGGTTTGTTTTTATGGAAGAGACGATGTTAAAGCTTCAGACTTGTGACACCCTTTCTAAGCTGCTTCATCAACCTTCTTTATATAGTTGCATTTATGAGTGGGTCAGCTTCAATTACGATAACACCCTTAAGTTCAGCTTTGATACTATTAATTGGGAACTATTTTTAAGATTCACCTTTACTTGTTATCGACAAAAACCATTAATCATTCTATTAATATTTTATATCTTATTAAAGATAAAAAATTAAACTCTAATTAATTTTTTTTGTCATCAAATCTAATTAATTTTGACTCACAATATATTTTAATATTTATTTATTTTAAATATAGATGTCTTTTTCTTTTCCTACTATAACCAAAAATATTTTAAATCTATTTTAAATTTCTTTCAATTAATATTAATATTATTATGATTATAATTATTATAATTATTATTAAATACATTTTAATTTGTAAATTAAAACAAAAATGGAATTACCAGTATATTAAAATAAAATAATAATTGTACATTAAGTTAATTAAAATATCAATTATTTTCATAAATCAAATATGTAAATTAGGTAAAATAACCATCAATGTATGTACCCGAAAGGTATTTTACTATATACTATTTTTTTACCTCTTACAATTGTTAACACTTAATACTAACCATTATACTAACTAGCTATTTTTCAACAATATATATTTTGTATATTTTCTTTTCTTAGACTAAGGTGATCCAACTGAGTAGAATATATATGTTATGTGTATCGATATTAGGTATGACCGTATGAGTTAGAGAATTTTATCATCTACAAATATTAATATGGTTTTTTAGATTACTGTAGACGTTATAAATAAGAAAAAAAGTTGCTTTCTATGGATCTTGCAGATTAATTTGAATTTCGGTTTGGAAGTTGACCCGATTGGCCGATTATACATAGGGTTGTATATGAAAAAGTGAATCCATATTCGCAAATCGCAACTATGACTTATATGAGTATAACTTGACGAGTAATAGTGATCGTTTGCGGACACGATGTTTCCAGCTAAGCATCAAGTTTCCTAACATACTGACCGTACACGTGGTGGAACATACTAATACTATAATATATCTCATATATATGAATATTAAGCTGTTGTGATAATCAATCATCCTTTCGGATCCTCCTCTCGAACGACATAGATCGTCCATAATTTATGATTAGGAATGCGTCAATTAATATGAAATCTTTATTTGCAGACTATCTCGATTCTTGACTGGAAATACACCAAATAAAAATAAAAAAACTCAATTTAATATTTTTTTTTTGTTTTTTTTGGCATTAATTGCTCATAAAACAGCTTCCATACTTTTTTTTTTGAAAAAGCTCCCATACTTTTTAAACGTTTCTAAGTTTTTATATGCAAGATTATGTCAGGATTAATTGGACGATTTGGTGATACATTATATCATGGTTTGGATCCCAAGTCCTACTATGAGAAAATGATTAAGCAAGAAAACTCAGAGGCATTCACAATTCATAATAGTTCACTTTTATTGTTTAATTGACTTATTGTTGAGGGCACGGAAAAATTCCCTTCCTCTTTGAATGTAATGAGAAGATTCAAGCCCAACTCTGCCATCAAAAACAACATTTCTAAAATGTATATATATTGAAAGCATCGGAAGATGGCTATTGCGGGGTTACTTTTTTTTTATTTTTGAACAAGATATTGCGGGTTACAGGTATAATCAAATGTGACGATACAGACAATAGCAATTAGGTGAAGGAGTCTAACTACGTACACTTCTAATTATGTTCCCGATCTCTATCCGTAAATAAACATGGTGCACTACTTTTCGTTTTAAGATGTCATCATTCAATTCACAAACTCCAATTCGGAGTTTTGGCTTCATACATCGCTTATTATTCATATACGGATTTTAAAATACATGATTAAATATATAATTATGTACGTACAAGTATAAATATCTACCAAACAAAAAGACTATATCATGCGAGAAATTAAAATACGTAATAAACAAACTTTTGTAAATATAAACATAGAATATATGTGTGTATATTTGTTTATAAAAACTTAATATTACATGTTATTAATATGATTACATGTTCATTTTGTTGCGAAATAAATATCACACTAAAATACAAGTAATATTAAATTCATTAATTAAGAATACCGTCGGTATATACCTTTTCACAACACCATACAAATAGAAATGGATATGAATGTCTACATAATATATTCTTAAGAGGAAATTTTTTTTGTCCAAGTATTTCCACTAAAGTTGTAAAATTGATAGTTCCTTAACCTCTTTCGTTTTGTTTTTCTATAATTATTATATCGAACAGAATACTTTGCAATTCAATTTCTAATTTCTCTTAAAATGACTGAGACATGTTCAATTTCTTCTATACAAAATCATTGAATAATCAAACGTAGACGTGTTCGGCCTATTCGAAGTAATATACAATCTATTCTACATATACACACACGCGTATGTATCCATATGATAATTTGTACATTACAGAAAGAAAAAAGGTGTTAATCGGGTGATTTTTATTTTTATTTTTTTTCCCACGACTTTAAAACTTTTAGCATTAATTCTTTTTTAACCTTATTAGCTTATCAGATTAGCCCTGACGAAAGACAGCAAAAGAAGATAAAATAAAAATGACAGTTATGTTTTATACGTTGCTTTTGTATCTTTGGAAAATGTACGAAAAAATGTGAGGCTTTAGTTGCATCTCAGGTTACCAACGGGAGAGGGCACCTCCTAAAAAGTTGGTTTTGGATGCTTTCTTCCTGCCAATGATGTTATGTACCCAAAAAATTTTATTTTCTTTTTCTTTTTTTGGTTTGTTTTGAGATTTATTTAGCTTTCATTACTGATTTTTTCGGATAATATATATTATTGGATTTATTATCGTCACTTTTTCGCAAATCTTGCGTCTATATATATTGGTTATATTGATATCTCTTGACGTTAAATCCACTATATTCTTCATCTATCTTTCTATAATCTTTACATCTATATAATTAATTATATGATTGTTCATCGTATTAATCTTCATATTTTTCTTTATTTTAGTTAGTGTGAATTTTAACTACATACAGTATCTGTAAGACATGCGATTACTATATAAGTATCTATCTATCTATATGGAAGGTAAATATACTCATGCAACGTTTTGAGGAATCTGACAAATATATTTTAGCTTGGTTAAACTTGTTCGATTTGAGTTGGAATAACAATTATCGAAAAGATTATCCTCAGCTAGAGATTACATCTAACATTCTATTTGCCCATAATGATATTATAAAAGAAAGATCTAGTTTGGATGATACGAGGGTAATGCTGTATTAATTAGACACTGTCATATCAACCTATAGAATGAAGCGCCAATTAAGATTTCTTGCCTACTCCTTTGTACTCCTAAAGTCTCCTAGTAAATCACTAGTACTGTTTTGAAGCTGGAGAACACACATCGATCCGCTAGTCACATCACGCATGGTTCCAAACACCATTCACTGGACTCACGAAAATCAGTGACTCTAGTCCATAACCTATGGGTTGCCACCATGCATGGGATTCTAACGATGCATTGGCTATAGACCTGGCCTCGCATTCTAATTTGATGCAATCTCGACCCCGACCCTGTTAACATCACTTAATCGATGCGATATAAACTACTTAAATTAGTGAAAGTCCAACGTCAACAAGTAGACACAGTAGCCAGAGATTATTCTAAGAAATCGGACACCATGAAGGAGTTGTACTATAGCTTCTATTATATTGTTTCAGTCTATTAAATTCGACGTCACAAAAAGTATTTACAAAGGTACTAAGATTTAGGTACTAGATCCAATGCATTGTCCTTGTATCTAGTTTTGTTCCCATTCATAATAATAACTGCCAAAGCTAATTTGGCAAATTTGCATAGAATCAACCATAGGTTCTAACAATTTCTGAACCCATGAAAAAGTAAAAAAAAAAAGCACTAAACCTAAATTATCTAATTATATGATTGCTGCAAGCCTCATTTTATGTAATAAATAATATGTATATTTGTAGTCATTTTATTGTTGTTGTCCTAGCTTTTACTAGTATGTTTAAGTGGTGTGATTTGGTGAATTTGAACCTGGGATGATTACAACGGCCATGATTACTTTTGAAAAAGTATATTCTTTTTTTTTTTTTAAGAAAATGGACTTTCAATTGACTTACGTCTACCAAAGGTACAATAATAAAGTTTAAATTGCCATGTGAGGTCAACTAGATAATTGAATGTATAATTTTGGTACGTTATGTGTAAGTGTTTGTACTGCCTCAATGTGTAGTCACGTACAGTGGGCGAGAAAGCTACGGACAGGTTGTGAATATGTCAAGAATCGATGTCTTCAGTCACAAACTCAATAAATGAAGCAGGCCCAACATTTTGTTCTCTTCTTCCTTCTGATGAAATAAACGGCTTCTATTGAAACCTACGTTTTGTTCATTTCTGTCATTGGATCCTGTATGGCGCAAAAGTTTCCATTTTTTTCTTTGCGTTTGATTTTGCTTTTACATGTTACAATAGAGACTAGAGAATTCTTTTAATTTAAAGAAGAAAAGAAAAAAAAAACAAAAACCAATCACAACTTTTAAGTCTTTAAACCGTTTAAACACCTTTATTTTATTATTTGTAAATGTAATCATTAAACAAACAAAATCTACGAGTTATAACATTAGCGAATAGCGAAAGTAATTTCTGAAAAACACTTATATATATATGTATGTATATATACGCATGTATTTTTAATTCTTACATGAAACACAAACACACATGAAACACACATACACAATCAGGCTGCACACAATGACACACAATAATCGAAACCTTAATTCAACAATTGCTGCATGGTGTTTATATATGTTAGATTTTAGCCAACTCGATCGAATACATCCAGATTGAGAAAGTTGAACCTAATAAGCTTTCTTGAGCCTCAAGTACTAGAAAAAAAGACCATACGTAGATGATCTAATATTCAAGATAGCTATGTAATACTCAAATCCAGGTATTGTAAGTGTATCTTCTCATCAAATATTAATTAGTAGTTCTATAACTTCCATAGTATACGCACGCACTTAAGCACTTAATAAATAGTCTAGTCTTGATCAGAGGGATACATGTCTAGGTGGGGACAAATAGCCACAAGAGATGAATGAGAATGTATACACGTGTGGGACGTGGCGAGACAAGTGGGAAGATGAGTCAACAAGAGTCTCGAGACTGATCACTCAAATAGAAGAGATAGAGAGATCAAGAGACAGAGCACACTGTCTGGTCGGTAGTTGAAACGTTAGTTGTCGATTTGGCGCGCCATCTCATATATTTTCCTTAACACTGTATGACATAACACCTTCATTTCTCGAAGAATTTTTGTTTTCCTAAGCTTTTTAATTTTATTTTAATGGATAAATTATTAAAAGGAAAAACTCTCACAAATGCGAGGGAAAAAAATATATTATAATCAAAGCGTTTAAGTGTAGGAGGATGTATATCGTTAATGTTGTTCAATCGTGGCGATGAGAAGCGTTTAAATCATTGGCCAAAACCAAAATCAGATTAGAAAATTCAATCAGCTTCTTCGCATTTGGTTGATGGGACCAACAGAAAAGAGTCTCATAGCCCACGTGTCTTCTTCTACTCAAGGGCGGCACCGCCCCTCTTCTCGTTTTTATTTGGTTGCGGTACTCTCTATAAATTTATAATGCTAAAATTATTACTCCACATTGCATTAAAATATATACTAATGCTTAATCTTTTCTCCTAATAACTTAATATATACATATATATATATACGTAACCAAAACTATATAGTCTATCCTAGTACTTGTACATGTACGTACATACGTATTACGATTGTACCTACAGTCTACTCCATCAACTTAATTACGAGAATATACAAATGTATTTTTGTGTCTAGTTTTTTACTGGTGTATTTTTGTCTCTAGTTTTTTATTGGTGTATTTTTGTGTCTAGTTTTTTTATTGGTGTATTTTTGTGTCTAGTTTTATATTCTAATTAAGCAGTAAAATAATGACGATTTTAGATAATGGCAGAATCGTACTTGAGCACAGGCTGATGAATCATGTATTTCAGGACCGGTGATATTAAATATTTTTTTGGGGCCAAGTATCTATAAATTATGTTAGTATAGTTGGTTTTGGTCTGAGTAGGCATGACTCTCCTTGCAGGAGTTCAATCTTTGATAGATGCGCGAAGTAGTTAAATTTTTTTTAAAAAAAAATACTTTACTAATCTGTCCCACATTATCAAACATAGAAATTTTTAGAAAGGGAAACTGCACTATATATAATAATCTTATTCTTAAGCTCAAAATTAGTTAAATTATTGTGAGCTTAAACTAAATTATTAGGTCTGAAGGGGCCATTTTTATTTTTCTTTGGAAAGATTTTAGGAACATAATAACTTCAAATTTTTTATATACACAGTTTAGACAAGTAATGCGCTTACGCTGTGAATCTCTCTCTAACTTAAAGGTTAAAGCATCAATTGCTAAATCAATGCATAAGATATGTGTTAAGAAAATAGTGATTTATTCGCCGTGCCTGTGCTATCCAGAATTTGAGATCCAATTCAATATTTTCAATATTCTAAGGGTTCTTAATCCGAAAGCGGATAATGAAATTCTGGTACCTTTAAGTCCTTTAGGGTCTCTCTGAGTCTGCGTTTTTACTCATCTGTAGATCGAATAAAATCAACCTTTCTTTCTAAGTAAATATTTCCTTACATAGTTACTTAAATCAATTTTGTAACGAAAATGGTACAAGTTTGCAATAAAAAATCATAAACATAGTCATGTAACTATGTAAATTTGTGCTATTGAAAATCAAAAATCCTATACAAGATACTGAAACAAAGAAGTGAAGTAAGTGTCACCAATAATCTCTGCAGGAACATAATCCATTTTTAAAATGATGAAATCTGTTCCGGTCTCGTACAATAAACTCTCTACCATAAACCTCAGAGATATGCTTTGTTACTGTATGACAATCGTCACATACCCTCAAGTTCTTCACTATCCTAACAGTTGTACCAGGCTTAGTCTTCATCAGACCATATGCAATTGCAAGTTTCTCACTATGCATATGAATCGCAGTCTCCTTCTCTTCCTCGTCTATATCAAAAAACGCATCACCTGTGTTTCCTTTATACCCTATCAATCTTATCTTCCTCAAAATCTCTTCCCACTTCCTTTTGATCTTACCCATTTCAGGATGATCATCTCCCATGGAGAACTTGTTTATCTTTCCATCAATCTCTATTAAACTCCACCCCGGTGGTTTCTTAACAAGCTTCTCCTTCATCGTGTCTCTCAAGCTCTCGATTTTCTCCCATTTTCCTGCACACGCGTATATATTTGAGAGCAAGACATAGTAACCGCTATGTTCTGGATTCACCTCTATCAACATGTTTCCTACTCTCTCTGCCACCTCAGTGTTCTTATAAATCTTACATGCTCCAAGCAAAGCTCCCAGTACAGGAGCATTTGGCTTCACAGGCATTTCAAGGATAAAGTTCTCAGCTTCAGCTAGTTTTCCAGCACGGCCAAGCATGTCAACAATGCAGCCATAATGCTCGAGTCTAGACTCGATCACATAATCCCTTTTCATGCTCTCATATATTTCCAAACCTTTATCAACTAACCCACCGTGGCTGCAAGCTGAAAGAACAGCTGTGAATGTAATATCACTTGGGATAAACCCTAACCTAACCATTTGGGAGAAGTAATGAACTGCCTTGTGAGCATGTCCATGCACCGCAAGACCTTTGATTATCGAGCTCCAGCTCAAGCTATCTTTCTCAGGCAACTCCTCAAATACACGAACCGCTTTCTCGATTTCCCCACACCTCCAATACATATCCACAAGAGCTGTCCCAAGGATAAGATTCAGAGTCATGTGATTCTTGACCACATACTCATGTGCTCTTTCTCCAAGCCCAAGCGCACCTAAATGAGCACAAGAAGAAATCACGCTCACCATAACCGTCTCATTCGCAACAACTCCTTCCCTTTTCATTAGTTCGAACAATTGAATAGCTTTATCGAAACAGTTGTTCTTCGCATACCCATTGATCATAATACTCCAAGTCACCAAATTTCTGTGGGGCATTTCATCGAACATCTCTCGTGCATCATCAGCCATCCCGCATTTACAATACCCAGCCACCATAGAAGTCCACGAAACCACATCTCGAAACTTCATCTGCCCAAAGATTCTACCAGCAGCACCGATCAACCCACAATTAGCGTACATGTGAACAAGCGAATTCTCTACATAAACATCATTCTGGAATCCGAATCTAACAATCTGTGAATGAGTCTGCTCTCCCATTGTCACGCATTCCATCTCAGTAGACGCTTTAACCAAAAACGGAAAGGTGATGTTATCTGGCCGAATACAAGATTTCAACATCTGTGTGTAGAACCCAAACGCCCTGCTAGGCTCTGCGCCAATGGAGAAGCCGCGGATGAGTAGGTTGAAGACGAAAAGATTAGGGTTTTGAATTTGGGAGAAGATTCCGTATGCGTATCCCAAGAAATTGATGGATTTGTTAAAGGTGTAGTCGTCGATGCAGAGAGCGAGGAGACGACTGGCGACGAAAACGTCGGAGGCGAGATGGGATCGTATGAGGAAGCCATGGATGATCTTGAGGTTGGAGAAGGAAGAGCAGGATTGGAGCAAGGCAAGCTTCGGGTGTTTCAAACGAAGTGTGCTGAGCACTATGTTACTCATTCTCTGAAAATGTACCCCAAAGTTCGCAACTTTATAAGAATCTATCATATAACGGTTAACTTCCTCTGTATTTAAAGTTTGACTTTGCTTGCACAATAAAACGGTAGAGCAAATGACTGTATGTAGATTTGTAACAGAACATAAACAAAGTTGTGTCAAAGGATATGGAAGATCTTTCCGAAAAAAAATATTTTGAAAATTTAAGATGATGTTTTGTCTTTAGAAAGAAAACTTGAAAGCACCAGCTTTGGAATCTGATACAGAGTCCCAGAAAGTAACTTTTTGTTCTTCGGCTCTTTTCTCTTCTTCTGCTTTCTTCTCTAATTCTTGGATAGTCCCGGGGTAAACTCCTTCAATGGCCTTCTTGAATTTGTCATGCAAATTCTCTCTGTCACTTGTTCCAGAGACGAGCTCTTTAGCATTTGGTTTCTTCAGAAAGTCCAACACATTCAACAAATTCCTCCTGCACAAGTAATGTTTCTCAAATCAGATCAACTCAATTCACAATATACGAAATTACATTCCTTCAACGCCTAAACTTTTGATTTTTAGATACTCAACAGGATCTAACATCTGAAAATGAATCAATTACCTGCTAACATAATTCTGAGTAATGGCAATTGACTCCTCCAGGTTAATCACCAGATGCCACCATCCATTAGGTACGAACATCACCTCCCCGGCTTTGCATATACACTCAATAGGTTTCTTCTTCCAACTCTTAGTATCACCATAAAAGTTCATGAACCACTCTATTATTGAAACAGGACAAGCCACTTCTGCTCCATCAGGACTTGGATGCACGCCCGGAGGAACCACATCAGGCGGGAACAAAACCCATTTTTTCGACCCTGTGATCACCGCATTCCAAGCAGATGTCGAGTTAGGATCAATGTGGAAAGATGATCCTGATCCGGATGGCCCAATTATGATCCATCTATAATCAGGTCGCTCGTTTCCTAGAACACTAAACAAGTCCTCTCTGAAATACACAGGAACATCATATTCCGAATCCAAAATCGGAACTTTCTCTGCAAACTTGGGATCAAACAAGTACAAGGGCCTTTCTTCACTAACACTATCAGAATAACTAAAATAGTTCTCGAGCTTCATTTCAACTGAACCGACTGCGAATTCGACATCCTTAGCCACCTTAGTCAGATAATCTTTCGACCATTTCTTAATGGCAGGCCAGTCATCCAAACATCCCTCCAACAGAACCGGCTTATTTGGTTCCTCAAACTTTGTAATGAAGTCTTCAACAGAAATGCCTCTCACCCGGGTGACATTGTCTCTTTCGAGCCATTCAGGTTTCATTTCGAGATTCGCGCATAACCAGCTCTGAAACAGATAATCGGAATAGAAGTCTCTAGTCTTCAAAACCGATTCAGCAGCTCCGGAAAGTTGGAATTTCGGGTGACAAGCAGCTACATAGGTAGATTTCCACGACCCGGTAAACAAAAACTCGCCTTTTAACTCATCTAACACGAGATTTCTCCAGAGAGGCTCGTGATTGGCGAAGATATAGAAAGATTTGGTTACAGTAGCCAAAACACCCAAATGGGTCGCTCCGAGAAGGCCAAGAATATCCAAAACGAGCTCATCGGTGAGTATCTGGAGATTACCTAATCCAGTGTTTCTAGCATTCACCGCACCCCGATTGATGAAATAGAGGTTCCCAAGAGGTTGAACTCCATGCTCGCGCGCTGTACCTGTAGTTTTCAGCTTGAACCCTGCTCCGTCATCTTCTTCTTCTTCTTCTTCCTCTATTAGTGGAACACGTTCATTCCGAAGAAGCTTTTGTCTTTTGGATTTGGATTTACGCCGTCTATTACGAAGATTCGAGGCTATCAACAGACTCTTGCTATTGCAGATTGGCATATTCGACGGAGCTTCAGCTTCAGCGGCGAGGGTTTTGGGTTTTAACAAGCGACTTTCATATTTCTCTTTACACACTCTTCCGATTTCATTATGTTTCTAATCGTCGTAATGCGTTTAATAATTGAACCGGAACAGAAAAATCAATCCAATTTCTTCTTGGGTTGAACCACTTAAACCGTAAAAACTAATTACTGAATTTGAGCTCTTATTATTTTTCTGATTATCAGATTTTGATACGTGTCATCAGATTCTGATTATAAAACAAAGCAAAGATGGCTTCTTGAAGTCATCGGGCTTACACCACTGGGCTTCGATAGGCCCATCATAACAATTTTACCAAAAAGAAGATGGCTTCTTGTCGGTAAGGATTGAGAACTTCGACGATCAAAACAACACCAAGTTCCTTTGTTCCGTTAACCGGAAATTTTGAGAGAAGATAAAAACTGAAAGAGTTTCTTTCCAGAGGAAATCCAAACAAGAATGTGGAGAAATTATACACAGCTTACAGTAAAAAAAAAAAAGACGTGCCTTCCGTGTATCCTCACCGATCTCTTTAGACAATAATCAAACCCCATACAAGACATTATGCATCCCAACCCCAAAAAAGAAATGAAATATGGCAAATACAATACAAGAAAGAAAAAAAATCTGCACATATGAGAACAATTTTCTCAGAAAACATGAAGATGGAGAATAATGCAGGCACATCACTGATTACTCAGTATTCACAGTATTCAAATTCACCGAGTTGGAGAATGCGATCTGTTTCACACTTGCGTACTTGAGAGACACCTCCATTGCCGTATCCGAGGAGTCTTTTCTAAAAGCATTTTCAAGCCCATGTTGTTCCCTTGCATCCCGTTCATGTACCTGCATTTACCATTTTAAACACAACAGTGATAAGTATGTAGTTTCAAGCCTGTACAAGTATCTTTGTCTTTTGTTATTTGCAATTCATCATTTGTAATACTCAAAACTCAGGTCCGATAAGCTATTTGAAGCACATGCTAATCAAAGTTTGAGACTGTGTTCGCTTACTTGCTTCGACGAGCCTTCTTTCTCCATAAAACAAAAGATGTGATCCACTGCACAGGAACAATCAGAAGAATCAGTTACTGTGTATATAAATACTTAGCACACGTTGCTTCCCATCAGTATAAAGATCACAATCCATTGATTGGTATAAGAAACAAAGTCACCTTAAAGAGAGATATGAAACTGAATGCTCCAACAATAGATGCTTTCCGCAAAGGCAATCTCCGTTCTGGGATAACATCCTTTGATAGATGCTGAGCAATTTCTTTCAAAAGAACCATTTGAGCTTTCTCAGTTCTCATCGACATGATTGCCTGTCTCATTGATTCCCTGTCAGCCTCTAGTGCTTGAAGCCTCATGTAGAGTTTCGTTATATCAGGATCACCAAGATCAGGCTGATTCAATTTTTCTCCATAGCCATCAGCCGTGTCATCCCTAAACTTCTGCTCAGCAACACCACTATGAGATACGCCGTGATGGACAGAATCAATGGTATAAACTCTATCATTCATGTCATTATCTCCTAATTCTGATGAGTCACCCTTACCCTCAGCGTATGAGGCATCTTCCATTTTCTTGAAGCTACCGCTCTTGGACCTTGGGGAATCATTGGAAAAATCAGGCCTTTGCTCCCTAGTTGTTCCCAAAAGTGAAGTTGAACTACCAGTAGAAACCCTCCTGAAATGTCTCTGACGCCTAGGACTCTGACCAACCACCACCTTCTCCAAATAAGCTCCCCCTCCGGATACATCACCATTAGACGGAGTAAAGCTAGGAATTCTCTCCATCTGACTTATCCTCCGTTCCAAAGTCTTCAAATTTTCTCGGCCATGAGGTGAATCAGTCAGTGGGTACTTTTCAACGTCGTCAACATCAATATCGGCCTCCAGGGGATCTGGGTTCTCATTCACGTTGCATTTAAGAGGAGGGTAATCATACGTAGGGAGGTCATACTGGAAGTCATTGTCAGCCATGCTCGGGTTACGGCTAAGCATGTTCTTCTCCCCATCAACCTCTGCCTCAGTGACCCCGTAACTCATCATTCTATGCCTGTAAGCCTGAGCTTCATAGGTGAGAGCCTGAATCGTCTGCTCCCTCTTATATATCAAATCTTCCAGAGCCAAAAGCTCTTGCTGATCATGCTCCATCTTCTCCTCAGCAAAACGCTTAAACTGTCTAAGCTCCATTTGGATCTCAGCCTTCTCCCTCTGCAACCTCAATATCATAGACATTGCCTCGCTTGCAGCTGTGGAAGCAGCATTCCGCTCTTCGTCAAGCTCAGCATACAGATCTTGAATCGATTCCTGTTGGCTGCTAACGGTTTCACGTAGCAGTTCACATTCGTTCTCGATTTGAACTTTAGCATTGGAAGACAAGTCCAGGTCGTCAAGCGCAGGTATATGGAATCGTTTCTCATTCTCAAATTCCTCGTATTTTCTCTTCACAGACCGGATCCAAGAATCAGGGGAAGCGTAGTTGAGAGAGCAATTGCATCCACAATCACAACATCTGACCACATCCCGTGGGGGAGATACAATTCTCAAATCCATAACTTGTACAGTATCCAATTCACAATCCCAGGATATGGCACATAACAACCACCAAAAATTAACCGAAATTAGCGCCAAGAGGAAGACCTGAATCGCACCAATCCCTAAGCGATTTATGAAATTAGATTATCCCGGGAAATTGGAAACCTTTGTTGGCTTATGGGGATATCAGATTTTTTCGGTAAGCTGAAGCGAATTCTGCGAAACACACAAGTTTCTCGTAATTAGCTCATTGTGTAAAAGTCAATTCCCACCAACATTATTCAACCTAAAGCGATCACTCGAGTTTTCTCGTCGCGAAATTCAAAAGCTTCTTCCATCGGGAAAAAAGCAAATAGAACACCGTAAAATCGAGAGACTTACCTTCAACCACCAAGAACAGGGAAGTAAAAGCCAAACGTAGGAATTTCCCCGGAAAAATAAGCTTATCCAAAGGAAACAGAAAGCAGGAAAGCTAATAATATCTCCTCTTCTCTCTATGACTTTCGGGAAATTAACAGAACCAACAATTTCTCTCTCTTCTCGCTTTTCTGCGCAAACGAAAAAAAAAAGCAGAAAAAAAAAAGAAAAAGAAAGCTTCGTGTTCTCAGAATCGGAGGTAAAAAAAAAAAAAACAAATCGTGGAAACGAAAGAGAAGAAAGAGAGAGAGAGAGAATTGTTCTTCCTTTTTCACTCTGGTTTTTGAAACCCTAAAAGGTTCTGTTTTTATCGTTCTTTCATTTTAAATCGATATGAATCGAGAAAAGGCTTTTTCCCATGGAGGAGGAATGTTATTTTTGGTAAATTCGAGTGGTAGAAAGGTTAATGAACGGTGATGATGAGTTTTTAGTTGAGATCAACGGCTAAGATCTTGGTTAGATGAGGTGTCTTTGCCTGCGGAGAGTACAGGTCAGCTAATCTGGATTTTTAAAAGAGTGTAGATATATATTCTTAGATGCCTCATGTAAGAACCAATTACTAAATTCATGTAAATTAAACGAATTTCCAATTGTATCTCATCTTTTCGAATTGTGTGATCTTGTAATAAGACAGATATACACACATGTATCCGCAGAAAATAACTATACATAAAATTAGTACATTACATACATTTTTAATCATTTTTTTTTTGCCAGAGCATTTTTTACTTAGTTAATAATATTAGGCATCCGAGTTCGTAACAGTTGTGAGCATACATGTAAAAGAATCTCGAACGAAAAAAAATGGATTAAGTGGTAATCAACTACTTTGACTAAAAATTAAAGTATAAAACCGTACGAAGATTCTTTGTTTGAGAATTTGAGAAATACTTCAACGGTGATTGGATGTTTCTTATAAAAACTTTTAGTATTGTCTATTTGTAATTGTGGAGACCTGGCCTTTCCGTGTTGATGTATTGGGCCGTCGATATTGAATTTTTGAAGCTTACCTGGTCAACATGATGTTTTATTTTATAAACGTGTGTGTGTGTGTTTTTTTTTTATCTCAAAGATATTAACATGATACATCTTAAAACGTTATGGATTTGGTTGGATTCTTAATATCTACTTCGTGCATTTAGCTTATTGGCGAATGGTACATATATTAATATAAATTCATGAGTCATGAGTTTGAGTTTCATTATGTCAAAATGGTGTATTGTTGACAATTTTCCTAAACTTGGGACAGATCTTTAAAGTTTTGCAGAAAGAAGAATATATTTTGAATCGGATAAAAATCTCTCACTTAAATTATTACAGAAATTTAGTTGAAGGATTTTAATATTACAAAAATATTTAAAATTTTTTTATCTGATTCAAAACTAGTTGAATGGTTTTTAAGAGTTAAAGAACAACATACTAATATAAGGAAAAAACCATATATAGAAGGAGTGGATATACCATCTAATATGGATACGATGAACAAAGAGATATAACGAAACCAACAACATTGTATGCTTTCTACGTGTAATGATTCACCAATCACCAAGCAGACTTATTGAGATGAAATCCTCATTGTTGTAAACGATCTTAGCGACCTAGCTAGCTACAACATGCCAAACGCTACAATATATTAGGGAATTAAGTTGTCCATAAAGTCTCCAATGATACGAATTAGCTGTTCTGCAGCATCGGAAGATGGATTGTTACTGTAGAAACCATGTTCCTCATTTTCGAATTCAATGTAATCTATTTTTTTCCCTTCCATTTTCTTCAATTTAAATGCATACTCTTTGGCCCTATCTCTCAGGAGTTCTGAGCCCCCGACGATCACCAACATTGGCTCTATGTTAATTGATTCGAGTCCAGGACTCGTCGGCCCAAAAGGGTTAGCCATGGGATGATCCCTTGTTGCACCTTCTGGTAGTGAAAGTCTCCAAAACCTTCAACAAGTTTAAACTTTACTCATTTTAATATCTTTTTATATTAATATATATTGACATGGACTATACCAATATTTACTATACATATGGCTTTATGACAATGGCCATGAACTAGACAGGTCAACCATCTCATTGTTTAAAATATAAATAGAAAAAGAGAAACGATCACTTGGAGAAAAGACTTCAATGATATGTGATCCCAATCATTCCACGTTGATAATCATGAATAAATGTGCACATTCGAATATGCTAAATATTAATTTAAAATGTGAGGCATTGTTTGCATTTGGTTTTATCTATATTGTGTGCAATGGTAGTCAAGACTCAGGAGAATCATAAGCAAAGTTAAGCTGAGATAATAGGAAACGAGGATAATGCATGACGCACTATCTCTCTTCCAAAGATATTGACTACTGTTCTTGATATCTGATTATCTATTTGGTCTATCAGTCACAAATTCAGTGTATTCACAACTTAAAAATGACCTAAAATTTCATGAATTTGCAGCATTACGCAAACGTCTACCAGTTTATAAATGAGCCTATTACTATCATTTTCGAACTATACCAGTTTATAAAATGAGTCTATGACTACAAGAACTTGATAATCGGTAAGTGGACTTTGTAAAGCTCGACATTTTGAAATTTAAACCATATTTAGTTTTGCAAAAAACCAATCATAATATTAAAAATAGCCTGTTTGAAGATTTATTAAAACCTGTTTATAATAATGATAGTAGGTAAAATGTAAATGTCGTTTTATAGAATAAGGGTTTGTAGTTGAATTATTAAATTTGACATAGTTTGCGAACTAATTCTAGATATTTTCCAGAAAAACATCAAAATGGACTAACAATGATTCAAACATGGCTATAACTTCTGATCATATTGAACCAGTCAACTAACTCTAAGTCTGTGTAGTATTCTATACATATTTAGCGAATTTATGTAGATATAACGAATTATGGATTAGCATTTTTGCTGCGAGTTCTTTTAGTAAACCATAATCCAAAAATAAAGAAAAAAAAAACCTGAGTGAGTAATTGCATCATGTTAATTCATGTAGAATCGTTAAATGGTAGGGTCTCTACTTGTTGTCATGACTTTTATCAGGTTTCTTTTATCATTTTTAAAATTCGATTACTTTCCATACAAGATATTTTCTAAGTTGTCGTCCATCTACTGGATGTTTCTTCAAGACCGATTCGTGTAGGCACTGTGATCGGAGACCCATATATTTGAAAAGCCAATGATTTCAGACTAATCAAATAGTGGAATATTAGTAGATTAAGCACATTGAATAATTTTTCTGGCGTAATATCCTAACCAACATATGATGGGCTTATATCATACGTCTTAGCCAGTTAGTTTCATCTTAATTATTATTCTATTTCACGCTGCATTTTAAAAGAGTAATATGTAAAAATGAAAAATATATATATGTATTTTGAATAGATGTTTTGTCTGTTAGACAGTGAATACCTTTCTAAACAAAATAAATGTAAACTCCTTTTCTTTAGAAAGTTTGTGTTTGTTTTTGTGTCATAAAAATTGCTACTCCTTCGAACTAGTTGGCGAATTCGATATATTGTCATATGATTTAATTAATATCCAAACAAATGATCTCTAGGTCGAAGAATTTTTTTTTTCTGTATTCGGATTGAGAAAAAGTGTATTTATGTACATATTCGATATGAACACATGCAATATATATAATATTTGAAATTTTGTTTAGTTTTGACAAAAAGAAAAGAAAAGAAAGACATGTACTATATAAGTCTGTGTATCCATGAAGAGACACAGTGACTCTAGATGTCTCTCTCATGCGACTCGGCAATTCACTCCAACGATTTAATTGGCATTACTCGCATACAAAAAATAAATAATTTAAAGTAACTGAAAACGACATCTATACATATACCCCCTATATATTATAATGATATATATTCTATACATATACCCCCTATATATTATAATGATATATATATATATATATAAGTTAAATAGTTAATAAGCAACGAAGTCATGCATGACTAGCTAGTAATTCAATGAACTTGAAAATATTTTAATGTTTAATGCACAAATAAAACATATTCGGTTCCTCTTAAAGAAAAATTAAAATATAGAAAGTGTTGTGTTAGCTTACTTGTCAAGCAAATCCAAGCTGAGCAAAGCTTCAGACGGGCCGTCCTCGGACTTAGTCCTCTCCTCCCCGCCAAAAAACGGCGCCAAAAGAACGTAACCGCGAACCCGAACCGGACTCAACTCGATCGAACCAGAACCGAACCGGAAAGCAAGGTGATGGGCTATGTTCCCACCTGAAGAATCACCAAAAACGTAAACCCTGCCAAAGTCAACGACCGGTCCACCTTCGAACCAGTGGTCCCCAGCACCGGAAACAGCCTGGTCCCGGACCCACATAAGCGCGGCCTCGGCGTCCTCAAAGGCGGCCGGGAGGCGGTGTTCAGGTGCTAACCGGTAGTCGGGTGCGACCACAAGGGCGTGGAGGGAAGATGCAAGAGTAAGACAGAAGTTGTGAAAATGAGGCCAAGAACGTGAGCCAAAGCAGAAGCCACCGCCGTGGAAGAAGACCACGACGGGGACGGTGGCGACGGTACGGTGAGATTCGGAGGATGATATGGGTTTGTAGAGACGGAGGTGAAGATTGTTGGGCTTGTGAAAGATTAAGTCTTTGAAGAAAACGGTTTTGTGGTTACTGAGTGGGATCTGTTGGGTGATAAGGTCAATGCTCTTGGATCTTAAAACGGTGCCGTTGCTTAGAAGTTGAAGTAAACCCATGCAGTCTTCTGCTACTTGTGGTTCTTCTCCTAGTGACCCCATTTTTTTTTCTGTTGTGTTTTTCCTTCTTATGAATCTTTCTTTTGGATCGTATGTATCCAAAAAATGTCATGTGATTGGAATATATATAGAGGGAAAAGTAACAAAGGGTACTTTTGTAATATAGGTCGTTAAGTCGAGTGTGATATAGAGATTATTATCTCAAAAACTTTAAGATAAGAGGGAGGGAGCCCACGTTTTTTATTGTTTTGCGGCTGTTTCGTCTCATTTCACGAAGTCATTCCTATCGACTTTTCTCCTCTTATGATTTGTCAAAAAAGTTACTACAAAATTTGCAATTGTAAATCTTTGAGAAAATTGTTTTTTGAAAAACGTATCTAATTAATGACAAGAACAAGACGTTATGTTGCACTTACACCACCTTCAAATGATCTTATCTTATTACAAATTGGTGATCTATCATGTAGAACAGATAAAACAAAACGTATTATAACTCAAAAACGAGGGAATGAGCATATTATCTTCTCTTTTTTTTTTCTTGACAACATATGTAGAAACTAGTAGATATGAACATCGCAAGAAGACTAATTTGCTTTTTCTATTTGTTTAATAATTTGTAACTAAACAAATAATGGAAAACCAAAACTACCATCAGTAGAAGTCATACTTACAAATATTTTTGGAATAGATCAACTCCTTTTCTTGCTTTTCGTTTTCAAATTCTTCTAAATCGATATAAAATTGAAGAATCTAGATCAAAAATAACCCCAATGTTTTTGTCTCTGGTGCTTGAAGATACACAGCAGGTCACTCTCCTCTTTACTTAGATAACCACTTGATAACACAATTAAACGCGATATGATGCGATTGTTTACATCAGCTGTTTTGTAATTTAATGAAACTTTGGGTTTTACAAGACCATAGAGAAACAGTATGAGACCAACGATAATGTTACACACATAACTATTAACATCTCTTCCCTCTTATTATTTATTACCCACAAGAGCAAGCAACAACTATTTTGGAGTTTCACTGACCACATATCACCTGAAGAAATACACCAAGGCATTTTTAGAAACACACATGAGGAGGAATCAGCTTTCCCGGATTCATGATATCATTTGGGTCCAACGCCTTCTTGATTCTCTTCATAGTTTGCAGTGCTTCTATTCCCAGTTCCTTCTCCAGATACTTCCATGCCATAACCAAAAACACATTCAAATCACAAATACATATTTATACAAACGTAACACAAGTCATGATAGTAAATAAACGCAAGAGATAGCAACAGAGGGGATGCAGAGCTTTTTTCAGACATGGGAATCTTTTTATTTTTTGCAATAAGAAAGACAAGTCTACGTTTAATCTGTACTCTTAAGGCATGAGTTACCTTCATTTTTCCTGTTCCAACACCGTGCTCTCCAGTACATGTTCCTGATAAATGGAACAAAGTGCATTCTTAGAAATAAGTGACACCATTAGAATCATGGCTCCTAAATCCGGGAACAAGCGTATACACATTATGAAGAACAGAATTAAGGATCACAAGCACAACAGTGGAATCAAGGAAGTAAGAAAGATGCAAAATTTAAAGTAAAACTTAAGTCTAATGCTAGGACGCATTTGTTCGTACAGCTTTAGCAACATATATAACCTATTTGTTGGTCATTTCTACCAAAAGGCTCCAAATCTGTTACAATCTAGTACTTTTGCAAAATACAAAAGAGTGGCAAAGGCATTTACCATTCATGGACAGTGCGCTGTGAACCATGAAGTGGTTCAATCTTTCTGCTTCTCTTCGCTGTTCTTCATTGGTTGGATCAAACATGATACATGTATGAAAGTTTCCATCCCCGGCGTGCGCAATGACGGTACTGAAAGTAGAACAACAATAGTCAGCTTACAGTTAATAGAAAGTTGATGCCGAGTAGTTTCATATTGTTGAACATAGCAACTAAAGATACCACAACAACTGTGATGCATCAAGCTCTTTCTTGGATCTTGATATTAGTTCTGCAAGGTGAGACAGAGGGACACAGACATCCTGTAAAATAAATAGTTACTGATGATTTTTTGATGTTCGACCTTATAAATAAATAATAAAGTAAACAACAAAAAGATTTATGGCACATGGTGAATTTAGGTTCCTAATTGTAGCTGGGAAAGTTCATTTAAAACCAAAGTGTATTTAAAGAAAAACAACATACTGTAATCATTGCTTCATGACCTGGAGCCATTGCATAGCAAGCCCACAGCGCCTCCTTTCTTATCTACATAAAGAGTCAGAGAAAGTAGAGCCTTTGGTAACTTGATCTTATTATAAGCAAACAAAAGAGTCACCAATGCAGAGTATTTTTTTGTTTTTGTTTTGCGTATAGCCTCGTTTTCTACAATTATCCAGAAAATTTTATCTACACATTTGGTAGTATCTCATGACCAGGATAGTCAAGTCAAAAAAAGACGAAAAGCGTCCATTGTCTAATGGATAGGACATAGGTCCTCTAAACCTTTGGTATAGGTTCAAATCCTATATCAAAATAGAACGGCATAAAAAAAACGTAAACACTGGCAAGAACAAATTACAACAAGACCAAGTACATATTTTTGGCTCTTTTCTGTTTCTCATTTTAATTCTATGATGGAAGGGTTGAGATTGGGACCGAGAATTACCTTCCAGAGTTCCTTTTTTGCTTCAGGTTCTTCTGCGAAAACAAAGTCTGATCCATTGTGTTTAGAAGCAATTTCCTGAACAATTCGAGTCTGCTCACGTGCATATGCCTCTAAAAGAGAGGAGGAAAAATAGAAAAATCAAAATGATTAGGACAGTTAAAAGACAATGATTCTCTCTATGTGTCTACTGGCAAGATTGAGCATGAGAATTCTGTGATCAAATATAAAACTGAAGATACAAGATATAAATAGCTTGAAAAACCACTTGGAAAGTACAAGAACTATGATGAGGCATCACCTGTCCCTATGAATTCGAACATCAGAGTTGGAACTTCATTCAATTTTTTCCCGTTTGCCATATTAAGAGCCCTTATTTGAACCTCGTCAAGGAGCTCCACTCTTGACACCTGATGGGGGATTAAGGTACAGCTGAGAAGAGTCTAATAAAACATTTAAATCATATAATTCAAAAACAGAGGTCTAACCTGTATTCCAGACATCATAGTGGCAATCGCCACGTCTGCAGCATCCTTGACCGTAGGAAAATTGCACACTGCCACCTGAAAATATATCATATATAAGTGACAAAAATCTGTTTGCAAAAATTTTAACTTAGATTTGACCTTCAAGGAAGAAAAAAAATCACATAGCAAAGGAGCTTAAATATCTTTCTGCTTGGCAGAAAACTTGAACTAGAACTGAAACATCAAAGAAGGGAAGCCTACTGTAAAGGAAGAATTCAATATACCACTGAATGCTGAGGGATTTTCTGAAGCCGGAGAGTAACCTCAGTTATGACTCCCAAAGTCCCCTCACTCCCAATAATCAAGCGGGTCAAATCATATCTGAGACACCATCCCGATTAGTATCAACCATTAACTCAGAGGCTAGAACTAGTCTGTTTGATGAAAAAATCATTACATGGCACAAAATATTGGACGAAATAAAGTTCAGAAGATGTTCTTCAAAAATGATAAGTACGAAATATACAGAAGTGTTGTTTCAAACTTGCAATTATCAAAGAATATCACATAAGCCAGTCGACCTTATACTATTTTCTTATTGTTTCTGGCTTGTGACATGATAAGTAAGAATCAAACGACAGGAAGCAAACTCTTCAATTTTTATTTGTTGTTTGTCATTTTCCGAGAAAAGAAATGAATAAAGGAATCAAGAAAATAATTGAACACTGAGGACAAACCCTGCAGCACTCTTTCTAGCGCGAGAAGCTGTCTTCACAACATCTCCATTGGGAAGAACCACCTGAGATGAGAATAGCATAAATAATAGAACCGTACGATAAGGCATGATTCAGTGGAAGAAACAACAAACCTTGAGGCTTATAACATTGTCACGCATAGTTCCATACCTACAAGCTAGTAGCAGAATTATCAAAATCAACCGATTAAAGCACCCCCACAATTATCAGAATAATGGGCAAGCAATCAATTGAATAGTAACGTCGCAGAAAATTACCTTACAGCTAAAGAGCCAGAGCAACGTGTAGCACACATGCCTCCTATGGTTGCACCGGGTCCTGCACCAAATATCAAATTGTTGAACTGAACCAAGAAAAGTGGAAACTGAAGTTTGTACTACTTTAACAGTCAATTGAGTACAACGCTAAAGACATTGAATGATGCAGCAACCCCAAAAAAGAAAAACTCCCTTAGCCTAATTGAATTCACAAAAAATAATATCAGTTAATCTAAATCATGTGTTCCAAATATTAAGACAACAGACATTATAACTATGATCTGAGATATATGGTACTATCTGAATGATGTCTAACCTGGATCAAGAGGAAAGAATAGACCGTACTGTTCTAAATGTTCGTTAAGCTCCAGCCAACCAATTCCAGGCTCAACTACAACGTCCATATCCTCCACATGTAATGCTTTCACACTCTACAGTTTGAGAAAAGATTTGAATGAGCAAGAGCGGCATAACTTTACTAACATCTATATGCACACTGTAAGTTTAAATGTAAAAATGATAAAGACAAGTCATGTCAGCAGGAAAATTGATATAAGTCCCGTCATGCCAAACTAAACGAGATAAATCTTTTTTTAATTATCTTCCATTACAAACATAAGCAGGTCCAAACTTAGACTTTGTGAATCTATTTCTTGGAATGAAACACCACATTCTGTTTACTGCATGACACAAAACTGACATGAATTTAACTGAAAATAAAGGACGCCGATGTCAAATAAAAACGATAAGAATACCTTCATTAATGACATGTCAATGCATACACCTCCTTTAGGAGCCAAGGTGTGACCCTCGATCGATGTTGCACCACCATATGGTACAATAGGAACCTAACCAAAGGGTAAATGCTGCCTGAATTAAATTTTTACTCAAGAGCAAGGAGTGGCTTCATCAAAGCCAACAAATCAGGGTAGTAAAAGCAGGAAAGATCAATCCACCAAGAAGCTATATACCCCAAGTAATATAGCATGTTCAACTGAAACGTCTGAGCAGTGAGATCTTCTACAAGTCAAAAACTTACAAACCTTATATTCGTTGCAGGATTTAAGAATCTTGGAGACTTGTTCTTCGGACCTAAACAATATTTTACAAGCAGAACCATTCTCAACAACTGAGTTGAATCTAGATGGCAAAAAAGAAAACAATGCACCAGAGAGAAGTGTGACCTCGGGAAAACAACAACATCAGGAATGTTTACTGACTTGTGAAAACTGTTCTGAGGCTTTCCATGGAAGTACCTCTCATCGTAGTCCGTTGTCAAGTTATCCTTAACACACAAGGAAATAGTCAGGCAGCTGAATTCAGAAACAAAAAGAAACACTGCTACAGATTTAAAAAAAAACATTTCCTAATATTGAAAATGCAGTTTTGCAGAATATTGAAGTTTGTTGATGAATAAGCTCGAAAAATCAGAAATTTCAATTTAGAAATTGCCCAAAAATGAGTAGAGAAAACAAATTCAATTTTTTTGCAGCACCTCGAGGATTATTTTCAATTCGGAAATAAGCTCCTTAGGAACCTCATTGTATTCCCCTTTAACTACAAGTTCAGTGCTATCTTTTCCGCCAATAGTTATATCTCTGCAGGGAAATAGAAACGAGCAATCATATAAATGTGGAGACTTTTGGAGAAGGAAAAAAAACAAACACGAACCTAGCTGATGATTCGCTGATAGAAGGCTGTGACTGGTTCAGGAACGCGAAAGTGGTGGCGGAAGCTGCCATCGCCAACGGGACAAGAGCAGAGCTCGACCACCAATTCCGGCGACCCTTCTTCGTAGAAACTGCGGTCAACTCATCAGCTGTCTTCGCCGTCGACTGTAACTTCCGGCGACAAGGCCGGAGAAAGGCGGAAACAGTTTTGGAGGAGAAACGAGAGCGACCCAACCATGAAGACAAGGCCATGGATGCCAAAATGCGAATAGCTTGCTTCGACCCAGAAAAAGAATAAAAAGAAAAAAAAAAGATTTAATGCAAAACGGCAATGGATAACAAGTAAAACGCATATAACATCGATTGATGTTAATAAGTAGAGCTAGGAGCATTGCTACTATTTTCACTAAATTATGACCAAAACGACAATTTGATAACAAATAAAACGCATGGGAGAAAAAAATAATAATAAAATAATAGTCCACTCGCGAAAAAATCGCGCATGACCGCGTTCTGGCAAAATACAAGCAAAATTGAAAGGGGTTATAACCTCTCGATTTTAGCTCAACGCGCGCAACGCGCTCGAGGTGCGAGTCGGATAATGTCTTTATATTTTCAAGCGCGTGGTATCACGCTCTGCAACATAGAACCAATGATATTATTACACGTACACGAGAGAGAGAAAAGAAATTATTCAAAGCAAATATAATAATCATTCAAAGAACAAAAACTCATTAAGTATTCAAATCTTCGTTGCAGAGCGCGAGAAAGGCGATGAAACCTCTCTGATTTCTCTTCTTCTTCCTCTTTCTCTCTGTGTGTTTCTTAAATACTTTCTCTCACTGTCTTCTCTCCTTGCGCTTACCAGACCCTGAAAACAAATTTCTTAAAATCGAGATAAGATCTGAAAGAGAAGACTGACGAAAAGCTTTGGAGATGGAGGAAGAGCTCAATTGTTTGGGAAAGAGCTTGGGAGGATTCTGCAGTCATCTTCAGAGTAGCTGCGATGCTTTCAATCACTCTCTCCAGCGCCGCCCTATCCCTCTCGGTCTGTTCACTTTTTCCTCTGATTTTGTCATAAACCCTAAATTCAACATCTTCACTGTAAATTCTCGATTTTTTTTTGGCAGATTCGGCTTCATCTACTTTCATCAAGAGCTTGAATCGTAGACTCTCCACCGCTGGTTCAGAGCTGAATTTCCTTGATTCCATGTCTTTCGGTACCGTCTCATTCGAGGAGCTCCTGGGTCACTCTAATCAGATTTACAAAAATAACCAAGAGGATCTTCTCCGACTCCAGGACCGCCTCACTGACTTTGGCTATGTTCCCGGTACCCTTTTAACTTCTCCATCTTCCTTTTTCGATTTGAAGCTGAGATTTGCTCCTAGACTTTTGGTATTTAGAAATTTAATGTAGTGAGCTTCTCTCAGATTTTATATATTTGGACCTAGAAATCGAGATTGATGAAAGTAAAGAGGAAGAGTCTGACTTTGGAGCATTTGAGCATGAGGATTCAAAGCATTCGGATGATGATTTGGAGCCTTATTCATTGCGACGTGCAATCTTTAAAGGGTTTGACGAAGACGATCTGTATCCTTTTTGAACCTTAGTGAGAAACTAGGATTTTCTGGTTGATTAACAAAATCAACCAAACAAAAAGAAAACTGCTTTCTGCATACTGTGAAACAAGGATTGTTGTGCTTTTTAAAATTTACCTTAATGTTTCATAGTCTGGATGATTCACTAGATTTGAAGAACCTTGGGCTTTCAGATGCTTGTCTTGCAACTTTAGCTCTAAAAGGTAAGGCAGCAAGGTTTTTCTCCACTGTTGATAGAATAATATGATTTGATGTAATTTCTTACTCTGATCATGTTCTTAATGTTTCTTACTTTTCCAACGATTTCCAGCTAACGATAATGTTAAGGATCCTAACACGTCTATGGAAGAATCAGTGAAGTAGGTTTGATGCGTTAGAAAGATATAAATCCTTGTGTGTTTCTTCTTAGTCGTATATCAGCAATATTTCCTATGATATAGGGGCAAACCATTTGACGCAAGTGCTTTACCTGCTTCAAAGGCGTCAATGCTTTCCAATGGTTATTTATTTCTAACGCTTTACTAGTGTGATTTGATTGTCGGTGAATTTCATCAGTTTCTGGTACATGATGCTAGACTTTGTTACATGCAGAAGATGAGTATGCGACACTAGAGATGGATAGAACTTCAGGGCCTACGATAACATTGATAAAGGAAGAATATGAAAGTCTTCCTTCTTACATGAAGGCTCTAGCATCGTGGGAGGTATATAGATTATCCAAATTCTCGTATTACAGTATATCAAATGTTCATCTTCGTAATTAACATTTAAGAAGACGTCTTAGCAGCATATTAAGAACTGAACCTAATAAAACCGATTCTAACATTATAGTCTCTCGCAGAAACTAGATCTGAATCCATATATAACAATCTCTATGCCCAAAAGATTGAATGATTTGTAATTTAACCGCTGATAGGTTCCCTTACTAATTTCTCTCTTTATGTTTCCAGGATCTGCTCAGTGCCGTGCAGAAATTTAACTCAGTCCTCGGTAGCAAGAAAGAAAAAAACGGATGTTACTACTTCCGTGCAGACGAAATCTCGACTCTAGGCCTTGGTACGTTCATATTTTATAGTTTCAAACAAACAAAAAAACACGCGTTGCATAGACAATGATGATGATGATGATGGTTATATCGCAGGCCATAAGGAGAAAGCGTACACGGTACTGCTAACGCGGATGAAAAGACTTCTAGTTGAGACAACGGACGGTCTTGTATCCTATAGAGTTGCATAGAGCATAGAGTAATCCATGAGATCCTTTGTCTTACAAGCATTAAACTCGACATGTCTTGTCTCCTGCAACTCTCGTGACTTGATACCATTGGGTGGTATTGTGAAACGGAAAACGTTTTCATCTGATTTCGGCAAAGCAAACAACAATAATAATAACGATTGGAAATCCAAAAGCTATACAATCGCCAGTCAAAAAGATCTTTCTTAACAAACCCACCAAATCTCTAAAATTACAAATGTTTCGGTATTCTATAAACTCTGAAAGCCAACCGCGCTCCCGAATCCAAGCGACGGACTTTCCGTTTTTTTTTTCTTGATGTTTTCAAAATAAAAATTGCATGTGCCAATAGTCTTCACACATTCCATATATTAACACAAAAGTATTGAAAGCACGAGAGAAAGAAATAAAAATAAATATAAAAATAAAAACACACTATCAATGCGCAACCCAAAAACCCTATCAGACCAAATTCTCTACAAGATCCTACGGTCGATCATCACACCTCACACTCTCGGCTCTCTTTCCCTCCTTTATTAGATCGCCTTGGTCCAACTGTTGCGGCCACAATGTCCTGATGACTATTGTGTTTTTTTTCTTTTGGCTAATTGTATATTTTCACGGGCTTCTCATAAGTGTGTCGATTCTACAAAGACAACGCAACCAAAACAAAAATTAACAAAAGAGAGACTATGGTTACACCTTGATCCTAGTTATCAAGAAAATGTTACCTGGTTAGCAGCATAAGCCCTTTTAGGAGTAGTATCAGTGTGCTCCAACCCGAGATACTGCTCAAAAGCACCGTAGATCTCTCTTCTCTGTTTACCATTTTCATAACAAAGATAAACAAAATTTAGATCTCAGATTATTATTACCACGAGAGCCTTTTCTAGAAAATCAGAGGACAAGTAAACACCTGGAAGCGATTATAAACAACATCTGAGTCCTGCAAGTACTCCGGACGCCCCATTGACATAAACGCAAATTTCCACTACATAATGAACGAAAATAATAAGAATTGTACCAGTTCCGCCAAAATTACATATTATCTATTAACGCCTTCCATTCTTTTTAATTACTCAGTCGTGCATACCTTGGCAAAGTCCTCATCAGATACATGAAGCTTCTTTTGGATACGGTTCTTTATTTCTTCAAGAGTTTCACCTTCATGGATTACCAAGAAGAAAGGCTCCCCAAAGTTTTGCACTTGCTGAGGAACAAACAAACATGATAATGATTAAGACACTTTGCCACGAGCCCCACTTCTAGACGCTACAACTCGTATAACCGTTAAACAAATAACAAAAGCTTGATAGCTGATTCATTACCTGATTTGGTCCAGTCTCCTTAGCAAAGTGGTACACAAGAATTAAACGATCATTTGGACCAATATTCTTCTCTTCTTCCGGAATCTGAGATTTAGGAAGACATAAAGTCAGCATATCCACGGAATAACTATCAACATCTTCAAGTTAATGGAAGGTACAGTCAAGTAATATACCTCCTCAGCTCGTAAGGTCCAGTACTGGTCATTTATATTCTCAATTCTTTCAGTTAATGGGAAAATCTGCAAGGCATACCAGTACCATGAATTAATGTTCATTACAATTTCAAGGTTGCATGAATTTCATCAGGAGATATACTCGAGAAGCCATCATCTTAGGATCATGAAATCATTGACTACAATGTAAAAGATAGGAAGCTATTTGTTACCTTGTAGATCTTGTGGTAAAACACCTCAAGTAATCTCAATTCTGCATCTGGGTGCGAAAGCTCCACCTGTATCAGGCATAACCTTAGATTAACTTGCATAACATCGGAGGTGTATTTGTATGGAAAAATCCATTTCAAATCCAAATCCCCAAAAATAAAATTTCATCAGCAAAAACATGGAAGTCAGCAATAGATGCATCCTATAATCCGGATGTCTTCAATTTCAGTGGATTGTTCATTTTAAAGTAGTTCTCACAGTCATAATATAGACAAGCCAGAGATCAATTAAAAGGAAGAAAACACCTACACCAGAAACTAAACCAGCCATTTAACATAGAAACTTCAACTGAATCGACTCACCTTTGTTTTAAGTTCATTTATAACATCTCCGACTGTGCTTTGTTTAGGCAATCTGATATTGTGGATAACCACCTGTACAATAATGGTTGAAAGTCTTGAAACTTAATCCAATATAAACTCCGAATCAAAAATAAAAGTTTACACATACTTCTTCCTTTGTGGCATGATGGAAAGCAACTTTTAAGGTTTTAAGACCTTGTAATTCTGGAAGAGGAATGTCCAGAACTTCATAATACAAAATGTCAGACGTCTGAAAAAGAAAAAAATCAATCCAATAAGCAAACATGCATTTTATAGTAAGAAGAAACAATAAAGTTCACTCAAGTTCACGTCAATTACCTGATTGTAGTGAACTAACATATCTGACAAATGGTCTACTCCACGGTATTTGATAGGCTGAGGCTTGGGTTGCTGGGAATAGCAATTATGAGATGTAAGCCTAAGTTTGGATGGATCGTCAAGACCACGCTCCTGGGCCACTCTTTCAACGACATCGTCATAAGTGTGCAACTTTGACCTAAGAAATATTTTAAAAAAAATTATGATTTCCTCAAAAAAACAGCTAAAACATATTAGTCCACAGATGTACTTACAACTCCAGAACAAATTCATCTTCTTTAGGTCTTTCCAGGGCACGAAACCGGACCAGCTACAAAATCACAAACCGCAAAAGTTAAATCGCCAACCGAATCATTCCAGCCAGAAACATTTTAGAGAACATTCGCAAAATTTGCTATGAAGACAAGAATGCTCAGAATAAGAAATGCTAGCATACCAGCACAATAGAAAGAGTTAGTGGGATATCAGCATACATTTTGCTCTGTTCAATAAAAATATTGGGAACTTGTGGTACAAAATATAATCTGACAAGTGAATTTTAGAGCTGCTGCTTGAGACCACTCTACCAAGCCAGCCTAAATCATTAAACCCTTATTTGCCACTAGAAAGAAGGCTCATCATTTGAGAGCTATACTTAGCCAAGCTATACCACCCTTGACTTTAGAAAAGCTTAGTCGAATTATACCTGTCGATTCTGGACATATTCAAGAAACGAAGGCACAGCTGGATAGCGGCATTCATTCTCTTTGTTAATAAGAGGTTTCTGAAAGCAAATGATATCTCCATCCTCAATCTGTAGGCAAAAAACCCAATGTCATAAAAGAGACACGAGACTGAAAGATTCCAGTAGATACGAGTGAAAAATTACTTGACACAATCTGAATGAAGTTTTCTTATCCAGGTGTTCGCACATAACACAAGGCTCAAACTTGATTTCCTGTAAATAAGTCCCAAAAACCGTTAAATAACATCATAAACCATAAGCATGATGCAAAACAGGCACCAAAGGGGAAGCAAACCTCAAAAAGTTCTATTTCTTCATCGGGAGCAAAGCCAGCCATTTCGTTCAGTTTTCCAGTTATATCCATAGGCTTACTGGAACTTTTCACCATCAGTCTGCCAACATACCTGTTAGCACAAGAGAATAAATTAAGACAAAAAGAAAATAAAACGGTTAGAACTTTTCTGATCACAAAGCAAAAGGAAAGAAAGATCTCATTTTTATAGAATGATTGTTACTGAATTGTGGTAGATCACAAAGAGAATAAAGAGAATGTGGAAAACAATATTACCTTAACTCTGGCTTCTCGGGGTCATAAAGCTTAAAGAAAAGAAGAATATCTTCTTTTGATTTTTCAGGAGGAGGAATAGGACGTTCATCCTGAATTATGCAAGAATTAGTAACAAAATATTAGCTCATCTTCCCTGTTGATCAATTAGCCTCTATTAATCTTTCAATGATAAGGCTTCAACAATTCATATTTGCAACCAGGAGTTCTTACCAGAAGCTCTACTTCCAAAAACAGCTTAAGTTCTGCAGTGTTTGCCTTGTTAGATGCTTCTCTTATTTGTCCAACCTAGAAAACCCATTTTCCAAGTTAAAAACATTCGTACATGATGCACATAAATCAACGGACTCTTACATAATTCCTACGTCATAAAAATGAAGTTTCCCGCACGCAAATTCATTTCAAAGCAAACAAAGGAACCTATGCTCGGCTGAAATTCTAACGGGATAATAAACATTTGAAAACGAAAAATCAGATAATTAGATGAAAAGATTATAACATCGGAATAAAAAGGTAGCGAGAATGATCAGATTTTCTAATAGTTGGAGTATTACTTGGCTCTAAACTCAAATATCCAGGAAAAAGAAAAAAAGAGGCTAACTAAGAAGGATAACTACCGGTTGTAATTCCTCCTGGGGCGTAAGGGGGCGATTGGGACGATAAGTATGGTTTTGTCGCTTTGCCCAAATCCAGAACCTCTGTAACTGAACAGGTACACCAAATTCTTTGGCCACCTCCTCCTATATCATCACAAGATTGGTCGTCAGGGATTGCAAATGTTTAATTAACAGGTCCATAACGAACTTTCCAGTTAGTAGCAATTTGAAAATTCTCATGAAATCCAGATCAACTGTTTTTCGTCTTCAAGGTAGAATCAAGTTACCAGAAAGACCGTTTTCACATATTCCTTGATTTCCTTCAATAGATCAATTTTCTTTCTTTTTTGGAAAACAAAAACAAACGATACTTAGGTAAGTACCTTAAATTGTTGAAATGGTGTCTGTTTCTGGATCCGGAAACTACGAACTTTGTCATGATCAACTAGATCAAAATATATATCCTTCCCAATTTGTTCCTTGAGGTCTTGATCTCTTGCAACCTTTCACGTTAATAAAGATTTTATTAGTATTAACAGTGTCAAAACTACACTCTAAAACAGCTAAAAAAAATTATATGGCCCAATTAGATGAGAATAACAAACCTTAATTATCGTAAACAGGTGAGCTTGTGCCTTGTATCTTCTTTTATCTTCCTTTTCTTCTTGTTCTTTCTTCAGCCTCACCTGTCAAAATGTAATGAACTGATCAGGTTAAACCAAGACGCGCATTACTGGGAAAATGCCTGAAAATATTTTACCCTTAAATGTTCAGCAATGTC